TTGGTGAATCAATTTGCTTTTTTTATTCTTGTTTCCAGAAAAAAACGATTTTATATCATGCGAGTTTCTTTTAAATGTTCATACTTTACATGAGTTAATATGTCTATTCCAATTTTTATCGTTCATTGATGAACTTAATTTCCCGCAATCACATTTACAAACAGAACTCATAGTTTTTGGTATTAAATAAATTACTTTATAAGGTTGATTTGTACTTAATATTCTTAGACAATTAAAAAATTAAAAATTCTTAAAAGTTAAATAATAAAACCAATTAAATAATATAAATATATGTCACAGTCTTTTTGAATTATAGCTGGCTTATTAGTTATTACACTAAACTGAAGGTACAGTTGATTTTCAACGATAGTGTATCATAATTTATAGGAATTTTTAGCTATTTATAAACACTATAATGGACTAAATGTTGCATTTTTGATAACATAATAGACGCTAATAATGTAATATACGTATGTTAGTGGAGTGGGTGGTCGCCAGTCGGCGAATGTCTATTTTGGTTGATGGTTTTTATTTTTATTTTTGTTCTATCCAAAATGCACCATTAGTTGTTACTGTTCTTACTAATCAGTAATGATCGTATTATTATGAACTATTTGGTGTTAATTGATCAACGAAATAATGTATATGTAATACCAAATACTCGAAGTGGGCAATACTACTTAATAATTTGTGATCCTATTTCTATTAATTGTCATCATTTTATTTTCCTCTGGACCCACCCCCCCCTTAAATGTTTATATATATGGCAGCTGCCATACATAAACATGGACTTCGGCGCCACTGTTGTATTCCTTGTCAAAAATGACCTAGAAAAAATATTGATTACACTTAAAGGAAAGCTTATGAAATGTTATAATTTTTAGAAATGCAAAATATAAGCCAGTTTTTCTCAAAACCGTTTTCTAGTGAATTACGGAATTTTATCCTATGACTAGTTTTAGTATTTCTAGTATTCACACCAACAATGATTGTATACGAATCAAAATTTAATGTTGTTTTTGAATGTAAAATAATTGTAAAATTACTTACCGAAGTAACTTGAACGTTATTTTTATCACTGAACACAGATTAAACACCCAGTCATACGACTAACGAATGTATTCTAAAATCATTACAAATATTGGAATGTAATGGAAAAAATAAATTATGATCTATTTTAATGAAAAACAAAACTAAGTTTGATAGTATATGGAATTCTGCAGTATTTTATCATTTATTTATAGTATACAAGCTATAGTCTACACTTCGAGTTCCACAGTGTTTGCCGCTGCGTGCATCTATGACTGCGATAGGATATATTGATATTATATTCGTATGTATTTTTCACATTTATTAATAGTAATCTAAATACTATTGTGTTGAAATTAAATAATCTGTATACACGTTTAGAGTTCATACCGTTTAGTAATCATTAATAAATAAGCTTAGAGACTTCTAGCTTTTGCATACTTTTTTTTAATTACTGTTAAATATAGCAGAGTCCGAAATAAATTTGTTTCTCAGTGTCATGATATCAAATCTAAAATTTGAATGTGCATATTTTTGCATATTTGATAGATTTTGCAGGAGAATGCATGTTTTAAAATTGTTATGCTTATTTTGCATATTTTGACAAATTTTTCAAATTTCAAATTAAAAAACTATATAACATATACTAAACGTTTAAGCTCCTGCAAAGGTTCCACAGGTAAAAGAAGTTGGGAAACACTGCTATAAACCCGTATTAACCGTTCTAAACTATCTAATCTATCGATCTAACCCGCTGGATATCAACCGGATGTCGATATAGAATTATAGATTATTTGTTTAATGTTCAGTTCAGTTGATTATTATCCGTCATTGTTCTTGCGTCTCGTAATCATGCAACGTCGATTCATACATAAAACGTCGTACAAATATATTTTGTAACATTGTGTAAGGCCAAAAGTATAACAATCTATGAGTAGCCGACTACAAAGCTTTGTTTCGGAGTTTAAAGATAAATTTACATCCGGTGGACCAGTGGCGTATTTAGACTTACTTCTAGGGGGGGGGACTCAAATTTTTTCTTTAATTCAGGCTCAAAATATACAAGTAAAATGTTTAGTAATATTTAAATCAGGTGAATCCTCAATAATTATAGTTTTTTTTTTTTTTTTAAATCTAATGCGGGATCCACTTAGAATCGACTTTTGTGTAGTTTTTTTATAACACCTGTCTGTGTTTTGAAATTTACGCTTGTTTTATTTAATTTTTCACTAAGTATGGACTCGACAAAAAGCCCAATTCAATATTCACAGCTACGTGTAATTTGATTTCATTATAAAATGATCCACATTAAAAAAAATTGAAATGTATATCTCACATATAATCGATTCATTAAATATGGATTCAGGGGAAGGGGCTATTTCTCCCCCCCCCTAAAATACGCCCCTACGATGGACTCATTTAATTTTGTGTACTATATGGTCATTTTTTTTTTTTAATGTATATAAATGCATATTATTATGCATATTTATGTATTTTCTAGAGCTACTAGCTGAATTACCCGTTGTTGCCGGGTTTAAGTATATAAATGTATGTAACCTGCCAAGATTAAATTTTGTTAAATCTATTGAAATTTAAATTAATTAAGATTTTTGAAAAATATTTTATACATATTAATTTAGTTTTTAAGATAATGATTATTATCATAACCTATTCGATAAGTTATAGCTTACAACTACCTGAACCTCTCTACAGTTTGGTATTCTGTTGAATACTTATAGCATCTCACTTCTCCGAATATTTTACCTTTTGTCAATAAGTTCATGGTCTTTTTGACTTTTAACCGAAACACTCTTGCAATTATATCATGTCGATCATATGATCTTTGACCGGGAAGTAAGAGCTCTTTTATCTCGTCCCAGCGAGGATTACATGTAAAAGTAATAAAAAGGTCAGGACGACCGTAATGTCTAACATAGGTCATAGCATCTTGTATTCTTTCGTGCGTGTACCTTGGCCCACCAGTAAAAGTTGACGGGAGTATAACCATTTGGCCTAACTGATTAGCTTCTATGTCTCGTCATCCAATCGCATCTTTTAAATGAATATAACTATCTGCACGCAATTTGGCCTGGTCGTTTTTGATGTAATTTAGTCTTTCAGTTTCAATTTTTGCGTATTCATCTACCAAATATTGACTGAAAAGAGAACGATAATTAACTAAATAGTTGTCTTCCCCTTCTCTGACCATTATTCTATATGAGTAAAAACTTGATGCAGAGACAGTTTTTTTAAGCGGTAACTTGGTTTTTGGATCGCGTTGTGGTATATTGATTGCATACCCATCATCCCCCCAACAAAACATTAAAGGATACTGCAGTGCGTCGTATGTTACTGATACGGTGAAGTGAGTTACTTCGGTTTTCGAGGATGATGTCTCTTCGATCAAACTGCTGATCTACTAACACTAAAGCAACTTCATTTGCCGTTGGTGCATTATACCTGCCTCTATGTTCTTCTAGTGGTTTTTTATCTGCATGTATTACAACTTTAAATGACTCTGAAGGAGGTATTTTATCGATGGTAAATTGTAATGATCAATTGTAAATTATGCGGTGGCATGCCTAGTAAATCCAATGAGTTTAAAAATTCTGTTGGATAATTTACAACTTCAGTAGCATCGCAAACTGTATCTAGATTTGTATGACACCAAGTTTTCTGGTAACAAATTTTGTATCTTGAGATTCAATTCGTTGACCTCCACATTTTTTGCTACTAAAATTGCTCTTTCTGCCAGCCACTCATGATTTGTGTATTGACTGTGTACACTGGGACATATCTGGTCAATGAGAGCATCTTGCGAATAAATGATTGTGCAGAAATCGTTCGGTAATTTTATACATCCCGTTTCATCTGTAGTAACTTTCCCATCTCCAATATCTAACAATTGTCTTGAGAATCTTTTGCACGCAGCTTTTTTTGATTGAATCGAAATCGAAGTATCGAAATCGTTCGCTATCTATCTTTATATATGTTTCGACCATGAATTGTTGACAAATCTTATGCATCGTAAAATAACTTAGTCCTGATCGCGTCTAATCATCAACCGATATGCATAATAATTTTTTGAACTAACATTCTTATTTGTTTTGGCACCTGTTGCGGGATCTTTTTGTTTAATATTTATGCAATACCCGTCATTTACTACCAAAAATAAAATTAATAGTTTTTAATAATTTTTTAAGTTTTATTTAATATAATTCATTTTCAATAGCGCAGTTATCGACCTGGTCAAAAAATATTAAACCGATTTCAACTCTTTAAATTCAAAATTTCGAAAAATCCTTTCTTAGCGCACGTCTACATCACAATAGCTATCTGTATGCCAAAATTCAGCCAGATCCGTCCAATGGTTTGAGCTGTGCGTTGATAGCAGTCAATCAGCTTACTTTTTTATATATACAGAAGAAGATAAGTCCCCAAAGGCTATTAATAAGTATATTTTGTATTATTTCAATATTTCATGATTTTATTTACTTGAATTTTTTAAACAGAACAGAATATTTTTGCGAGGCCCCTTTAACAATGAGGCCTGCGGAAAATTATGCCTTTAATCATATGCAATTCCACTTCTGTCTATGTCTAATAAGAACTAATTTTAAATAATCTCTCCAATTAAAATAAATTATTTCTATGTAAAACAACTAATTTTTCTCATGTATTCCTTCATTTTTTCATATTCAATTGTAATTTTATTAATTTTATTTATATCTGATGGTAAATTTTTAATTCAAAATCAGTCATACTTTTCGAATATAATAATACTCCAGGCTAAGTTTTAATTTATTTATTTATTTATATACATGCTATTTGTGTATTTTTTTTATGTATTAATCATTTAATAATATTTAATTTTTTATTATTTTATAAGAAATATTTATTTTTATAAAAGTTGCAAATTAAATGCAATATCCTATTGTAATGTCATTATTCTTAAATAAAATATACACAGCTTTACAATAATTTATTTAAACTATATTTGATTAGTCATAAATAGGTTCATTTTTGAAGAAGCTCTTGCAACTTGCCACTTTGAGACATTTTTCTAACATCAGAACCGCCACCAATAAATACACCATCAACAAATACACGTGGCACCTAAACATTAAATAAATCATTATGAATTGAACTAAACTGATCTATGGAGGATAAAATATATACCGAACGAGCACCAGTTATTCCTTCCAAAGCATCTTGAATATCATCCATGTCTTCTCTATTATCCAATTCAATAACTTTGTAAGTGACTTTCATATTATCAAAAATCTAAATCAAAAATTTATAAATTAAAACAAATTACATTGCTATAATGTCAAACTTCAACTTTTACCTCTTTAACCATTTCACAGTAGCCACAGTCTGATTTTGTAAATAACACAATAGGATCATGAGCAATTGCATCTTTAACAAACTGTGTAGCAGCCATTTTAAGCGTTGATGCTTTTATACTAAGAAATTAATTTATCAACTTGTTAGAGTATTTAACAATATTAAATACATTATAAATTAAATATATTCTATCAAGTTGAAATGATTAGTAAGCAACAATAAAATGCTTGATTTAAGTCTAAGGTGAAATAAAACATTTAAACTATGACGGTTGCAATTATAATAAAAGTTAATATATTTAATAATTATAATAGAATAACTAATATAATAATATAGATTTCAGCTAAAAACATTGTCTAACTTCCTCATTTTGTTTGTTAAATTTTGAATATAATAAAATAACTATACAGTGTATTTCACTGAAATGGTAACACATAATATTTCAGTTTAGAGTGACCTTGGATTGAATTTGGTTTTTTCGAAGAGCTAGGGAATACTAAAATACACATGTTGTGATAATTTTTTAATTTTTAATTCTTTTATTGTGCGCATGCGCAACAAAACATACATTTTTTTAAACGGCAACACTTATTTTCAACACTAGACTTCGATAAGACTATTTTTTTAAGCAACTTTGAAAACTTTGTTTTTTTCTATCTCAAAGATTGACTGAGTTACAGCAATCCTAAGTTTTAAAAAAAAAAAAAAAAAATTTCTAAATTTTTCAATGTTCTGTATTTTATTATTATTACTATTATTTTTGGTTGGAAATCGCTAAGGTAAAAGTTAATCTAATTCATTATTACAAAATAATTCTTATTGTATGGTGAACCAGATAGCACAAAATAATTATATTAATAATATGTCTTTATCATTTGACTAGTGGATAACACTATGTAGTTTACAACTATCATAATTTATCTTATTAAATATGTACCTACTACCTACCTATTTTTGGTTATTAAGTTATTTCACTGAAAGTTATAAATTTATAGTAGTCTATAGAGTATATTTATAATTCTACACATTATTGTTAATGGCAAGGAATTTCTTAAGTGCAAATTTGAGAAAATATATTTATTTGGATATCCACAAATACAGACGACATTTACTTTAATATGAAATAAATTTCCTGCAGACTATATTTTTATTATGAATAATAAAATATAAAATTACTAAAAAAAATCTTTTAGTTGTAGAACTGCAATAATTTTTTTTAAAACATCACTTATATATACTGATACTATTTTGTAGATTACAATGTATTGTAGCTAGTATTAGAATCTGTCATAGTGTTATGATTTATGTATATAAAAAATATTCTAATTTATTAAAATATCCTACATAATAAGTGATAAGAATTAGAAAACTTAAAAATCTCTTGACTTTTAAAATTAAAAAAATGTAAGCAACATTTTTTTAAGAAAACTTTATATCTTTCTTATGAATATATACATTATAAATAAATATTTATTTAATTACAATTTTAATTTTATGAATAGTTGATGAATTCTTTTCTAATCAAATGAATAAAGATAAGTTTATAAGGAAGTTTTTTGTCTCAACTGAAAAACTGAACTTTTGCACATAGGAAATTTTTCCCCACCAATGACAACATGTCAAGCAAATTTGCATATAAATGTTGGTCAAATCAAAATGTTTACACTAATTAGCTGTGGTGACTCAAACACATTTGTTCAATACGAAGGCACAAAATGTCTTTATTACAAAAAGTAAACGCTACCTACGATTATAGTTTGTATAAATACTGCACAACATACAAATTTATAATAGGATTCACCTTACTTGAAAATGTCGCAAAACCGTTGATTCAAAAAAAGCACGAACTTTTAAACTGCAACTTTGGGAATGTTTTCAAAAAATGATACGATTACGAAAAGCTAAAAAATACTGCTGTATCATTGATTAAATATTTAATCAATGGCCGTATCGTATTAACTCGTGATATTGTGATATCGCTCGGAACGTAAGTATGACGTCATCGTTTCATATTTGTATTATCAACACGGTACAGATCATGACGGTAAATAGTACCCACATTATTGGAGCTGAAGTCCTAAACATTTAGTAGAGTTTAAAAAGACCGCAATATCCAAATATCCTCCCCAATGGCTTAATCTAACCTGTGAGAGAGGGAGATATAATAGTTTATATCCAAAAAATATTAATGTTGGCCTATAATTTTATTATAAAACTTTTTACGGTTTGGCATCCAAACTTCGTCCAAAGACGCTCCAACCTAAATTTTCAAAAGATGTGGAACCAAGGTCTGAATAGGGTTCGGCGCCACTGACATACATTTTGTATATCCTTATGTATATCAGCTGTTGTGCAGACGATGGCGGTTTTCTCTGCTATCCCGTGCAAGGCGTGTGCACGGGGTGTGCAGAGTGTGCAACTGCACACCCTGCAAAAACGTGTGCCTACTTTACATTGTTGATGAAACTTTGTTTAATTATTTAAAACTGATTATTGAGAGTTGGTATAATTTATTCTGTATCATATTATATATAAACATATATAATATATAACATTATTATGTATAATACATAATTGTCAATTACACAAATAATAATCAGTTCATCGAGGTAACGCAATACCTAATAATAATAATAAATCTAATATCGATTGTAGTATTATTTGGTATTATGTTCATGACCGTGGTCAAAGATTTAACTACGAATTTGGAGATCTGTCTATACCATAGAGTATTAAGCCGGGTTCACACTACACCGTGCCGTGTCGTGTCTTCTAAAATAATTATCTCTGATTGGCTGAACCATATTGTTACATCAAGGTATACCGTATAATAAATCACAAGTTACCTCACTAAGTTATAGCACACAGTTATAGCTGTATCCTGTAGTTCTATATTGGTATGAGTAAAAGATTGTATAAATTGATTTTGGATTTTAAATTAAAATTTGAAGCTTTACCCATTATACTGCGGAGAATATAAAGTCTCCGATTAAGGGATAGTTTGGTCAGTGACGTATTTGAGGGGGAGATGGAGGCAATTGCCTACAAACAATAAATTTGTATAATGTTTAAACGCCTAAATTGAATAACGTTTAAATTATTTATAGCGTTAAACGCTCAATTGCTTATAACGTTTATATGTCCCATAACGATAAAAAATATATATATTTTTTGATTGAAGACCCAGTCCATACTTTGTGAAAAATTAGATAAAACACAAGCGAAACTTTCAAAATACAGATAGGTGTTAAGAAAAACTACACAAAAGACCAATCTAAGTGGACCCGGCATTAGATTAAAAAAAAAAAAACCACAAATATTAAGAATTCACCTGATATAAATATTACCAAAAATTTTGAATTAAAGAAAAAATTTGAGTCGCCTCCCCTCTAGAAGTAAGTCTAAATACGCCCCTGAGTTTAGTCCAGTTGAGTTTTTTATCAAAATACAGTCCTAAATATTTCATCGTATTCGAGTTAGGAATTAATTTGGTGTTTAGTGAAACTGGTGGAGGGTGTTGAAATTTGAGGGTAAAGGTAGTATTAATTGATTTTAGTTCATTTATTTTTACGCACCATTGAATATACCAGGAAGATAGTAGGTCGAGATGATTTTGTAATGATGTCGAAACTGTCAAGAGGTTTGTGTGTGATAGTAAATAACTTTATCATTCGCGTATTCAGCAACTGACGTATTAGGATGTATAGGTTGATCTGCGGTGTATATAGGTATTGTATAGCGTGGGAGATAAAACTGCACCTTGTAATACACCAACTTGAATGGGAGAGATGTTAGAAATTTCTGTGCCCTAGTTTACGGCAAAAAAACGTTAATTTAGGTAGGAATTTAGGAGAAGGTAGTATGAAGGAGGTAAGATTTTCTTTAATTTATATTAAAGTCTAAGATGCCACTTTGTCAAATGCTTGTGAAATATCTAAAAACACAGCGGAGGTGTATTGTTTTTTTTTCCAATGAGCACGAGATAGTGTCTGTAAGCCTGTGCATATGATGAACAGTCGATTTTTTTTCCCGAAATCCAAATTGAGAGTTGGGGATTATGTTATTTTCTTGGATTATTGGATATATGCGTTTTAATATTAGTTTTTCTATAAGTTTAGAGAAGAAAAGAATTTTCAACTTTATCAGTGTCATTTATCGCCCGGTTTCCATCTTATTTTTTTAGTGGAGAAATGGTTGATTTATGTTTGAGTATTTTTCGTGTAGCTCTCCAAAGTGAACCGCCTTTTTCTGATAACAAGGCAGTACATTTGATAAAATCATCGAAACGTTGTTTAGCTACTTTTCTTTTTAAAGTTGTGCAGTTTGTTAAAAATTCTTTTATCAAAAGAATATTTGATTTTTTACAAAGTGGCCCGAGCCCTTCTCTTTTGTAAAATTAGGTGTCTTATGTGAATAGGAATTTTGAACTTATTTTGATTGGGGGTAGAATTTGGTGTGCAAGAGCTCCAGGCAGCTGATTAACTAGAGGTTGTAAAGTTGTTAACAGCTTCATCAATGTCTTTATCCATTTTAAGGCGAATTTTTAAATTAATTTGATTGGTTAGGTTTGTTTGAAACGCGTCCCAGTTCATTGAACCTTGGTTTAATGAAGGTCTATTTGGTTTTATTGGGGGTTCGGTATTTATAATAAGAAGTACGGGTGAGTGATCTGATAATGGATTTTGGAAATTTTAACTTGTACATTTAAGTCTATTTGGTATATTAGTGATAAAAATGTCCAATCCATCGGGGTGATTCCTATGTGAAGTTGGCCAGTAGGTGGGATTTAAAGGAGACAGAATGTTATAGTTTTTACTATTAGTTATCTGATGGAGTTACGACGGGGTGAGTTTAAATGACAACCCCATTGTATTTGTTTGGCATTCAGATCGCCACTTACGATAAAATTATTGCATAGAGAATTAAAAAAAAGTTTAAATTGTAATGAGATGATGGAATTCTTAGGAGGGCAGTATGTTGAATTTATTGTAATAGATGTGTGATCGAGTTTAATTTGAATAGAATTCGCTTGAATATGTGGTTCGTTGTTCGGGGAAAGTGGATAAAATAGAATTGAGGATTTGATAAATATTGCTGCACCTCCGTGAGCCGTGCCGTCGGGGTAATTTATTTGGAGAAAAGTGTAACCAAGTATAAAAATTTTGTTGCTAATTGTTAAATGAGTTTAAAATATGAGAGCGATATCTATGCGTTTTTCTTGTAAAGTTAAGAGTAGATCATTGAGATGATTTTGGAGACCATTGGTGTTCCATAGGAGTATTAATAATGATTTGGAGGTAGAAGAATTATTTATCATTTTGTTGTATTAGTTTATTGGGGACTGTAGTTAGAAGAGAGAAAAGTGGATTAATGAGTGCTTTAAAATCGAAAAACTGATTAGCATAGTACCTGTGTCCAATTGGTTTGTTTGAGTGTTGGGTAGTTCTTGGTTGGAAGTTATATTTGCATATGACCTTGGTTGAGGTTGTGGTAGATGGGTTTCGGTCGGAAGCAATGGCGTAGCCAGGATTTTTAAATGGCAGGGGTAATCACTTTTTTGGATAAGTAAGGTAAGAGAGGATATGAGAATTCACCTTTAACCCCCCCCCCCACCATCTACCACCAAGTTTTTAAATTTAACCCAAGAATTTTAGTATAGTTTTAAAAATATTTATTAATATAATAATTTTATAATAATAATAATTTTGGTTTCAGTGTATCAAAGAGGTAATTGGTAACGTGGCGAATAATTGTAAAAGTATTTTAATGTTAGGTCGAAGATTGGTGCGATGAGAGAGTGAATCAAGAGCAGAATTCGGTTTTGGAATAGTATTTTGACTCCATTGTTGCCTCCATATGAACAGATCAGTTCTGATTGTAGATGAGGTATCATCATGGAGATCTTGGACATATATTTTAGCAGCTTTTATAATATTTTTATCGTCATACATATTTAAATTGGCCGGAATAAGTCCTTCAAGTGGTATAACATCAATAAGCCTTTGATTAAAACGAGCATCCATTGATTCTATTAAATAGTCAAGATACATTATACATATAAACACGGCCCATAGGGGCGGCTATAGCCCCCTTAGCCACCCCCCTTCGCTACGCCACTGATCCTACCTACTAAAATAATTCTACAAACCCTGTGAAAAAATCCTGCGCACGCCTATTACCCCGGACATATAAAATAATCATTCGATCATCTTTGTTAAAACAGAGAAGTTCTTAGACGAATGCAAGTATATCCCAGAGATAGTGCTAAAGTTTGCGAGGCCCTGGACAAAATAAATGTTGAGTCTTGTAATTTATATTAATAAAATATTTTAAGTTAATTTAAATCAGAACCGCGAGGCCTTAATTATAATTTAAGGTGCGGGGCCCTGGTCAACTATCCCTATTGCCCTTCCCTCGCGCCGTCCCTGGTATACCCCTTTGCACCCCATTCGCGATCCCCATGCGCACTGTAACTCGATAACGTCTAGAACAGGGTTGTCCAACTGGCGGCCCGCGATGCTATTAACTGTGACTCGCGTAAGGTTTTACGGAAATCATTTATTTTCTTTAAATGCTACCATTGTAAAAAAAGATGAAAAAAAGAAAAACACAAAATGCATAATAAAAAATATTTATAGGTATACATATACGAGTATATACTTATAGGTATAAAATATACAAAAACAGTTTAATAATTATCAATTATATTAAAACACGATTAGTCATGACTAGAAATGACTAAAGAGCAAAAGTGTTTTTTGTTGACTATTACTTATCAGTGTGCGGGTTTTCACTGAATTATATGTGTTCTATTTTTAATCAGTCATAATAAACTGTCAATTATCCGTCGCGCCGTTAATCGCCACGCGCCAGTGTGCTTCGACGAGTTGTCTGTTACATATCTTAGTTAATTATTTAATTTTTTGTCTTGATTCCTTAAACTTCAATACAATTATGAGTGTAAAACGTAAAATTGACAGTGAGAACAGGAGTTATAAAGAAAGTTGGGAGAGTGATTACTTGATTACTAACAATAATGGAAAGTTGCAGTATTTAGTGTGCATGAATGTTGTTTCTGTGCCTAAAGAATATAATGTGAGAAGACACTACACAACAATACATGAAAAGAAGTATGCTACGTATACAAATGAAAGTCGGTGTGCGCTAGTTGCAGATTTGAAGAAAAAGCTTAAACAGCAAACTGGTATGTTTAGTAAAATATTGCGCTCTCAATCGCATTCTTTGCATGCATCTTATGCCGTGTCGCTTGAGCTGGCAAGGGCAAAAAAACCTTTCACTGATGTCAATTTAATTAAAAAAAATGTGCCGTTGAAATGGCCAAAGCTTTTGAAGATTCCAAAATGGCAGAGAAATTTGAATCCGTGCAACTTTCACATCAAACCATACAAAGAAAGGTTGTTGCTATGGGTGAGAAAATAGAAAACTTTAAGCTTAGCCTGGTTAAAAAAAGTTCGTATTTCTCACTTTGTCTGGATGAAAGCACTGATCAATCAGATGTAAATCAGCTGTTGATATTCGTGCGCACTACTTTTGAGGATTTTACTAGTAAAGAGGAGCTATTTGATATTTGTCCTCTTTAAGGAACAACAAAAGGAAAAGACGCCTATGAGGCTTTGAAGAAAACAGTTGACAGAATTGGAGGCTTTAATAAATGTTCAGCTATAGCAACAGACAGGGCCCCATCAATGACTGGTAAAAAAAACTGGATTAGTGGGTCTGCTTCGATAGAATGGTGTTACTTGTCCGACAATACATTGTATTATACATCAGGGAGCTTTATGTGGAAAATTAGTCAAGCAGGATCAAGTTTTTCAGACCGTGATTAAAATTATAAATATGATTAGAGGTGGAAATCGATCCCTTTTACACAGGTAACTTAGGCAGTTTTTAGTGGAAACAGAGGCTGAGTATGAAGACTTGCTAATGTACAACCATGTAAGGTGGTAGAGTGCAGGAAAGTGCATGGAACGATTTTTTTCCATAAGAAAGGAAATCCCTGCATTTCTTAATAAATACGTTTCATCCGATACAACTGAACTGGAAGATAAGTTTCAGGATCCAGAATTCTTAAGACAATCAGCTTTTATAACAGATCTGACTAATCACCTTAACAGTATAAACTTGAGTCTTCAAGGAAGAAACCAGACGGTTTCAGATTTGGTCGGAATAATAAACGGATTCTGGAATAAGCTAAACGTGTTTAAACATGCTTTGGAAAAGAACAACCTAACACACTTCCCTAGCTACCTGAAACTAGCAGAAGAACTCAACAGTGAGAAAAATATTGACTTTTCATGCTGCAGTTCACAAATTCAACAAGTTATTAATGAATTCAATACACGATTTAAAGATATTGAAAGTCTCAAAAGCAGTGTACTACTTTATAATAATCCTCTTGGAGTATCCATTGAAGATCAACCACCTGACTTACAACTTTAGTTATGTGACCTTCAAGATGACATGTTTCTAATCACCCGACAAGAAAAGGAACCTGAATTTTTTAAATTGCTGTCTAAGGAGAAATTCCCAAACCTGCGAGATTTTGGACTGAAAATGACATCAATGTTCGGAAGCACATATATATGTGAAAGTGCCTTTTCCTACATGAAATACATTAAAAACCCCAACTGAAGCAACCTTACCGATTCTACCTTACGTCATCTCATGAGACTGTCTACAACTGAACTGGCAGTGGACATTTCTTCATTGGTGGATGAAGCCGATCGACCACAGTCTTCACATTAGATATATTTTCATTATTATTACAATGTTTGTCTTAGTTCTTGAAAAAACTACCTCTACAATGTAGAGTCTACATTTCCTGTATATATGAAAAATGTAGATGTTGAGCAATAAAAGAAATAATACTACTTTTTTGTTTTAATTATTTTTATACCTCTCACTATTTTGTTGTTACTTTAATAAAATTAGTATATGGCCCGCAACCAGATCAGAGGTTTAAGTTTTGGCCCTTGAGGCCATGCAAGTTGGACACCCCTGGTCTAGAACATAACTGTCAAATTTCAATCGTGTACAAAAAATTAACGAAGAAATAAATTTATTTACGAAAACAAATCGACGATAAGATAGTATTAATAATAAGTTTTTCGGCCAATAGCGCAATAGACTTAATGTGTATCACATCGTTGTTATTAAATGAATTGTAGGCTGTAGAGATAACAATAAATACCTACGTTGATAATTATGAGGTTTATATTCAATATTAATTAAAATCATAGGCGTACCCAGGCCTATATTTCAGGTCTACAAAATACATTTAAAAATTACATAGTAATCTTTCCATTTCTTGCTATCATTATGAAGGAATTTAACCCACTACACCTTGACCGAACCAAAAATGACGTATTTCTCCCTATTTCTTATATTTAGTTGCGTACGGCAAATATGTAGGCGTGGTGCGGCATGTACTATAATATAAGTGTATTGAATATTAAAAATGTACTGTATTTTTATAGTACATGCTGTAACTGTAGTCTATATATATATATATATATATATATATATATATATACATAGTATATAATGCTATGTATTATTATACTATTATATATATATATAATTTATAAAATATAAACTGATTAATTAATTAATAATTAATCACTTAATAATAAAATCTGATATTGCAAATGTTGTAGTAGGCACTTTGGAACTATATTTTAATGTCGCATTAATGTGTATTATTATCATTAATTATTGTACATACAACAAAAACGAAAAACAATAAATTTAGAAAATGAAATATTTTCTATGTTCGTAAAATAACAATTGATAAAGTTCTTAGGCAACATTTAACGAGCGGTTCATTTGAATGGTCTCCAATAAAATCGTTTTACATTTCGATTTGTACTCAATTAGATGACGTGTTTCCGTAACGAGTGTTTCCGGAGACTGCTGCTGGACACGAACGTCCACTCGCACAGGCCGCACTCGTACGGCCTGTGGCCCGTGTGCACCCTAACGTGTTCGACGAGCACGTGCGACTGGTTGAAGGAACGGCCGCACTCGCGGCACACGTACGGCCGGTGCCCGGTGTGAATCCTCATGTGCACCATCCGGTTGGCCGCGCTTGAGAACGAGTCGCCGCACACGGAGCACTCGTACGGCCGGTGGCCGGTGTGCTTGCGCCGGTGCACCGTCAGGTCGGAGAAGTGCAGGAAAGCGCTGCCGCAAACGCTGCAAACATGTGGTCGATCATCCCAGTGAATTCGGCAGTGGGCGTACAGGTAACTTATATTCCTGAACGTTTTGCCGCACTCGCGGCAAGGGAACGGCGACTCCTGGCTGATGGTGCCATCGTGTAGGCTGTTGTGTACGCGCAGACTGGTGGCCAGCTTGAACTTGGCTGAACAAAATCGGCAACGGAGCCAACGTCTTATCACGATCCCCGTCCCGTTTGACCTATCGTTGTTCCTGACCGTCGTCACCTGGACAATAATAATATTGACTGTTGTGCAATGCATGGCGGGATATTGTAAAGCTCGAAATGAATAGAAACGGTTTTGTATAATATTAAGCATCGTAAAGTTTAGTGGGGCCTATACAGTGGCAAACCAGGGCCGATTATGGGGTTTTAACCCCGCTCCAATAAAATAAAATTATATTAGTTTTAATAAAATATTAGAAATTCACACATTATTAAAACTGCACATTTAGAATACACATAATCAAGATTCACTTAATTTGATGGGAAAACGCATAGCTTCAATTATAAATGTATAATTTAATATGATTTTTTTCTTTGTATTAACTCTTGGCCTCTTAAATTATTTAAATAGGTATAACCACATAATGTACAACTGTGCAAGTACTTTAGGTAGGAACAGTTTTTAATATAAATTATTACATACTAGTTATAAATTATACGATTCTTTTTGCTTAGTCATTAGTCAAAAAGTAAAACAACTAAAGTCAAAATTAATATTTTATATTGTTATGGAAGAAATACTATGTTAGATATTATTGTTTAAATCTGTGGTTATCGCGGCCGCACCGTCGTACTGATAATCAACAATTATTATGAAATTTCTATTTTAGTCATTGCGCATCGCATTTCTAGAAATTATCAATAATTATAATCTAAAAGTACTTTTTGTACAAACGCTATTACGCAAATAAAAAAAAAAATCTATTTGTGACTAATAAGTATAACTCAATTATTTGTTAAATAATAATAACAATGTATAACTTGAAACAGCTTACTCTACCATAATTAACAAAAAAAAGCAATAGGTGTTGTGGCCACCTAAAGTTTAGGGCTCGGGGAAAAATATTCCCAATGTCCTCCCTCTTGATGGCCCTGGGCATTTTATTCGTAAAACATTTCACTTTAAAATTCAATCCAAGTATCGAACTGCCAAAGCAACACGTTCATGAAGTTAGCCCCTCCAAATTACAGATAAACTTGAAACCTATATCAATATTTTGCAAATGAATTGAAAATTGGTTTCTACGATTTGCAAATTATCTCTAATTTCGGCGAATATTTTGCGAATTTTTGCAAGCCCTATCAGTGACAGGACATAATGGTCCTACAACATTTTCATCAGGAAACATAATTAGATCATTTATTTGAGACATTTTGACACAATGTATTACGATGAGTACAATTTAATCATTTTGGAGAGATATTGATCCGTTTTGTAAAATAATTATTAACTTGCTAAGTAGATCAAAATGTTCCCAAATTAATCAAATATTCCTTCGAGGATATTTTGATCCATGGGGACTGATTAATTCATAATATATAAAATTTTGATTTTAGATTGTTTTGGTGTATATTGTCTGGCACTATAATAGTAAATAAGTGGTTATAGGAAATAAAGTATATTTTATAATCATCTTTGAATATATTGTGCATATCTCGCTGATTTATTTGAGTTTTAAAAAATTAATTTTAATGGCTGGGTAGTTGAAAAAATTAGTTTAAGTATGAAATAAATGTACAAATGGTTATTTCTTGTCGAGAGGCAACTAAAACCGTGCATCATGCATTTATTGTATTATTGTCGATAATAATCAGGGTTCGGAAGTTCTAGCAAAATATATTTCACACTACTTGAATATCATATAAAAATTTAATCTGCTATTTTTTGCATATTTAAGGGTGTTGTATGTGGCATGTGCCACTAATAAAAATAGACAAATATAACTTCTTAAATTGCGTAATATTAGGCCAATGAAGCAAATGAGCTGAGGCAGCACCTTATAAAATAATATTTAAGGACATAAACAACACAGTAGGGGGACAGTGCGGGTTTCGACTGAGAGACGGTTGTATCGTGAGTTTTTGTTAGAGACCCGTAAATTTGTGTGTGTTTGTTTCATTTTTAATAAAGTTTTCTAAAAAAGTGTACTTAATTGTTGTCAATCTTTTTGTATACCATCGAAAGATAGGTATACTACAAGGGTTTTATTGCTATTTTGCTAATTTAGGATTTATAGTGCTATTTTGTGTTTTCATCGACAATTTGATGTATTAATACATAATACTAATTAATAGTTAATGACGTCATTGTTATTCTTTTATTGTATCATTGCATTAAATTATCAAACATTTTAATAATCCAGGGTCATGGGCGGATAGGCCCAATGGGAAATCGGGATTTTCCCGGTAGGCCCTCGCATATGTTTAATGTTGAGACCCCTCCCTGACTTCAGTCCCATGAAATACTACATTATACAAATTACAAATGAATCTTCGATTAGAATTGGCAGTGTTAACAGTCTGGTTATCGTTATCGTGGGACGCAAATTGCCAATTGGTGTGAGTAATGCCATGATATAATAAATTTATTAAATCATGGGTAATGCCGTTAGCTAACCCTAGGGTGGGCAATGGGCATGATATTTTGCTTCTATAGTCCATATACCATGTATAGAGCCCCCGGAATTATATGCACTAAAAACGTACGAAATATGCATGCATTTATGCGAAAGTTATAATTCAAATATGCACTCAAAATATGCAAAAATATGCGGAAATATGCAAACAAAAATGCATGTTTATTATTTATTAAATTTATTTAATTTTAAAATGTATACAAATCATTAAATAATTGATATTCAACAAAAAATATACTTTAAAATATATCAACTGTATTTTATATATTTTATTGAACCATATGGAACTGTATGTTGTATTGAAATTAAATTGTATTTTGAACACACTCATCTAAACAAAAATTCACAAATGACTTTTACAATTTAAACAAATCAAACGGATTTTTATAATACTTTTAAAGTTACCTGGAGAGTTACCATCGTATTGGTATTTTTAGCTTATCTTAAACTTTATCTTATTTTATTATAACACGAAAATCAAATTATATAACTGCACATTTCACGGAATTTACGATGGACATGCGCTAAGTAATAAATAATAATATTAATAACTTCATAATATTTTTTCTATTTATGCATTATATTTTAGAAAAATGCTAAAATATGCATAATGATTTGAAATTTTCCAAATATGCAAAAATAGGCCAAATTTAATTTCGCATACCAACACGTTAGGTTACGATTCAAATTTCTGCCTTACTACTTTTTATTTTAATATATAAAAATATGCAAATGCATACAATTCCTGGCCCTAATCATGTATATAGTTATAAATATCAACTTGATAACAAAATCGTTTAGATTATTATTGTTCTATTTTTAGTAATGAGTTTATTAACATTATTTGTTCATGTTATTGATAACTTGTGCCAAAATTACGATGGTGGACATTGTGTCGTTCAGTCGTTGATTATAAATTGTAATGCAGTCTCAGTAATTATTTTATTATTTTTATTCGTAGTTTTAAATAATTTATATTTACGATTATCAACTAAGACAAGAAAATTTGAAAGTTTTTCTTTAAAGAGAAAACGGAAAGATTAGGAAGCTTCTATAAATACAATGTTAGTAAATTACTATTATTTTAAATGCTTGTTTTAAACTTATTACTAATCAATCTACATTTTTGTTAACAGATTATTATTCAACCAGTCCAGACGTTTATGAGCCCAAACATTAGTAAAATTACATTTCATTTTTTTTCTAATAAATTTATAATTTTTTCAAGTTAAATGCATATTTTAGAGTTTTTAAATGCATCTTTAAGAGCTAAAAAGTAAAATTTTTAATGCTACAACTTCCAAACTCTGATAATAATATACAAGATATTTGGCAGAACTCATGGGTCTTTCCTAACTGAAATCACTAATTTAATAATTTATATATCTACGATATAATGGCATTAATTCACAAAATATTGGCATTGGTTCCGATTAAATCAGTCAACTTAGTGGGGATACATGAAGTTAGCCCTCCAATCAAAAAATGTTTATTACCAAGTGGGGAAGGGGATGAATTCTATAAAAAATTTGCAATTCATTTGTAAAATATTGGCATACATTTCGAGTTATTCTGCCTACTTAGGGAGGCTAATTTTATAAATGTAGGGCAAAAACAGGGAAATTTCTAAAATTCCATCTAATTGAGGAGAGAGAAAGTGAGAAAGGAAGTATATCAATCAAACATATATAGGTACAAATAACTATGTTTTTTTTAAAAAAAATGTGAATGCGAGGAAGACTAAAAGCGGAAATTTCGAGGTAAGATTAAATCCTGTAGATGAGATACTTAGGCCAGTTTTTAATCAAGGGTAATTCTAAGAAAAATATTGAGATATGTGACCAAAGGATTTAACGATTAAATTTACAAAAACTGGAACAGTAAATACCTATTTTTAACAGATTGCATGTAATTAATCGACATAAGCCTTTATCATTGATTTTTTAATCTGTTAATACAAAAAATATAATTTTAATTTATTTCATTATACCATAAACCGTTACAAACCTTTGAATTTACTTTTTTCTTTTTCTTTTTTTTTTTGACCATTGATTTCTTCCTATAATTAAAAAATATTATTAATAAAGAAATTATAAATAATAATTAATTATAGTAAAATAATTTTATAACTTATGAACTTTTATGTCACTTTTAATTATGGACACAAATTTCTACTTGTATTAAAAAATGTCTTACATCCCTGTTTTTGTTACAGTAATTGATTAATTAAAAAAATATTTCAGGTTGAATAAATTTAAATAATATATACTTAATACACAAATTTTTTTAGTAGTATATAGGTTACAGTATTACTGTTATAGACTTTAAGTTAAGAACAAAATCTGTAATTACTATTTTTACTTGACTTGCTTAATACTTACATTAATGGATACTTTTTATCATCTTTAAAAATATTTGAAATTAACGGTGTAGGTATAGTAGCAACATCTAAAATAAAAACCAAATATTTTAATTAATAATAAAAATTAAATTTAAAGTTAATCCAGATTAATTAATTACAAAATAAAAAAAATATAACCATGATTCTAGCATTTAATATTTGTTTGATTTCTACTATCTTTTTTACCTTTTTTAAAGAATAATGATTGCAAAAAATGGTTGTTAATTATTGGAGAAATCATTAATTTTTAATATTTCCATTATTCAGAATTTTAAATATTAAATACTCATTGTAAGTACATGAGCATTAATTAAAGAACATTATAAAATCAATGGTATATTAGTATGTTTGACATTATCAAAGTATTATTATTTCTAGCCTATAAAATGTAAAAACCACAGTAAATAACAATTTAAATAACCATATTATGATAGATTTAACATATAGCTTGTAGAATATTATTTTCTTTTTTCTATTATAAAAAAAAACACAATTTAAACTAAAACAAAATTCAATATATATACATATATATAACCAGAAGTGGAACTAGAAATTTTTACACCTAGGGAAAATTTTAAAATTATGCCCTATCATAGATCAATAATCAAATACTCTTCTCGAGAATTTTTTTCTAATAACTAATATACAATCATACTTATTTAGTTTTAACTTAATATCAGTATTTAAAAAATTTAAAAATATCAAATTAGTTGTTAATAATTACAAAAATTACACCCTCTAAAATTTTACGCCCGGGAAGGAATCCCGGTCTTCCACCCCTTAGTTCCGCCACAGTTTATAACTATAATTGAATATAATATAAAATATATAGGATATCAAGATTCCTAAAATCATTTTTCAAATCATGAAGACATATGCATATCTATTACATATACCTTTTTTTTTTTCTATTTTCTTTATGTTTATACATTTCATGTTGTATGATCTTTGCTATTAACTCTTCTTTAACGGAAACCATCTTTATTTTCGATCTAAAATCACAAATAAAATGTAATAAATAATTTAAAATTGTAACACTGTATTTTAGATTACATAGTATAGTCAGCGCTTGACTTGAGGGGGGCAGAGTGCCCCAGCTAATTTTTAAAAATTTTAACATCTACCTACTATTATGACGTTATATTCATAACGCTTAACAAGTCTTGGGGACACTATTTTATATCAAGTAAACAGAGTCCCCTTATTTAATTTTGCTAAGTCAAGCACTGAGTATAGTTCTAAAATACATTAATTATTTTATTAAAATTACTAAAATTATTATAACTTACTAAAATTGTTACAAAGTACAGATTATAAATTTTAATTTAATGAATTAGTGTAAGACACATAAAATAAAATTATTGATATCACGAAAAATGATGTAGCTGTAAGATTAAATAAAGTTATCCTATTCTATGAGCCGAATAAGAAATAATAATAATTAATCATTAGAAACCGAAGAATTTATAGATATTCAATTTTCGAGTACCAAAATATTGAAATCGCATAATTTTTGTAATTTAACCACAGACTAGATAAATTATATTATGAATTTCATTTATTCTATGATTTAACTGTAGAGCTTATTGCGATATTGATATCAATGGTATTCTCATAGACATTAAACGTTAGTTTAATATCAACGGGTATTCTTGATAATAAGAAATTATATTCTTGTCCGATAAGAACAATTTATTGACGAATGGATCTTCGCAGGAAAAAATTGTTTGTGTCCGTATATAATATTGCCTACATTTTAGCCCCTTTTTTGCAGCTATCAAAATGTGATAACATTGATAACACGATAACATAATTTTTATTATAATAGATTGTAACAGGGGCGTACCCATGGAGGGGTTTTCTGGTCTGGATCCCCCCCCCCCATTGAAATATCTACATACACAATGGTTTAATAATAAATAGTATAATAATAGTCCGAGTTGTAAAAAATACTTTTAAAAAGTATATAAAAATACTAAAATACATTTTTTTTTCAAGTATTTAATATACCTACTACTCAAATACTTCAATTGTATAGTATATCAAATACTACTCAAATACTTTTGTAAAAAAATATTTAGAATAATTAGGCTATGGTAAACTAACATTTTGCAGAGAAATAATCAAAATAAATGCATTATGCTGTTCTGAATCACTTTCATCATCAGTATTATAGCTAGAATTACTCTTATTAAAACTTAGTTTTTGTAATTGTAGTAGTTAGTAGATTATAAACACAACTACACAAGCCTTTAAATTAATAAATAAAAACAGTGTAGACTCGCAGCTATATAGTGATTTGTGGGAAAATCTAAGTTATTAATACGAGAATTCTTGTAATGCCGTATAACCAGACAGATATCATATCTAATATTAATAGTTACCTATCTAAAAATACAAAAGGAAATTTTATTATTGAATATCTATTTTTAGAAGCCTGGTTTTCACAAACCTTCAGACTTAAATTATAGTTGGCAGTATTTTTCCTACCAAATATTTTAAATAAAAATTAAACGTTCGAAAAAAACTTAGTGTTCAATACAAATAAATATTCAATAGAAAAAAAAAGTATTTAAAATACCATTGAAAATACTTAGTTCTAAAAATATTTAAAAAATTATTTAATACTTAAAAAAGTTCATCAAACACTTAATTATAAAATAAACGTATTAAATGTATTAAAAAGTTAAAGTCTCATGTCTAATTAATTAAAATTAAATATATCTTCGACTGCACAATTTGAAATCGAGCTGGTGGCACGTAACAACTGTAACGACCACCAGTGGAACAAAACTCGAATATTTATGTGGTAATTAGCTCCTGTATTTTAATTTTGTGGTGGGTGGGTAGGTGGTTGTCTACTTTGTAGTTTGTACATTTTTTTTATCAATTATTTAGGTAATATATATTATTTATATAATAAAATATTTATTATAGACATCAATTTTTTTGACCCCACCCCTGTCGTAAAATTTAAATCATGGCACTGACTCTACCCGGTGGTTGATCCTGTTAACTCATTTTAAAATAACGACCCGTAAAATAAAATATCGTTGGCGTCACTGTAAAATAGGTTGAATGATTGAACGTAGTGCGTTTCAACATTATTTATACGTCAACGTAAGCATAATGTAAGTGTATTACTAGGTCTTCGGTATTGGTCTACGATTGTGATTTTACCTAGTGGTGTTGTCGTAAATAATCTTATGGGTAAACGCTTCAATTCAGTAATTTATAAAGGGCGTAGTTCATAACCACACACTTTTATATCTTAATCCTACATATGTCCACCAAATTAAATCGTTCAATATCGTACACATTGATATATATCAGCGTTTCTTAAACTGTGTTCCGCGGAACCCTGGGGTTCCGCGAAGATCACTTCAGGGTTCCGTGAAGCTTAAGTAATTTTTTAAAAATTTTTAAGAAAATTACTTTAAAATTTCCAACTTAAGATTAGCAATGTTGAAAAACTGTTTGCATTATAGAAAAAAAAAAATCTTTGTATATTAAATAACATGTATAAGCGATATGGAATAGTCTACATTTATATTTCGGTGCACATCACTGCGCATGCATCGTTACCATTTTGTAATATATCACATAAACTCCTTATACAAAGTTTTTTTTTACACCTTAATTCCGCACATAATTTTTTTTTAACACCCTAACTCCGCACATCATTTTTGTATATATTTTTGTACATAATTTAAAAAAACAATCGGTATTCTATCAATTAGCCATCGTTATATAATTCTATGTGTTTATTTATAAATTCCATATTGGTTTTTTGTTTAGTTCTAACTATCCTACTTCATTATTATTAGCAGAATTCATTCGTATGTAAGAATCCGTCTGCATAGCTAATAAGTTTTTAATGAAAACTGCAATATTTAGATGTAGGTACTGAAGTAAATAAATTACCAAATTTTGCATGAAAAGACTCATAGTTGTTTATTGTTCTCTCCAGTATTACTTCTTTTTTGGCCCAAATACTGTGTGGAAATATTGCATCGTTTTTTAATGTATGTTTTGTCTAAGTAAGTGATCATTTTTTTAATTCGTGAATCTTGGGTTGGTCATTTTTAAAGTAATTTTCAAAACATAGTTTTATGCTATGCGGACTTTCGGTATTAAAAATATTTTTAGAATGCGGAGCTACGATACTTTAATTTTTTTAACCGTGCCGAATTATGGTGCATGCGGAGTTGTGGATTTACAAAATAATTATTTTATTCGCGCGGAGCTACGGTGCGTCCTTATATTTAGTCTAATTAAAGTAATTATTATTAAAGTATTATTATAATATATATAGATATTTTTTAATTATTTTAATTTTAATTTTAAAATATTTTTTGAATTAAATACCTTTAACACAATATTATATGATTATAATTTATTTACAAAAAATCCTAAAAAAAGCTAAAAAAAAAGTAGGGGTTCCACGATAAATGTGGACATCAAAAAGGATTCCACAGATAAAAAAGTTTAAGAAACTCTGATATATATCAATAACGTATACATTTATCTAAAATAACATGAGTGCACCTCGAGACCGGGCGGGGTCATTCGCTCACTGCGCTTACTCGGACATTTAAAAACGAAAATATCCCTCGATTTGCTATGCAACACCGCCCCAAATAGGTCACAGGATAAAAAAAACCATTATAAGTGGGAATCATACGAAACGGCAACATGAACCGTACATTCTAAGTATGCAGAGAGAAAGAACTGTTAATCAATTGTGTGCGGTTTTGAATTATTGACCTTTCAAATTTCCCTTCTTAACAATAGAATAAATGTGTGAGGTATTGAACAATGTAAAATGTGCGGTTATGAACGGTAAGTGTGTGGTTTTGATGACCGTCGTTTATAAAGTAGGTGAAGCGCTTCACCGGGTGGGGGGTATGCCCCTCCCCAAAGGCCATTATTTAAGTTAATATTAATTTTAATCATTTATTTTAAAAAAATAAAAATAGGAGTCAGTGTCAACTGTATTGCATTATATTTATTATACTCTTTATAATCTGTGATAATAGTAATAAAGTCAATTTTAACTTTTGATAGAAAATAATAAGACAGAACAACGAACACTTTAAAGCTTCAAAATGTGGTGTTGGTGAAGGATGCTGACAGTGTATTGATTAGAAAACCGTACCAACGAAAACATACTCAGTGAAATAGATAAACGAAGAGAGATACTCAAAGACATCAGAACAAGACGATGGAACATGATGGGTCATATATTGAGACACGAAAATGAACTAACTCATAGAATAATAGAAGAGATAATTGAAGGGAAAAGGGACCGAGGACGCCCGAGAACTTCATATATTAAACAAATGATCTCAGAGGCAGGACTAATATGTAACACCGAACTGAAAAAGCTAGCTGAGAACAGAGAAAAGTGGAGAGCGAATATCTAATTGCAAAACCAACCTGAAGGGTTGAATACCAAAAAAAAAAAAAAAAAATTAATATTAAAAAAATTTATAATTATAAAATATTCCAAAATGATTTTTTTTCTGTAAATACTCTTAATGGTTTTAATAATATTTAAAATGTACAAACCGATTATCTGTGGAATTATATACAATCTAAGGCATTATATACAATCTATGTTAGATTTACATATAAAATTGTATTTATTATATACTATTATATATAATTTTATAATATATTTATTTATTATTACAGTCGACTCTCAGTAACTCAAAGTTCAAGGGTTCGACTTACTAAAAATTTCGAGTTATCAAAAACTTTTAAAAGTATGTTTTTTTTATTTTTATATAATATTTAAATTAAAGAAATAAAAAAAAAAAATTTACATGTTATCATTTTTAAAGAATTGGTGTAAAGTTAATTGTTTTTGTTTAATTAAATCTATATTGTTCTCAATTCTATTTTATAAAATACCGAGTGGCTTAAATAAATGTTCCATATCTTCATTGCCTTCAATATATATATAGCGAATCTTAGATAGGGATTCGGCGCGGCGGTCCACGCGACTAGATCGGGTCCACGGGTTGCGGATAGTGGTATTTAAACACTCCCCCGTGGTAGGGGAGAGGGAAGAAATAGACCGAATACTTCCCCCCCGGACAGCGGACCTGCGTCTTAGCCGGCACGGGGCGGGAGCTCCGTCGATGCGTGTCGGTGGCATAAAATGCGCGGTGTGCCTCGAGCTCCGAGACGGCCGTGCGATCAAAATTTATTCTGAACCCGGCCTAAGCCAGGCTTGGGTCGGGAGCTGGTGGTTCGCTGGGGAACCGACTCAGCGGATCGGAGGTCCGTTCTTACGGCCTCCGGCGGGCTGTCGCGTCTCACGTCAGACTAGCTTCCCCCGGGAGGCTAGCTGTGATGGCGGCGGTTCGGATCCTGTATTAATTCGGTAGACGGTGGGTTGACCGCCACCGTCGAAGCATTTCCTACCATTGAGACGCTTAACACGAATGGTACGTCGGGAGGCGTGGTTAGCCCAGGCCGGCATGTGTCCTACGTGTCTTGCCGCCACGCCGAGTTTAGCCCCGGCTAAAACTGAGGTTGGACTCGACGGGGCTTACGATTTTGCTTTATAGTAACCGGGCGGTTACCGGCCGCTCGGGGTCTCCCTAGTTGGGGGGCTCGTACGGTACGGGAGTCGGCAGCCCGCTGCTGGTGGTCCGGCTTGACGACCCAGTCGTCCCGAGCACTCGGGGGGCTGCTTCATCCGCACCTCTTGAGTAGCTCCACGAAGCTAATAGAAGGTGTGTCGGATGATATCGGCTTCGACCCCAAAAACCGGGTACATTGCCTTCAATATATTTACGTAATGTTTCTAATGCAAGTGTTGCTTCTTTATTTGTAATGGTGGATTGTACTTGTTGGTCTTCGAATTCTTCTTGGTTATCTTCGTCCAATATATCCGGAGATAATATCGTTCTCAGTCCATTCTCTACAAATATCCAAATTTTCATCGACATTGACGTATGATGTAAAGGTTTCATCAACATTTATTTTCTTCATTAATTGATCCCATTCATCGTAATTATCATCGGAAGGTTCATAAGGAGTGTTTTCATCGTTCTCAATTGAAGTTCTAAAACCTGATTTTATAAAACAGTTTAAAATCGTTCCTTTTTTTACGTGTCGCCATGCTTTATCGTATAGCCGTATAGCATCCAATATGTTTATAATGATTTGATTGTTACCATTTATAGCCAATATAATTTTTTTTAGGCGAATAATCGTCTTGATAAACTATTTTTAGTACTAAATTTGGATAAGAAAATTCGAGGTATCGAAAATTTGTCAAATTAATTTTCGAGTTACTAAGATTATTTAAACATTAAGTGTAATTGTTATTTGAAGGGGAATTTTAATTATTCGAGACATCGAGAATTTCGAGTTATCAAGGTTCGAGTTACCGAGAGTCGACTGTATAAAAAAGTGATACAAAATTGTTTTTGCCACAGGGCTCTGCCTTATCCCCTCTTCTCTTTAATGTGTATACAGCAGACATTGACAATACCAAAACTAGAAAGTTTATCTACGTGGATGATGTGGGCTTAGTTGCACAAGGTACAACTCTGGTTGAATTAGAAAGGACTCTTGGCAAGGATAATGCGATACTTCAAAAATATTTCAAAACCTGGTACCTTACCTTAAATTCCAGTAAATCGATATCTATCACCTTTCACCTTAATAACTGTTAGGTTAGTATTAAATTACAAATTATGGTAAGCGGGACCCGCATTTCTAATGATGATTTTCCTAGGTACCTGGAAGTAAAACTCGACAGGACTTTGATTTACAAACAACACCTAGAAACCCTTACAGACAAACTTAAAACACGGAATAATATAATCTTTAAACTGGCAGGAACAAGTTGGGAATGTAATGCAAACATTCTAAGAATATCAGCTCTGGCTCTAGTATACAGTACAGCCGAGTATTGCGCTCTCACATGGTCAAGAAGCGCGCATTGTAAGAAAATCGACACACGGATGAATCAAACAATGAGGATAATTTTAGGTACTGTAAAAAGTATACAAACTCACTAGTTACCAGTCTTAGCACACATTGCACCAACTAATTTAAAAATACAAGCAGCAACTTGTTCCCTAAAACTTAAGATTAAAGCAAACCCTAACCTCCCAGCTCACGCAGATATCTTCAACCACCCAGCTAAAATACTGAAATCAAGAAACCCGATCTGGGAATTTCTTGAACTGAATTGGACATGGAGAAACGGTGGTTAATGCAGTGCACGGAAGCCTCAGTTAGCAACTCAGTACCTCATCAAAGATCCCACTAAGAAACTACCAGGTTTCGAATTTCCACGCACGATCTGGATAACAACTAACAGAATTAGGTTAGGAATAAATAATAAATTTCTTTTTAAAAAAATAAGATAGTACTTGGTGCAAAACGGATAGAAAAAAGTCAGAACTTTTTCGTTCACACTTAACCAAAGTCTTTCAACCACATCATGACATTGTAAATAACGCCTTTGAAGAATATATTGAAAACCTCCTAATTTCCCCCCTTCCTCTCTACCTACCTCCAAAACCATTTACACCTGGCGAACTACAATATTATATAAAACTGTTTTCTCTCAAAAAATCTCCTGGTCTAGACCTTATTACAGCTGAAGTAGCTCGCCAGCTACCAAAAAAAGCGATTACACACCTCACTCATATATTTAACTCTATTTGAAGACTGTCCTACTTTCTCTACAGTGGAAAACTTCTATTATAATTTTAATTTTAAAACCAGGTAAGCCATCTGAAAACCCTACTTCATATGGATCAATAAATCTTCTGCCTCTTTTCGCTAAACTCTGTGAAAAATTAGTATTAAAACGAATCTCTCCCTTCATAAATAACGTGTAACGATCAAAAATAGATTAGTGTCTGTGTTGGTTTTCCTCATTAAATCATAACCATCTTAAATAAATGCGCGACCACTTCATCACCTATAAACACCTATATAAACACCACTATATAACACCGATTGACGAAAACACTTTGAAATTCCCTCCGACTTCTGTAATTGCACACCTCTCTATCCGGTTGTGTATAGTATGTTAGTGGGTGGCCATGAGGTAATTGCATGATAACGAATATCGGCCAATTATTATAATTATTATTATTATTATTTCAATGAACCAGTTTTCCTATAGTTCTGGAAAATATTATACTGGCTCACTTTTTGTGTAGCTGTTCCGTCGTCCACAATATGTACGAGTAGACCGGACCATGCCGGTGCGTCTTGGGACGACGACCAATTATTCAATTGGTCGGTAATGTATTATAAAAAAAAATTATATTCTTATTATTACTATTATACTTTGACCAGTATTCGTCAGTGGAATTTTCCCCACTATTACTAATTTTTATAAATTCGCGTGTGGAAAATCCGCCATGTTTTGAAGGCAAAACTATAAAAAGGTGGAGGTTTTACGCCCGTACGAACTTTCCTCCACCATGTAAAAGTTTTTTTTTTATAATATATTTATATTCATCTATAATATAATTTTCTTTATTAATCCTTTTCCTTTATTTATGAGTAAGGTGTAAATGACCACGATAGTAAATTCCAATTACTCTGGCCCCAAAAAGAGTCTCGGTATTTGGTTGGCGACCCATGTACCTTTGAAGGTGATCGTCAACGGGCGCTCGACAGAACTTTCTGTACTGAGATGTCGCAAAGGTATCAACCATCCCACAAACCCAATTTGGCTTTCGCAAAGGCCACTCAACCATCCACCAAATACATCGGCTGACAGATTCAATAGCTAACTCCCTGAAAAAAAAAAGAATATTGCTCAACCGTTCTCCTTGACGTGGCACAAGCATTTGATAAGGTTTGGCATCCCGGCCTTCTGTACAAATTGAGAAAAATCTTACCCCCTCCTTACTACTTATTCTTTAAATCTTACATCGAAGACCGTTACTTCACAACAAAGGTAGGCTGTGAAATTTCAACTTTAGCCCCATTAGCAGCAGAAGTCCCCCAAGGTGCCATTTCATCTCCCATTCTGTTTAACCTATACTCGGCAGACCAACCCACGACACATCATACTTCTGTTGCGGATTTCGCGGACGACAAAATTATTTACACCTCACATGAAAACCCTTTAACTGTTGGTTATAACCTACAAACTCATTTAGATCACATGTCGTCCTGGTAACCGTGCAGTATTAATACAGTACAAGAAGTAGTAAAAAGAAAAAAGCCAAAATCGAAACAGTTATTTCCGTTTTATGGAAATATTGAAAAATATACCAATAGATTAATTGATAAATTAAAAATGCATCCGGTTAAAGGTGGGTGTATTGCCGATAGAGTAATAAAATGGATAATTAAAAAAATAAAAAATATAACGTATAATAATATACTAGTATATTATTAAATATAATTTATAAAAACTAATGATATCCCAACAAAAACACTCCGTCAACTCCGTGTAAAAAAACGTTAAGTAAAAAAAAAAAAAAAAAAATGCTAAAATGTGTGATATAAGGTGGAATCTAAGTAAACGGTCTAACGTGTAAAATGTACATATCAGTAATTAATTCAAAATTAATAAAATTTGGTTATTTGTATTATTAATTTATAATATGATTTATTTTAACTAAAATTTATCTAAATTTAGATAGATAAATTAATAGATAAATTTAGAACAATTTTATTTATTTTAATGAGGCCTACATTATCTATTACATAAACTTAGTACTTGGCTATATATTTTTTAGATTGAATCTTCCGGCCAAGTAAACTAAATTTAGATACGAGTAAATTTTAGTTAAAATAAATCATATTATAAATTAATAATACAAATAACCAAATTTTATTAATTTTGAATTAATTACTGATATGTACATTTAACACGTTAGACCATTTACTTAGATTCCACCTTATATTACACATTTTATAGCATTTTTTTTTTTTTACTTGGCGTTTTTTTACATGGAGTTGACGGAGCGTATTTGTTGAGATAAACAATAACAAAACATCCATTATTATCAAAACCGTTATCATATAATCACATTTCCTTCTCCTTGGTCAGCATAACATAAACATACACAAACGGTAACGGGTAAACCAAGTTCAAAATTAAATTTCCACATGACGCGGTGATGCGTAGTGCGTACTCATATTAAGACTTACTGATTATTGAATTGTTTTCTTATGCACTACAAGTTCTACTGATGACAAAGTTGAAATCGACAGCTTGAATTGTTTGAACGTCACGGCCTTTAGTTGAAGCCATGTCGGGTGTGACGACCAACATTTTCTATGGTCCATCGAAACGCTGTGATTTTGAATCAGCGATGTCGTCATCGACCTCCCGGAAGAAGGTGAGACGTGAACCGTGCCATTTGACCAACGTCAACCGATTGCTGGGACCCCCAATCGGTTGGAAAAACTTTCCTAGGCAGCAGGAGGCGCTGGATTATGCGAAAGAAAAATCGTGCGGCTGCATGTCATTCACGTACGAACAAAGTAATGGTCAGCGGTACTTCATGGTCGCCCATCCCGAAACATTTTGGTACTACGACTCACGAAAACCGCAGTACGAAAGGCACACGTACGAGATCATAACGGAGGGCCATCCATGCAAGTTGTACTTTGATTTGGAATATGATTGTAAAGAGAATCCCGAGTCCAACGGCACCAAAATGCTGGAGACCTTTGTCAAAGTCATCATACTGTTTGTCAGACAAAGATTTGACGTGTTGTGCAGTCAAGAAGATGTTCTTGATTTGGACTCGTCTACATCAGAAAAGTTCAGCCATCATTTAGTATTCCCAACATTGGTATTCTCAAATAACATAGAAGCTGGTTATTTTGTTAAATTTGTGTGTACCGAAATTGATAAGTTTTTGTCTGAGGATCACAACCCAGAGGACAATGGACGCTTTTACGGTGGCATAAGTACTAGTGATCTTCTTGATTTGAAAACCGATAAGGGATTGTTTTGCGACCAAAGCGTATATTCTAGAAACAGGCATTTTAGATTATTCATGTCATCAAAGTTAAAAAAAAATGTCCCATTATTGTTGAGCAAAACCAACAAGTATCAACTCTCAGAAAAGGCACATTGCGATGACTGCTTTAACAAACAAATATTCCTTAATTCTTTGATAACATTTGGTTGCGAAGGTAAAGTGTTATTGAATTTCACAAACATAACCAGTCAGATTAGTTCACAATTAGGAAACAAGTATACACAGTCAGATAACAAAAGTGAGTGTTATACATCTTACACAAATACACCTTTCCCTCGCATAGATAGGTTTATATCTGATCTCGTGTTTCCTGGAAAAATTTTTAGAAACTATTATTTCCCTTCAGTTAATAAACTGGTATACAGTATTGTGAAGAATCGTTACTGCGGAAACATTAAACGGCAACATAAGAACAATAACGTGAAGTATGTAGTAGATCTGAATGAAATGTATTGGTACCAAAAATGTTATGATCCTGATTGTCACCAATACCGATCTAATGGTACAAAGCTACCTGATGAAATTTGTTTTGAGTACACCAATAGGATAGTGGATGATTTATCCGATAGTCAATTAGTAGAAGTTGTTGATGCTGCTCTTTTGACTTATGAATTATAATGTAAATTTTATTAATAAATTTTTACAAAATATTATTAAAAAAATTTTTTAAATTTATTTAATAATGTATGTTACACAGTTTAAATATTTTAAACTTAAATATAAAAACATATTTTAACTGGATAAAAATGCCTTATTTACCAATTACTATTATAATTGTTATAAAATATAAAAATTAACAAATTTTTTTAAAAATTTGTTGAACTGTAGGTAACAATGAAAATTCAATTGGTTCTAATTATTAGTTATATAGTAAAATTTAACACATAAACAAATGTTGAGCAGGCAAATAAACTTTTGGTGTAACATTACTTTTTAATGTATTTTATGTAAATAAGTCCAATTAAAGTGCACACTTCAATGATAATTATGAGTATGAGCAAAAGCTTATCCTGAAAGACATGACGATTAATAGCAGACACATAGCGGTGTGAAGATAGACGGGAATTATCAATGTCCTCCAAACGATTGCGAGTACTATTAAGTGTTTGCCTTTGTTCTCCCAATTCTTGAACTATTGCAGTTCCAATTTCTTCAGTTTCGACAGCAATAGATTTTATACCAGTCAAACGATCATTTGTGCGTAGTAAAATCTTGCGATTTTCTTCAAGAACTTCCATTTTCACTAAAACTATATAATAAAAAAAATGAAAACGAATGATTTAGTTCTTACTTATATATAAAAATATTTTTGCTTGTTGAACATTATTATACAAAATAATTAAAACAAAAATTTTCAATTTGACAATCTAATACTATTTAGTACATATCAAACCTACCTTAAAAAATTTTATTTTGATCTAAAGTGTTTACACATTAATGAAAATTATTTTTAAACATGTTTGAAGCTTTGATAAAAAAAAAAGAAAACCACTTCAAGGACTCTGGTTCATAATTGTTTTTGTGAAAATCTTTTGCAATTTTAAAGAAAAAACTTTGGAGTGTGCCTACCAGTAAAATATAGCAAAAAATTATGATAAATAATACTATATAACAAAATATTCACAAAATCATGATTGCTGGAAATAAGGAGACCCATGTATGGAGATAATGAAAATAGTAACCCAATGAAACGGTCATAGATAGCGCTCCGTTCGATTATTTTTCAACATTCAAGTTGTGAACCCACGAGTGCTTCACGCGTGAATGCGGATTATAATGCTGGATTATCCGCGACTCGGCACCGTCAGTGCGCATGCAATCATTATCTCATCATAATCATCATTATTATTTCATTATTTATATAGTTTTGATTACATACCTAAGTAATGTGAGCTATTTGCTAAAATTCATTACGGATCATGAATAAAGAAAGTTGATGAATAACCAAATCTCTGAGGACAAATAAAATAAATAGAGCTTGTCCATCAAAAATTGAAATTACGACTTTGGAATCTAACGGAGTCTCAACTATAATTATCATTATTATTTTGTTATTTATATTATTTAAATAATAAAAGATTCCTCATAAGTTTTTCTACATTAAACTGGAAAGTCAAACAATTTTTTATGAGCGTTTGAAGTTAACATTTTTTTTCTAAGAGTTCTAAAATGTAATACTGACACAACTCTAAATATTGCTGTTTTACTCAACATATCATACTCTAGTTAGATTTTATTTAGTGCAAAAACACCACAAATTGAAATAAGACAGTCTTGAATTTTTACCTTTTTAACTGAATGAATTAAAAAAATAAACTACCATAAAATAAATATGGCTTTCTTGCTTTGAAAATAATGATAATTATGAGATTATGTGATATAAGATAATGATTTCGCGCGCACTGACGGTGCCGAGTCGTGGATAATCTGAAGTCCTAGCGCATGCGTAGTAACGCGAATGCCAACCGCATTCACTGGCGTGAAAAACTCGTGTGAACCCGTGTGGTGGTGGCTATGTTGGTGAAACGTTGAATAAGACTATGTTATTTGTAAAATATAAAATATAATATTTGTATTACAGTTAGTGTTTCTGAACAAATTTTAGAGCCTGTACAGTTATGGACTTATACCAGGCCCGTACTGGCAGGGACAACGCTAGGGTTTGCGAGGCCCTGGACAATACATTATTACAAGGCCCTATATTATAATTATTTTAATCTTTGGTATTGTGTAAAAAAAAAAAAATGAATAAGAAGTCTTTTAAAAAGCTTTTGTCAATTTAATAATAATAATAATAATACTAACACTTGAATATTATATTTGTAAATTGTGTTCCACTATACTCAGTACTCGAAGTGGGGGGGATACGGAGGGATGGTATCCCTCTACTTGTTTTGTTTAGAATAATGCATTCCTCCTAAGACCTTTATTTTAAAATAATAAACTTATTATCATTTTTATATTTATATATAAGAAATTATTTTTTTTCGGTGAAAATAATTGTTTTTAACATTCAGGTCCGGGCGCCCGACTCATCGTGTTGTTTAGTATAATATAATATTCTCAAAAGCGCGAGGCCCTGGACAAATGTCCCACTTGCCCTATCCTAGCGCCGTCCCTGCATACTGGTCCACCGGGAAGATGCACGTAAGTCACCTTGTCAAGGTGTATTAATATTTGTACATATTGTATATAGGTACATATGGTATGACGTACTTAGGTACCACTGTTTATTTTTTTAAGCCCCTTAAGCTTCACCGTCACGGTAAAATAAAAATAAATTAGAAAACGACTCAAGAAAAGCTGCAAAAACTGCAATTCATTTTATGTTTCCAATTCGTTAAATCTTATTTGGTGAAATTTGGAAAGACAAACTCTAAAAGTTGGAAAAGTCTATATAAAAAAACTTACGATGAATTCAAATCAGTTTTCATAATCCTTAACACATCAATAGATTGATCGGTATGTTGGAAATAGAAAACATCTAAATCCCCATATTGCGCGTGATAGAAAGAGAAAGAAAATCATGGCTTGCAATTTCCTTAGACAGGAATATACCTATTGTTCGTAAATTATTGATATTGAATATTTTGTTTTTTGATCATCTGTAGAATTAAAATCTTAATTATAGTTAAATTTGAAGGTTCTCAATCAAATGTGAAACTTAATATTACATTAAGAAATGAGTTTCAGTCCAATAAATAGAAATGTTAAATTTTTTTACATTAAATGTTATACAAATATAAATATACAATATTGTTTAAGCCCAACTATTTAATATTATACAATAATTTGTATATAAAATGTCACATTACTCGTTTTTATTTATATCAATAAGTGTAAGAGTATGCTGATGTAATATATCATTGTAATTTGTTGTTAAAATTACTTATTTGTACAGGATAGTATTTTCTAGATTATGATTCAAAATATTTCATTATTTTCTAAAAACATAAAAAAAATTTATAATTTTTTCTTATTTTATGCAGGTTAAGATTATAAGTTATCTTTATATTCCTGCATGTTATTTGTTTTCTATAGCAGTGTTTTTCAACTTCTGTATTATAACGATATGCAATTAAAGTATTTCATATTATATAGCAGAGCATACAGAAATTAAGATAATGATAAAATAATCTTTATACAATATATCCATGTATTTATAAAGATTTTATTTTACTAATAATTTACATTATAATTTAATTAGTACAAGATATTTTTTTTTCATTATTCATATATTTCAGAGATTCCCAAATCCCCAAAACACAAAAAAATTAATCGGTTTTCTCATGAATAAAATTTTTTTTTATTTGAATAAAAATAAATTACTGTCGATCTAAAAATAAATATATGATAGTGCAATATACAGTATAAATATTTGCCTTGCGCCTCAGTTTGAGAACCACTGTTATATTACACCAAATATTAATATTAATATTTGTAAATTGTGTACAAAAATGTTTGTTAAATTTATGTCATTTAATAAACTTACAAAACAATAGTTGAAAAACACTGCTTTGGTCTTCATAGTTCAGAAATTAGTTATTTGGATTGTATCTAGTTGAATTTTGTACTAAATCTTACATATCCAAATTTGATCAACTGAAAAATTATTTCATTTAAAAGCATTGCAAATTTAATTACAAATTAAGATGATTAAAAATTATTGTAATACACAAAAAAGTATTTAAACTCTACTGGTGTATCTTTAAATCTCAATTACAAATAAATTAATGAACCATCTACAAAAATACCAAGTAATTTTACATTAGCATACTTCAGATTATAAGTTAAGGAATTACAAATTTAATGATAATTGATAATAATAATTTAATTTGAAAAAAAAAATTAAAAGTTAGTACATCATAAAGTAATTTTATCATATATATATATATAATATAAAAACTTAGACTTCCATTTTCCTATAGTAATTATCAATTATAAATTAATAATCAATGCAATAAAAAAAATTTTTAATTTTTTTTATCAGAGCTGTACAAATATCAAACTTTAAGTATATCACTTTAACACAATAATAAATAATAATAAACACAACCAATATAAAAGTTAAATTATCTTTATTATGTTACAATTGAAAAATGAATTTAACTAGAAGTTTTAAAATGTTATCAACAAAATATTTATTTACAATAATAAGATTTAAAAAATTTGAAGATAAATAAATAAAATTCGATTTATTGTTGGCATATTATTTTTCTATATCATTAACTGGCTCGAATGTTTTATTTTGAATAAAATGTAGACACATATTAACGGTATTATAAAATTCGTTCATAGAATAACAAGTAAGCCTGACATCTTTGAACAGCTTCTGGTTCTACTTGCTGAACTAAGCTATCACTAACATAATACCAAGTACCATTTGGTGCTAAATGTGAAGGATCATCATTGCCATCAATAACTTTAGATAGTTTCGTCTTACTACCTTCTAAAAATGATAAGCGGTAGCTATCTTCTTTAACAGCATCCCTGACCTAAGTATAATATACATAATACATTTTAGTATGCTTGATAAATACATTTGTAAATAATAATTGAATCATACTTTTACGTATGCAATATAATGACCACTGTGTAAGAACCCGGTATGTTCTACTACACCATATAGAGAGTACAATATTCGATTTTGACCTGGGCTTAATTTATTCTAAAGAAAAGAAAACAAACAAGTATAATATTTATATTACATTTAACGAAATTGGTATCTATTACTTACTTGACATTTAACAGAACAGTAAGGAGCAATATCTAATACCCAAGGGAATGATACATCTCCAGCCATTTTTCTTGTAGTTGAATAACACATTTGAAAACGCTTTAAATGCAATATTAGAATAGCAGGAGGAGAACTAATCAACATTTGTTTTGTACTTTGACGATAAATTGTTTTTTTATCATTTGTTCCTAGCAAAAAAAAAAAATTCTCAATAAATAATAAAAAATTAAATTTCTATAAAAACTTACTTTGTTTGTACTGTTCGGTACATCGTTCACAAGAAACTTTATTATTACCGGTCATTATCTCTGATTCCGTAAATTCGTTTAGACAAGATAAAACTGAACACTCGCCATCTTTACATTTTGGTTTTGGTTGCAATGTAGCCTGTGGACATTCTTGAGAAAATTCACCTTCTTCTTCATCTTCAATTTCATCTTCACTTTTAGAGTCATCAAATAAACCATCACTATTGTTGTCACTAACATTTGGTGTAGGATTGTTACGCTCCTACACATAAATATAGATAAATAAATGAAGATTAAATTATATTTTTCTATTGAGATAGGTATAAAATACAAAATAACCTATTAATAAAATTTATTAATAAAGGACGTACAACACCCAATATTTAATTTTTTAATAAAAGAAGTGCAAGTTTATTTTATTTTATTTAAACAATGAATAACTCTTTAATTTTTTTATGTTCAATTCTGAAGGATTATAATTCACTTTAATTTGTAAAAAAGTATGTAGGTCTTATTATGAATATACTCTTATATAGGTACTTTACTTTATTTAAAATGTATTAACATTACCTGATTTTCATTTGCACTATCTGTTCCAACATCCATGTAATCTGGACTGACATTGGCGCGCATAGAATCAAGTGATGAACCTTGAGGTGAACTTGGACAATTAGTAGGACTGCAACCAGGTAGTACTGAATCCAAATCCATAGGCTTTTCAGAGTCTAGAATTCGATCAGCATCCATTTGATGATCATGATCAGCCAGTGGAGTATTATTCATCAATGTAGTAAGTTCTGTAATACTCAGAGAAGGGCTAGTAACATTAGATGGTTGTTTTTCTGAACCATAACCAGATTCTGGATTTTCTTTATTTTCATTCTTCCAATCAGACATTTCAATTTCATTTGTTTCAATTTCCATATTATCTTCTATGTCCGCATCAGTATTCAAAACTTAAAGATCAAATAAAAATTTCAAAACAGGAAATTATAATAGCATCAATTTTTTTTAAGTTATTAGATTTAAAATAAGGTAAAGTTTATCAAAATTAATACTACCTAAAGATTCTTGAGTTTTATTATTAAATTGCTTGAGTTCGTGTTTCTTTCTTCTTCCTTGTTTTAATGCTAATTTACGTTCTTTTTTTGCTTGATGTTTGGACTGATTAAAAACGTCATTATCTTTTTTACGTTGGAATGTTAGAGAATGCGTCTATTTATAAAATAAATAATTGATCAAAAGAAAATGTTTGTTAAGATACAAAGATTTTTAAAAGGTATTTACTGTATCAGCTGAAATTGGCAAACTCAAATCCAAAAAACTTTCTGTAACCTCAGATTTATGGCCACATGTTTGACATTGAACCACACTTAAAAGTTGTCCTTTAAAAACATGATCAGGACGTAAAAGCAAATCTTGCAACAATTTTTTGGTAAGCTCTTTAGCTTTTGCAGCTTTTTTATCATCAATATCTTTTGGATCAGCTCTCATGGACAAACCACAATGATGTAAAATTGTTTTTTGATATCGCTAAAAATAAAATAAATATCTTATTTATTTTCAATGGTAAAAATGGTTAAAAATAATTAATATTCAATAAATGTTGGTATTTATAAATTTTTAAATTCTAAATGAAACAAGGAATGTATTGGTTTTACTAAGATTTTTTTGTATAGGACAACATTTTGACTAGTACTGGTAAGTATTCTACTGAATGCAAATTTGCTATGCACATGCAAGGGAGCCTCTTAAACACAAAAAAAAAAAAGGAATTATAATTAAATATGCTACAAATAAAAAATAATAATCATCAAAGTAAGAAAAGAGAATATCCTATACCTCCTGAATTAATTTTTTTCTATTTTTTTCTATTATTTTTTATCGCATTAACATATACACATATAAATATATTAAGGTGTATGAGATGTTTGTAATTATATACAAATAATTATTTAGTAGATACATTTTATAGTAAATTCATTTTAAGAATTATAATAAAATTATCACATAATTTTTTGGTTCAATTTTTGTTAAGATTATGTCATGGATAATTATTATGTAGCTAACTACTTAAAAACAATGAATAATTAATTACTGCTCAAATGTAATACATGATTTTAAGTGAAACAAAAATGTTAACTAAACATTTATTTTTTTTTTTTTTTTTTACTAAGGAACATTTACAACCTTTATATTGCACAGTAAGTAAATTGGATTGATGTGATTTATTTCTTTTGAATAATTGTATTAAGCATTAACTTTTTGTTTACCTTTAAATCATCATCTCGCACAGAATCTAATAGATGTCTAAGAAGTTCATGAGAGTCATGTTGACTGTAACCAATAAACATTTTGCATTTCTTTCTTAAAGAATCTAAAAGTGCACTAGGCGTGAAAGTTGAATCACGTCCATTGGTAATTTCTTGAAGAGTAGTGCATAAATTTTCAGTTAATGGACTCCATTTCTCTTGTAGCACTGTCTACATAGAAAAATATTATTTTCATTAATTTTAAGCATATTTAAATGTTTGATAAGTCTATAAATCATACATATACATATATATATATATTAAAAGTAAAGTAATATTTACAATTTCTTCATTGTCTAATTGAATGGTTATTGGTTCACCAAATTCACTATTGTCAAGTAAAACATTTTTTAAAAATGGTGTTTGTGCTAGACATTGCAAAACTGAATTATAGAAACAGGTATTTCCTAAATTATTTAAACCCTGCAAATAAAATAATATAATATAATATGAAATATATTATTTATGAATAAAGTATAAAACATACTCTAGGTGGTCTTCTAGAACGTTCAACATTATTAATAATACTTTCAGATGGTTCAAATGTTTTCTTCAACAATGGTGCATCATCATCATCTTCATCATCAGATTTATTAACTCCATTACATTTTTTTAGAGAATTGTCTGCAGAATTAAATAGTATCAAAAACATTAAAATATTATATACTAAATTATTATTATTTTTTAATTACCTAAAACAAATTTATCAAGTTGAGCATTTTCTTTAGTTGGACAACCTTGTACTGGAAGACTGTTCATTTTATGTTTACCTGTTGGCAATTCTTTCATGTGATTGATTAAATCAATAATTGACTGAAGTTTCTTAGAGCTGGTTACAGATATTTCTTTTTTACAATCGTGACACCTAATCAAATAAATGATTTTATACATCTATATTTTTCTATTAACAAAAATATTCTAAATCAATATAGTATATTTATGTATAACATATTATGTATGTAATCATACATAAAAATATGTAAGCATCTTAGACACAACATTGATCTCTTAGTTTCACTTTGGGACCAGAGCAGTTGAGCCCATTGTCCAAATAAATCAATAAAAAAGAATCAAGAATAAAAATATATACAATACATACCTATTACAATTGCATATAAATATTTTTTGAAATTTTAGCTAAATAATAAAAAAATGTAAATGAATAATAATAAAAAGTAGGTATATAGGTTAAGTAGAAAAATCACAATGGAATTATTTACAGTTATATATTACTTAATTAATTTTGATGTAGATAGATCATTTAGTTTATCTACACAATAACAATTAAATATTAGAATCAAAAACAAAATAATAATAATAATAAATCTTTAAAGATGATAATGAAATTGTATGAAAAAATGTATTTAAAGGAAACTACTGCTTATAGATAACAATTAAGTATTCATACATTTTAATAGTCATCAATAGTTTTATAATATATATATTTTTCAAGGATGGATTTTAAGTCATTAAAATTTTTCATTTCTGATAATGAAATAGGCCAGGGGTGGCGAACCTTTTTAGGTTCAAGTGCCAAATTTTTCCTTTACAGATTATGAAAATCGTTTACATGCCCAAAGAAAATTATATTTTCTAAACTATAAACAAAATTACAGATTTATTACATTATTTTTATTAAACTTTAGTCATTCTTAGTGAAACACAAGCAGCAATTGTTTTGTTGGTCAAAACCTTTCTTTCCTTCGATTTAATTTCATTTTTTATAGCGAATAAGCTTTCACGAACATAGGTTGACGAAAAATATGAAAGCATAACGAATATTGTAATTTTTAAAACATATATAATTTGTTTATTTGAATTTCTTACAACCAACATTTTAAAAATAGTAAAATTTTTTTTTGTACAATTTCAATTTTTTGCGCGTGCCATTAAATTTTGGTCAACATGCCATTTTTAGCACGTGTGCCATAGGTTCACCACCCCTGAAATAGGTGATTCCAGAAAATATAATATTTATATATAAATGAATTTTGTAAACTGACTTACGAAATAATTAAACTTTCAATGTTGACAGCAATGGAATGGCTATCACTTCTTGGAGTACTTTGATGTTTGAGAATATGATTAGTGTCAAGGCTACAACAATGAAATGATCCACATTGTATGCAAATATATAGCTCCTAAAATGTAGACATTTTTTTTTTTTTTTATAAATAAGGGTTTATTTACAATAAAATTATAAAATTACCCAAAAAACATAACTTTGAATTTATAAGTACACTTATCAAATTTAGGTCAACTGATACTGTAATCAAAACATACCTAAATATAAGACTAACAAAACTTTTTTGATGATTTATATAATTTTTACAATTTAGAAATTAAAACTTGAAATAACCCATACCAAAAATGACATAAAAATAATAACTTAAAAAAATACAAGATAACAATCAAATAATCAAATATAACAATAAAACAGAGGTCCCTAATTAAATATTAAGGGGCATAGTCGATGTTGAGCTATTGAAGAATCTTTAAACATAAAATATAATGTACCCTTAATCTTGTTATTTTTAAACTACATTTTTTAAGTGCTACTCTAATTTTATATCATGTAAAATTATGTCCAGATTTTTCTTAAAAAAAAAAAAAAATTAAAATAACTATAATAAACCATAAAAAAAATGTTATTTTGGGTCAAAGATTTCCAAATATCAAAAAATAAATAAAAAATATATATTTAGGAAAATGAAAATGTTAAAAGAAAAGAACAACTTATAGCTGAACCGTAAAGGATGAACAAGACTCCATATTATCAGAAACAGCAATGAAAGATCAGTTGCAATTGGACAGATATGGATGTAAGTTAAAGCAATAAGATAAAAAAAAAAAGAAATAGAATTTAAAGCTCAATTAAAAGAATGAGGGAAAGAGTTAGAAATGCATAGGGTAGCACCAATAATTATAGAAATTAAACAGATGGATAAGATAATTTATTTTTACTATCAAGTTAAGAAATTAATAAAAGAATTTTATGGAGATATACTGCAGTAATGAAAAAGTTAAAGTACTTCAGATATAACCAACAGAATTTTTTATAAAATATATGTCTAGGAACATGAAAAATTTCACATTTTTTTTGAACCTCAAAAGACACAACTCATTGTTCTAAGAGACAATACTACTAGTTGAACAGCTTAGAATGTTCATTAAATCTAACTCTTGGATATATGTACTATAAGGTGGAATCATTAATACAAAGGTAATACAACTATTAATGACATTATTGTTAAGACAGTTCAGGACAAAGGAACTAAATATACATGTTTTTTAATCTTCAAAATATCTGCATAACCTGCCAAATTAAACGCCTTAATTTGAAGTAACAGCAAACATATTATAAGAATTAATCTTTGACTCTCGGGGAAGCCAAGTACTAAGCTAGTAATAAAATTAAAACAAGTTATAAATTGACAAAATGACACATAATATACATACTTCTAAGTTGTGGTTTTTACAATTTGGCTCTGAACATTCTAAAAAGTCTAATACAGCTTTATGTAAACGTTTACGAACATTATTAAAATTGACAGCTTTGTTGACATGAGAACAAGGATGTTTGAGAACTAGAACAAAAACATTTTGATATTGATAATCGAGATAGCCAAGGATGAAGACGACCAGTGGAGCTTGTTACAGGATGTGGACTCACTGTTTGTTGATTGACTTTTAAATTCTCCCGAATCTGACGAATCACCAGCATTTAACAGATCTGGAACGGGAGCGTTAGAACTTTGACGGTTACGTTTCTTTTTACCTTTTGCCATGACTTAGAAAGATGTAAAATGCGTAGCAAATAAAACTCAACACTGGACGTCTATTTATAAAAGTTCTTGTTTTGGGATAAAAACGTGATTAGGCGAAAACTATAGAAACAAGAGATAAGGGGCGCATGCCGAATAAAAATGTCAATGTGCACTGTAATATTAATTTTTACAATGACCGGTATGTAGATAATAATAAATTAAGAAGATTCTGAAAAAAAAATATTAATCATTGATTACTTACCTTTCTTCTTTAATTTTTTTTTCTTATCTGAAACCGTGTCTTGAACACAATAATACCTTCCACTACCTAACCATTGACGTCACTTTCAAGTTTCTTTTTATTTTTTCTTAAATTATAACAACATAGTGGAATACTGAATCATCTGGTCATCTGTTACTCTATAACGTATCGCGTCGTCTTTACGCTTCGATAAAACATTATCTTCATGACAAGGAGGGAAAAAACGATAAAACAAAACAAAAACAAAAATCGACACGATAACGTGATTTAATTGTGAAATATTAAATTACCAACAATCGGGTTGTGGCGGCAATGATGAAGAATTGGAGAGAAATATACTATTAACTATTGTACCGTTGTATTAATGTAACAAAATGTACTGGACACCGTAGGCGTTGGGGTTGGAAATGAGATAGTAATGAAAAAAGTTTATAATAATTACAAGTAATTGAACTATATACCTACTTTACCTACGGACGTGTAAGAGTAAGTGAGGAAAAGAGAAAAGACAGAAAAAAAAAGGGACTACACTCCACACAATCCAGAATGCGCACGGAGACCGTAGCAGCTGAGCCGCGATTATGGACGTTGTAAATGCGTTGCGCGTTGGCAGCAATGCGACAGTTGGTTAACTTGTATAACCGGCTGGATGATAACCCCAGATATGATAAGAGTTATCTGAATTTCCGGCTGATACCACGGACCGAGATATTATAACCACTGATATATCAATTTATGATTATAACTGTTGAATGGTACCGTAAACATTCTCGTTGGCAAATGTATAATACGAGTGACAGTGACAAGAAAATAATTAATTCCATTCCATAATCCGTTACGGGATTGATACGTAGTCATCGCCGTGCTGCATACGCTAAAAGAAAGTTCGCTTGCCGGAGAAGTTGGATCAATCGATCACAGTCACGTACAATTTCAAACTGTTAGCTCCATTTGAAATAATCATTTATTTTCGACACGTACTAACCTCCACTAGTTCATTGTCTGGTGACCGAAATGCGTACCAATTGCTGGACCGGCGTCGTCAAAGTCTTTGCAAAAAATTTCTATACCTCCGGGAACAGGTAAAATTTCCTTAGGGGAAAAACAGAAACTATTGTTTTCAATTCTATAATATGTTGGACATTTCTACAGCATAGATGGAGATCATGGACACTTATTCCTTTCCCCTCTTGTAAAAATAATATAAAGTTGTAATTTAATTATTTTTAATTTAAAGTTATGAAATAAGTATTCACAATTTTTTGCCTTCCCTATAATTATTACTGTTACATGTAAATTATAATAAATATGAAATGGAGATATCATCAATTTAATAATTTTAGAATATTATACTTATTAGTTATAAAAAAATATAAAAATACTAAGACCGTAGGACGTTCAACAGTATTTTTGTTATTTACCCTTTTAGCAGATAGTTTTGAATTTTGAGTAGAGTTCTGTTCAAATATTATGATTTGTTTTAGAATTTTAAAGTAATTGTGATTTATGTTTCTCAAAATAAAATAGTTATTTTTTCTTATATATATATTGTATATTATAAAAATGAAAATTACATACTTAAATTGTCCAATGAAAGTGATGTCAATCCTGTTAGATTGTTCTGTTGTTAAATATGACAAAATATTCCTTATGTACATCTATGTACACGTTAAGAATCTTATGTAGCATTTCACTTTGAACCTCCAAAATAAAATAATTTTTTATTAACAGAAATTAAAGTTAAGAAGTCCCTATAGTACATCTATAGATGGACCTTTCTTCTAATATAAATATATGAGTATTAATTTTTGAGTATAGATGTAATAAAGTATAACATTAGTCTATTGACGTAACGTTGATGTGTCACAGTAATAGTCGTTTTATAAACTCTTGAGAGTTTACATTAATCTTTAAAATTCTAAATTTACAACATGATATTTATTCTTTCTTTTTATTAAACTTAATAATATACATATATATATATATATATATACATTTAATAGTGGTAAATATTGAAATGCATAATTCTTATTTAATGATTTTGTTGCTTAACCAGTATTTAATCATTTGATTTATATTTTACAGAGTTCCCTAAATGATAATTCAATAAATCATTTTTCAATTTGAATCTCGATTACTCGAATTTTCGGAAACTCGTACCATTTCTTGACGCATAAATTTTAATTTAGAATTTATAGGATAAGTTTTTCGTATTGATACGTATTTCACGATAAGAATTCGGATGATTCGTTATAATTACCGACATTTACCGGGAAATATCACTAACAGCGGCTTTTTTTCTGAAAATTGGTGAGTTGAGTTTCATGATTTTATTGAGCTGGACTATGATATAAAAATATGCTATATTTTCCATGAAAATCTTAAATTATATGAAGTTACAAAAAGAGTCGGATAGTTTTAACAATATAGAATCTATACTTTAACCTTTATTACTAATTATTATTGCTATTGCCTAAACTTTAGATAGCATATACGGTATACAGGTATAATGTAAATATATTGGAGAACTATAAAATAATTCTTGAATTTTTTGTGCACATGTTTGAAAATATTTTTTTTCTTTTCAAAATTAAAACAAACATCAACCAAATTTTTCTAAAAAGTCTTACATGTTTTTGAAAATGTTAATATATTATATATTCTATTTATATATTAATTTTTTAAACTCGATGTTCATTATTATTTTCAAGTGTAATAGTAATATAAGTGAGATGAGTGGGTTTAATATAAAAAATAATATTTTATTTTTATATATTTTTAAATTTTATTCGGTCTGGGATCGTAGTTAGTTAATTTATAAATAATCAATATAATAAGTCAATCATTTAATTTTAATTGTAAAATCGAGTTTGACAAACTATACAAATAATTTTTTTTATTTCATTTAGGTATATATTTATCAAAATTGAAATTATGATTTTTGAAATATATGCAATCATTTTTTAAAATGACAATATGTATAACAAAATATTACGTACATCAAAACGAATAAAACAAGACGAAATCATATTCTATTGAAAAAAAATTAATAATCTTTAAATACTTTGGACTGATGTGTTTATTAAAAAGTAGATAAAATATAAAAGATTATTAAAAAAAGTATAATTAAAATTTAATTAAAACATCTTGAAATAAAACTAATAATTAATAAACTAATTAATAAGTATCATATTTTACTCTTAAATAATTTTAATAATTAAATTTTATATTTAATATTTTACTTTAGATTTAAATTTTTATTTGTTTTAATTAATTGTAGTGTAAAATTTCATTAATACCTATTTACACTAAATAATTAGCCAAAGCAGTACCGAAAAAATCGTATTGATTTTTTTTTGCTTAGTATACTTATACGATGTAGGTCAAGATATAATAAAAGCGATTTAACAATTTATGAATATGTGTATGCATTTAAACGGATCTACAAACGTGAAAAAATTATTTGCTCCTTAATTTATAATTCTATTACAATTAAATAAAGTTTATTTTTAATAAAGCATTTGATTATATATTTCTTGATTTTTTCCAATTTAAATTTTATTATTTAATTTACTGTATAAAATGTATATGTATGTATCACTTCATGGTATTTAGAATACTAATTGATTTTTTTACTGAATTCTAGTATTTTATTGACTTTCAATTCAAAATTTGCTTTTTCATAGTTCATTGGATTAGAAAGTTGTTGTGATGATAATCTAGAAAATAATGTTTGTGAATTATATAAAATTGTTTTACCTAAATTGTTCTTACCTGTAAATTGTTGATATAATTGTTAGTAAAGTCTGAACATTAAAAAAAAATCGTATAAATTTTAATTAAAATGCGTGAATCATTGTGATAATATATATAATTACAAATTCATTTAATACTCGTCTATTTTTTAGGTTAAATTAAATCAAGATTATTTTTCGTTTATTAACACACATAGACGTATAAAGTATGGACTGCGCTTAGAAAGAGAGCTCTTTATGTGTTTATGTTAACACGAATTATTCAAGAAATATATAATAAGAAACCACTAAATTGTTTTTCTTGTATACCCCTAAGCTAAATATTTTGCTAGATTGTACCTTTCATTATAAATTTTAAAATTTGAACATGCTCTTAAATAATATAAGTAAAAAATAACAAAAACATAATGCAAATAGTTTTACATTCTGTATTTAAAAATAAAAATAAATAAATAATTTTACTTATTTGAGCTGCATTTTGCTTATTTCTATATTTATTTTTTATAAATATGTACAAAGAAAAAGCTCTCTCGACAGGCTCCTTACTTGTAAACGGCAATAGAAACTCAATTTCCTTATTATAATATCTTTCATATTCATTTTTAATATCCATAAAATAATTATTAATTTGATTTCTTTTAAACTCAATTTTTAACGTTGTCTCTTGAAAGTTCAATTAAGTTTCATTTTTTTTATGGTTGTACAATTGATAAAGATGTTGCTGTTTGAAAGAATTCTTCATCGAAAGCAATTGAAATTTATATGTTTTCTTCTTTGGTTTTTTGAAAAGATTAAAACTTACACCAAATTGGTCGAGTATATTGGTGAATAAGAAGCTACACCAAGACGCTCTTTAACCTAACCTTAACCGTCATCAACCATATTATATTATTATAGAATTATACACATAATATTCTATAATCTACAATCTATTAGATGTCTAAAATTAAATTTTTATTTGTGTGATAAAAAAATTTCTTTGTTATAATATTATACATTTTAAAATAATGTATGAAAGACTTGTATTTATGATATGTATTAGGTATTAGCAATATATTTAATACAGCTAAAATTATTAATTTTACATCATATATTGATTTATAAAATAACAATTTTTACTATGAATAATTAAAATTTGAATTAGGAGCTTATATTTATAAATGTGTCACCATATTTTGTAGCTTACTAGCTACTAGCATATTTGTGTCACAAGAATAAATGTGTTTTAAACTAAAATGTGATACTTTTTACTATAAATTAGTTGCATAGTTATAAATGATTAAACAATATTTTTTAGATTGAAAGCCAAAGTAATAGACGGAAAAAGTATAGCTAGTACTATATTAAATGAACTACGCGTTGAGACTCAAGAATGGGTTTCCCAAGGGCATCGTGCACCCCGATTAGTAGCAGTATTAGTTGGACAAGATCCGGCTAGTAAAATTTATGTTTCAAACAAAATGAAAGCTGCTAAAGTTGTTGGTTGTTACACTATGTTAATGGAAATATCATTGGGATATAAAAAATTATAATTTTTTTTTTTTTAATATATATATTTAAATTAGGTATTGAAACAGAAACAATAAAATTTGACGAATCAACAAATGAAAATGAACTCCTTGCATGTATTAAGCGTTTAAATTTTGACCAAAATGTTGATGGAATTCTAGTCCAGGTAAGATACATAACTTATATTAATAATAAAATTTCAATTTTGAAATTCAGAAATTATGAATATTATTAACATTTTCCAAATAAATTAAAAATATATAATGAGATAAATGCCATTCCATGATCAAAATTACTGAAAATATAATCCCTTTTTTATGGAATTTTGCTGATTAAAATCTTTTATACACAACTAAAATTTAGTTAGGTTATGTAAATTACATATATGATTTCCAATGATTTTGGTAGAAAATTTCACTAGTACATATTTTACAATAAATAAAAGTGGCATTCTATACCTTGTATTAAAACTAAATTGTGGATTTTTCAATTGGCATTACACACATGTATACAATAATAACATAATGTCATTAGTGCATCATGATTTTTTTTTAACTTCAGATATTTAATATTTTCATTATTCCATGTATAAAAAGAGATTTAATCAATTATATTATTTATTAATATTTCGGTGTGATATGATAGTGCTAAAAATGAATAGATAGTATTTAAAAAATTATGATTTCTAAATTTACATCAGAGTCTTAAAAATCTAGATGCTTTCATCTTGTACATTATTTGTTATCAAAATACATGCATTTTAGTTACCACTTCCTGAACACATTACCGAACGAACAATGTGTAATGCCGTTGCACCACACAAGGATGTTGATGGTTTCAACATTGTTAATATTGGAAGATTTTGCTTAGACATGCAATGTTTAGGCCCATGCACACCATTGGGTGTTCATGAGTTAATTAGACGAACTGGTAATACTTAGTAATTTTAAATAAAAGTAATAAGGTAATACAATTTAATTAATAAAAAAAAAAATATTTTATAGGAATACCTACATTAGGTAAAAATGCAGTAGTTTGTGGAAGATCTAAAAATGTTGGTATGCCTATTGCTATGCTGCTTCATGCAGATAATGCAGGTATTATACAAAATTGTATTTAAAATTTTAAATATTGTGTATTATATTATGATTTACTATTAGTGGTAATATTCTATTTTGGCCTATATTTTTATACTATTATTGGTAACTATAAATAATTTTAAATATCTATGACTTTTATGGACATAATCTATAATTAATTAGTACATCCCACTCCATAATAAAATCTTGATCATGCCACTGTGTATGTATATTCTTCTGGTCAATGTTTAATGTTATAAATTATTTAACATTAATCTCTTTAAGTCAAAAAGTAACCCTGTTAAACCATAATGGTAAAATAAATAGATAGGTCACTGAACCTGGTACTACAAAGTAAAAAGTTTGGGGTCAAAATGGTTTCACAAATTAGTAACCAATTCGTAATAATTCGTATCTACAAATTTGGAATTTTTAATTTAAGTATAACCGTATTAAGTATAATGCACCCCAGGGCTTATTATAAAACACAGTTGAACTTATTTTGCATATTTGGATAAGCTAGATGCACACTTCATAATCAGTTTTTGTGTAATTGATTTTTATAATTTTTTGCCTTAATAATAAGATGAAAATGAATAGTTTTTCCTATAGGTATTAAAGTATGAGGTGTTTTTGCAATAAGAAAATGATTTATAAAGTAGTCACACACTATCTGATTTTGATTGGTGTACATTGTTTGAATTACAGAACTACGATGAACACTGTACACAGAAAATAAAATAAAGTTAACAAAAGGATGTTCTAACATCGTAGTATGTATTATATATAAATAAATCCATAGTAAAAACATAAGAAAATACGTTTTCATAATAGAAGATTATATATGGTGGTTATGATAAGTGACGGCTTCATAATTTCGGGAAAAATATAAATATTAATGTATGGTATATACAAATATAATTTATTTGGTATATACTTTATCCAATGTATGGTTTGTCATTAATATTATTGATATCAATATTTGGAATTTAAATATTTGTGTAACTGAAAATAGTATTCAAAATATATGTAAGTTTGGAGGAGGAGGTGTAGGGTTTAGCCCCCCAAGGGTCTATATTAAATAATTGCGCCCATGGAACGCAGTTTTTAAATCATTGGATGGAGCTCCTCTATTTAATTTTTCCCAATTCGAACTCTGTATAAATATAAATAGATGTATATATTGTATATATTGTATATAAGTATAATGAAAAAAGTAAAGAGGATATTAATTAAAATAAGATGATTTAAATAAGAATGTTTATTATTTTATTTCTTCTTAATAGATTAAATTTTAAATTATTCCTCCTAAATACTAAAAATGTTATTATTTGTAACTAAAAATTGAATATTATATTTCATTTTATTATATTTTAAGATCATATTTCTATTTTGATAGGCTTATTTAAAAAAAATGTGTAGTTGGAAAATATCCTTAGAATAAGACAAGATGCACAAGAATATAGAAAATTGATTTTGGGCGGTTAGACTTAAGTTATAAATTCCAAACTTATGGTTACGAATTGGTTACTAATTTTTGAAATCATTTTGACCACAAAATTTTTACTTTGTGGTGCCAGGGTCAGTGACCTTAAATAGATCCTATATTATATATCCAATATTTGTAACTCAAAATAAACTATAAGTGATAATTTGGCACATAACTATGTTTCTTTACCTTCCAACAATAATTTTGTTTGCATAATAAATGTATTCTATTAATAAAATATTTATCATCATATAGGTATTTAGTTGTATGAAACTATAAAAATTAAAATATTTACATCTTATAACTTCAAGTTTACTTGAAATCGACTTTTTTACATTTTCAAATTATTTTATCAATTTCATATTATTTACAATATAAATTTATTATTATTTTAAATTTTAAAATCAATTTTTTAAGGGTATAAAAATATTAATTCAAAAAAGTAAAAAAGTCGTTTTCAAGTCAACTTCATGACAAATTCAAATATGTTTGTATAAGTCTTATCCGATCATTGGGCAGTTCAGTACAATTGGCAGAATATAGGTATATTTTGATAGAAAACGTAATCCGGATAGAATCCCCTTAAAGATATCAAAATTTATAAATATATAAATTTATCATGTCAATAACAATAAGAATTTGTATGAATTATTAAAAAACAATTTTTACTGTAAAAAAACTGAATAATTTAAATTTTGTTTGTTATACTTTAAAGTGTGCTTAAAATACAGTTAATTTAAATAATTTTGTACCTATAAAACAATTTAATACAGATTGAAACAATCACATTAAATATCTGTTTATTTTTTGGTTTCATATAAAAGTTATATAAATACATATAAATTTTGTAAATACAGATTTATTATGATTGTAAAGTTGCATTAAGTATGAATAGTGTAATTTTTTAACTTAAACAAGTTCCTAAGTTCCTATTTATACTATTTTACTATAGTTAAAATGAATGTACAATTTGATAGAAATGATTTATAAATATTTGATTTGAAGGGGAGACATCTGCTATGGATGCAACTACTACAATATGTCACCGATATACACCACCAGAACAGCTAAAAGTATTCACAAAAAATGCTGATATAATTGTATCTGCAGCCGGTATTATTGTTATATTTGAAAAAACTATTTGAAAAATAAACTAATAAATGTATATTGATAATAGGAGTTCCAAATTTGATTCAAGCTGATATGATTAAACCAGGAGCTGCTATCATTGATGTAGGAATAACTAGAGTTATCGATCCACGAACATCCAAATCATGTCTTGTTGGAGATGTTGATTTTGAGAAAGTTAGTGAAATTGCTGAGTACATAACACCAGTACCTGGAGGAGTTGGACCAATGACAGTAGCAATGTTAATGCGAAACACTATTGTTGCAGCTAAAAAATCTGTTATCTATAATATACTTGATCCTGGTGCTGTAATTCACAAAAAAGCATCACAAATAAATCCCTGAAGCTGAACATCAGGCTGAAATTGTCTACCTGATTTTATACCTAACACTGTGAATGTAAAATTATATTCCTGACAAAAATTTGTTACCTCTAATTTTACAATGTTATTTAAATACCAAATAATAAAAATGTGTAAAAACAAAATCAAGTTGTATTAATATATACAGTAGGGTTTCGATAATCTGAACTCGGGCTAATCTAAAAGACACAGTAATCCGAATGAGCTTGAAAAATATTACATTTTTATATTAATACATATGTTTGTGTATCATAATAATAGTAAATATATATTTTAAATAATAAGGTTCATTTTATATTAACTGGCTGTACATACACACATATATAATTTTAATAATTTTTTGTATTCATTGTCTTTAAATTACAAGTTTTTACATGATTAATACGATAAAAATAAATTTCATAATTTAAATAATAATAAAATTAATGTTTTTATTAAGCCATAGATAATCTGAACAAATCAGTAATCCCAACGACCATTTTCCCCAATTTCGTTCAGATTATCGAGACCCTACTGTATATATATATACATACAAATGCCATTAATTGAGAAATGGTTTGAATTTATAGTTTTTATGAAATTTATAACAAAAGAAATTTAAAAAATTAGATAAGTTAGACATCAATTTTTTTCTGAAAAATTATTAATGAACTTGGAAATCATCATTGTCAACTAGACCGATAAGTATTAAAAAGTTTATTTAGTATCCACATATTGAATTGTTACATCCATAGGATTACAACCAGGATTTATTTTGAGTGGGAGGGGGGGGTTATACATTTGAAAAAAATTTGATTTTGAAAGGTGTTTGGAGGGGAAAACGGTCAAGTTAAGGTGTGCACCAAGCATCGCTGGTCGCGACAAGCGTGCTTCTGCCATCAGCTGGTATACGTCAACACATACAACCGGTGCTAAATAGTATGACTAGAATATTATACATGTTGACTCTTGTGCTAACCGTAAAACGCGACACACGTACAAATATTACGCAAAAATCCGGTACCTATGTTCTCTTTTGAAACGGAATGTAGCTATACAATATTATACACGAATGTACTTGTAAAATTGTTTATCGTCGATGACTGCTCAAAATATAGTTTTAGTACATATTTAGTTTTTTAATAAAGTAAATAAATGTAGATTTATATAAATAATTGATAAATAAATATATATGGGCACCGCAAAATTCTGTACCGGGCCGGCACTGTCCACGCGTAGACGTAGAATAAAAAAACACCAACGCAAATCGTTGTGGACAAAAATATAGGAGACAGTTTGTCGACGAGACGTTAATTAAAAATTGATCTTTTACGAACGGCGAGGTCGAAATTGGGTGCATAAAACGTAATGGGGCGTTCTCACGAAGCGTTAATCACGACAGTCAAACCACGCTTTCTTGAAATACACTTCTATGTGAACGCATAGTCATTAAACTTGCCTTCGTAAGGAATGGCGCACGACCTAAGCGTGGATAGATCAAACGTGTTTGATTTTCAGTCGTGATATACCGTTCGTGAAGCCAAAATTGTCATCACAGCAACGTGGAATTATTAAATTTAATGACTGAAACTACGCGTTTTTTGGAGTTATATTCGATGGAAAAGGTGTTATATGACCCAAGTTAGGAGGAATACCGTGATAGAGATTTACATAAATCAACAACATTTCTTCGCTGTATCCATTCTCTAACCCAAAAACATCTTTTTTTTCGTTTTTTTGTAATTGTGACCTGTAAGCGCTTCATCTCTTTTGCTAATATAATAGAAAAAAACGAACTTAAAACAGCACAACTTTCAACAACCAGATTATTCATGGTCGATGTTTCGATAGTGACTAAAAAAAGTCGAAACACAAGGCGTGTGAACGTTTCATCAATTCACACTTTCGTGAGCGTCACGAACAAAAGTTCACTAACGTGGTTGACAGTCGTGGGAACGCCCCATAATGAAGATCGTGGCGCTATAAAAGTTCGAACGAAAGCGAGATCGAGGTTCGGTGTGTAGGACTGGAACGGAACCAGCCGCGCGGAAAAGTGGACGACGATGGGAAACGTTTTGCGTGCGACGCTAAAAACGGTCGGAAAGCGAGTTTTTTCCGTACGACACGGAAGAGAGCGGAAAAACTCGATTGCCAATCGCGTATCGTTTCGGTGATGGAGCATGTGACGGAGGCCGACCACACACAGATATTTATCGTAGGTAATAAAATATCTCCATTACCCTATTTATCTATGATTATAATCAAATAACCGTAACGATATTCGGAGCGCATGAGCTCAAACATGTTTTGGTAGTTTTTAACCGATGTTGTGCAAAAACCCTATTTTATCGACTAAAATGTGAGTGACAATTTAATAAACCATAATAAATCATTATTGTTAGTCGACTAAATTTTGCACTACCAACTAATTACCTCAGTGGCGCACACAGGATTTTTTTTTCGGGGGGGGGGAAGGGGTCAAGGTAAAAATGTAACACATTTTACAATTAACAAAATTATGCAAATCCTTAATATATTTCGACTTCAATAAAAGCATTGATAATATAATAGACTATTCTATAATCAATGATACTAGATATTCAATACTAGCTCTTCATATTTCAAACTTGTAAAATTTGTAAATTTTAACCTGGACATCAGAGAAAATTTCGGGGGGGGGGGGGTTACAACCCCTTAACCCCTCCTATGCTTACGCCACTGAATTACCTATTCGACCAAAACTTAATTTAATCGTTTTATAAATAAATAACTGACCAACAATTGAGTTCCTACCCACCGCAGAATTCAGGGTACCGAAGCCGAACCATATTATATATTTATTTTATTATATTATATATTTAATCTATGCACACACGCGCACGCACACACACATTATAATACATAAAGGTCTACAATAGGAGTCAATATTGTTGCGCTGAGTTTTTGAATCTGTGTAGAAAATATATACAGATTGATTATTTTAAGAAATAATAAACGAAAAAAAAAAATAGAACACACGCAAAAAGTTTACATATGTTAATATTTTTTAATAAAAATTTAAAAAACTTGTAATTGTATATACGAAATTTTTTCTGTAGTATTATTATTTATATTGTGTTATTGTGAATGGTATTATTGGTTATGTTTTAATGTTTTCTCTATTTTATATTTTTAATAAAGTTCATGCTAAAGCTAGATACAACTTTTATTATTACCAAAGTTAGTCAAATAATAAAAATTAATTGTACGATTTATTTTTAATTAATTATATTATTAATTTATTTATTATTTATTATTAATTTATTTTTAATTATACTACATAGAGTAGTTGATTTTGCCACACTACCAAATATTACCAAGTCGGTTACTTTTTCCCACCATTCCTCTAGACCAGCGGTCACCAGTTAACTAGTGATTCGCAGAAAAATTTGAATGTAGGTACTTACAGAATCCTTTTGTCGTTATTTTCCAAAAAAAATAAAACCCTAGACATGGTATTATGTGGTTAATAGATCCATTGCAGCAAACAATGAAAATAACAAGTTAAATATAACCGAAAAAAATACCTCATCGATTTATTTAATGGTATTCATGTAAAAAGCTATTTTAAGCTAAAAGTGATCCGTAGAATTTAGAGTATGTATTTAATGGTCCGTGAGGTCCAATAGGTTGGCGACCGCTGCTCTAGACCTTTATAGCAGAGATAAGATAAATTTAAAATCTTAATTTATTTTATTTGTGGTTTTATCGTTCTACTAACATTTCTGTCTTGATTTTTGTTAATAATTGATAAATTATAAACAATAGTTGGGTGAGGCTGAGCTGATCTTACCTCACCTGATGAGCTATCACCGAAGTGGTGATGAAATTGTGATAGTCAAATTTTCATTAAAATATAAAATAAATGCGTAAATTTACAATCTCTAAAATAAAAGAACATTTTAAAAACGTACTATTCCGTGATTTACATTTTATAATTCATTTTATATTTTTACTGAATTTAGTAATAACTAAGACTCGGAAGTTAAAACCTTAAAAACATTAAAAAAAATATGCAAATATGACAAAAAAAATTACAATATTTGTTTTAAATTAATAAAAATACATATTTTTAAATATTTTACTCTATTTTACTTTAACATTCTACATAAATTTATCAAAACTTAAAAACTACTCAAATTATGACAAAAATGACAACAATTGTCCTTAAAATATGAAATTAAATATGCATAAAGATTTGTTTTATAAATTTATCAAAGTTTACAAATTACTCAAAAATCAAAATCAATTAGAGCGTATTTTATGTTATCAAAAGTAAATGAACGACGATTATAAATATTTATATTTGGAAAAAACATTTCTTTATTTCCACTAAAGTGACTGGGATATACAGACGAGCATTATCCGACGTTTTAATTTCCGCCATTTTGAAAATATGAAAAAATAATAAAATTTAAATATAACAGGTATTATTTACTATTACACGATAACGATGCGACGACTGTAATCGACGATATAAAATCGTATACTAATCGAACATTAGGAAAAAATAATAAAATGTAGTTATAATAATCACTACCACACGATGACGAATGTAATCGGCGAGATGAAAATCGTACAAGTCTTTAGTTATCAACATAATGGTCGACAAGAAACAATAAAAATAAGAATAGCAATAAGAAGTAAGTAAATCGATAAAAATGTGGGAAAATAAAAATTAGTTATTCGGATTCACATGCTAATGAAACACATTTATGACCAGAAGAGCATCGTCTAAAAAGTTCCAAAAAATAAAAAAATGCAAAATGCATCAACTTCCGGACCCTAGTAATAACCAAAGAAAAAAAGATTCATCGAATTCATTTTAAATTGACGGGTTATAGAGAGGCTGGCATTTTTTTTTAAAAAACAAAAAATATAAAATGGAAAAGGATGTCGCGGAATAAAAAAAATATTGGGAAACACTGGATACAACCGAATGCCGATCACCCGTGTCCATAGTCCATTAATTAATTGTTCTGGGGCTACAAATTCCGTCGCGAACGGCACCTACTCGAACTATGGCCACTCCCGCTGTTTTTTCGTTTGCCATCTGAACATTCGGACCGGGTCCGTCGAACACGGACACGTATTAATGTGCCGTCGTGTCTACACCGCTGCAGCGGCAACGGCCCGAACTACGGTGTATCGTGTTCCAACGGTCGCTACCCGGTGGTGGAATACGGCGCGGATTCGTTTTCGGGGCCAACGCGCAAGCGCAAGCGTACCCAAACCATATACAACGTTTTCATTACTACTATTATATTCCCTTGGCTATACTAAAAACGGGCCGTAGCAGTTGGCAGTGTCCATTTTCCCGTCTACCACCGTCCCGGGCGTTTGTACCTGTCAACCATATTCGGTTTCGGTCCACGTACACACAACGGAAATAACCCGTCGCTTTGATTTAGAACACTGCGGCCCAACTCACTCACTCATTCACTAATTCCGCGAGTTTTACACGCAAAAAACATAGTACACCATAAATATTTTACGACAGCACCGGTACAACTACAGTCGCCATGAGGAACGAATATCTTATCGAAATGCCCGAAGACGTGACGGAGTATTTCTGCGAAGTAGTGTTGAAACGCGACTGGCCCAACAGCATCCACGTAAGTATGCACAACCGTGTGTTAAATAGTACAATATACGATGGCCGACTCCGCTGCAAACGAGCAAATCGGTTGCTCCTCGTTCGGCTATTGCAGCGATACAGCTCGTTGGTACAAGTATAGGCCGTAGGTTGTTTCCCACGAAATACGTTTGGCATAAACGTGACGTGGACAATATTACAATATACAATATTTGGACGGCTTCAACACTAAGATTATTGTTACAATCCGACATGGTTTTGTAGATTTTTTTTCAAATGTCTTAAGTCATTTTTAGTAGTTATTATTTATATATATATGAAATGTCAAGAATGAACTTTACTGCAGACCCGTATGATTTGGTAAGTGTATTGTATAAACAAAATAAATCAACATAGTTTTTTTGGTTATCGTCGCTATTAATTTACACATTGTGTGTTGTGCAATAGAGTATAAAATATTTTACGACATTGTACCGCCATAAGACGTGAGATTGAGAAATACTGCTGCATGCTGGGAGCGATATAGTAAGGCATGTTGACCGCTAGGGCGTCGAAAAAATGAAGGAAAAAATAAAAACAAATAAGGTGCGGTTCCTATGCATGCATCTACGAACGCGCCCCGCAGCGCGGCCCATTTCAAATTGTTTCCGCTGCGGCAGTGGTGGCATTGCGACTAATAAATAGCGATTTGAAATCTAACCAGTCACAGTGTTCGGAAGGATTGGGTATTCGTTGAATAGCGTTGATTTCCTAGTTACCGGGATATAAGATAAATGGTGATCGGTTCGCCGTGATATTTACGTGAATGAATCTCCTCGTCGTCTGTGGCCGACTCGTCCTACATAAATATGGTAACACGACAACAAACTGGCAAAATCTGCCACGGCTGTAATATCGTGACTACGTACATTCCATCATTGATCCGTCGTACGCACGTGTTAAAGGCAAAAGTCCCCATGTCAACAGTCGTTCGCATCAATTCCCATACCTACCTGATGTACCAATTTATAATATCATAACTGCCACATCAAATAATATCGAAAGTTTTCGAGAAAAAATATTTAAAGTACACTTATAGTATAGCCCCGGAATGCATATATGAATTGCAACGTACCATAGTTCATTTGTTCAGAATTCTGGAACACAATAATCTATGAAATTAGTAAATCGGACTCGACTATTTGTAATACTAACCTTTGTCTAACCCTGTATTTAATGTTTTAGTTCTTATCATTTTTTTTTTTAATGTTATAATATATTTATTACTTACTATTATTGTGATCTTTTTTTTCATTTTACCATAACTTGCGTTTAAATAGTCATTACTTATTATGTATAGAAAAAAAAAAGTTTTTATTGTATTATTTATAAATTTAAAAACTATCTGTGATAAAACATTTATGTATGCAGATGGATAATACGTTATTTGTGCAATTAAAATATAAATTCAAAATTAACAATTTAAATTAAGAAATTGTTGAAATGTACAGATTGCGGGCGTCTATAATCATAAAGAAACACGAAAAAAATAGACCATCCTCTGTTTTTTCATTAAAATTGAGTCCCTGATTGTGATTTGTGTAATGTAACAAATTAAGATGGCGGAACAACATTTCTTAGTCATTTTAGTAGGTACTCTAGAAAAATTTACAATTTTTCAGATAGATACTGTCTATTTTTCCGGACTATCGAAGCTTTATTTTATATAAGTATAGACATTCTTTTATATTTTTAATAAACTTCAAATAAATAACGAAAATATTCTCATGTTTTTTAGAAGGTTGGATCATGGAAGCCGATACGTTGTCCGTTGTCACACGTATGACAACGAATTTATCCTAGGACGAATTATATTTCTATCAATCGATCTAGATATCGAAAACAGATTTGAATTATTTTTAAAATGAACTTGATGACATTTTGATTTTTTTTTCTTCAAACTACTTTGAAATAATTGAACTACGATAAAAAAAATTAGTTTGTAGATAAAAAGTATAAATGAAAATACAATTGACCAATATCTTAAATTAATTTCACTGAGAATTAAAAATTTAATTTTGAAATTCAATACGCATCACTATCCAATTATAAATTGTATTGATTATTATATATTTTACGAGTATATTTGTATATGCAATACGTGTAAATTATTACACAGTACATGCAGGGCCGGATTATGGTCATAATATGAGGGGGTTATTATTTTTTAGCGAGGCCCTTTTATAAAAACCAATTCCATTATTTTTATCAGAATTAGTTTTTTGTAATAAATATTAATTAAAATAAATTTAGTTTATTTTTAAATTATTGAAAATTATAATAACATTTAATGTTTTTAACATATTTATTTTATGCCATTTTATATGACTATTTTTCAATGTTACTTATTATTTTAAATCAAGTATGTAGATAAATATTAATTTTAATTTATTTTGGTTTTGTTATTTTGTTTTTATCATAAGCAATTTTTCGAAATATTTTGTTGTATTATGAATATGTATATGTTAAGGTGTTTGACCGCAGTAGGAGAATGTTGACAGTTACCGGTGTATGTTCACATTTACCAAAAATCGTAGTAAATGTCGACAAAATGGTCTTAACGCGTTCATACACCGGTGGTTGTTGACATTTGCAATCAGTGTTTGATAAATGTTGTCCACACTTGAAGCACGATGTATGTAAAAGGTATTTTTGTATTATTTTGTAGGATCGATAACATTTTCGATTAAATTTGACGTTATCGTCTAGTCACAATATGCATTCAAGATATTTGGACTTTAGTAATGTTATCGCATGAGAAAATCCGATAGTCAATCATTTGCTAAATAACATAATATAATATAAATCTCCTTAGTATTGTCGCGTATTCTAAACCAAACGAAACAGTTTAATAACAGTTTATAATATTATATTCGAATTAAAATTAATAAGGATAAAAATAATAAATTCATGAAAAATTGAATGCACTTTTATTAAAAAAAAAAGGGAAGATAATTGTTTTTATTTAAGCACTGAAAAATATAATAAATATATAATTTAAGTTATAAATGTTAAACTAAAAAAAAAAAAAATAAACAACGAAGTGATTACAGACGATTTAATTGGTTTGACATTGTGGATATTATGAATAATCATAAACTAATCGTCCCATTAAAAGTAGGCGAAACTGAAATTATTTACTATGTAAATAACGAAGAACTACACATTATGCACGAAGCTCGTATAAAAACTGGTCGTGGAGGGCGAAACTATATTGTCAGACATATCAATATTCACTAAATAACTATTGCGCATGTCATCAAATACTGGTAAATGTCCGCATTGTGAGATATTTGAAATAATTGATAACATTCACCAAAATAATCGGAAAATGTCAACGTACACCGATGACTGTCAACATTCACTGCTATGCGGTCATATCCCATAACATTTATACTTAATTTATCTCATAAAATTTCTTTTAAGTTTTTTGCTTCAAATTTCAAAAATTAATTTTCTATGATTTAAAATGGAATTCATTTAAATAGAATCATCTACTTAAATTTATCAATTTCAAAATATTAACTAAATTGTCTGTCCTTGACAAAATTATTGAATAGTGGATTTAATTATTTTAAATCATCATAGTATTAATTGTAATAAATCATTTCCGCTTTACACATGACCGAAACAAAAAAAGCATCATAATATTTATCCTTAATAATAATCGTTTAACTCTTAAAACTTTTAAAATTTAGGCCAATTAACTTTTGGTTGTGTACAATTTATTTTAACCAACTGAAAAAAAAAACGATTTTATTCATACAGTATATAGAACAAATGCTGAAATGTATCATCAATTATTGTGAAAATAAACATATTATCATAACCATGTAAACTATTATATTATTATGATGATAATGAAAATCACAAGGGTGTTTTTTTATTTTTTTCAAAAAATCGGCAATACACCCGCTTCCTGGAAATGCCTCACAAGTGGGTACAAAATACCTAATATTTTCGATTTATCGTTGCCAAAAGCTAGATAGTATTTGTTTGACTCTCTGTGTCTACGTGTTATTATATCAGCTCAGTTATTCGATATTATTGTCACCGTCAAATAAATAGAATGAGTAAACGTATTAATAAAAGTATAACCGACTTTTTTTACTTAAAATAACTTTAAAAATACTGAAAACATACATCAGAAACTCAATATCAGTATGTAGACTAAATTGATTAATAGTGTTAAATTTTAACCGTATAATTGCAGTTACTACAGATAACGTCATAAGAGTTAACATGGAAAAAAAATTATTTTAATTGTAATATGTATAATAACTTTCTTAAATGTCTTTATATTTGACCTGATTATTGAAATTTATATGTGATTTATAATTGAAAATAAATGTTGTTAATGATTTATAGGTTATCCAATGTTTAGCAAACACAGAAATAATTATAGTGATAGATTTGAATGAGATAATACAATAAATATAAACTAGTAGTAATTTAAAATTCTATAATTATTAACTTTTAAAAAATAACTGTACTGATGTACCTATAAATTATATTATACATTATACTACTGGTGGACACTTCCCTTGAAAAATCTTGGTGCCATTGTAACGAAATTATAACGAAACTGTCAATTGTTATTATAATTAGTAATTGCTAAATTTATACATACGTTTATATTGTATGATTTTGTCATGAATTGTTACAATAGACTATATAAATAAAATATTACAGATTATTATATTAGATTAATTAATAATTTAAAATGAAATAGCGTTAATTCGGAATAATCAATTTACATGTTGTATTTGCAACTTAAAGAGTGGTAAGTATACTTACGTAGAAAAATTATCATTAAAATAACATAATATTTATTATTTGTAAATATAAAGTGAGTAGTATAGTATGATGATAAACACTGTGTAGTATTTTACTATAGTATATTACATCTAATTAACTTTCAGATATTTTTAGATCAACATTTGTACTATTTTATTTATAACCTGAAAAATGCCATTTACTCATACATAAGTCATGTGCATACATATTCTATGTATACATTATATAGTATTGGTCTCAGAGATGTCTAAATAGTTATAAAAATGTTTCTTTTATGTTAATATCTATATTCATCAAATATTTAGTTATTGCAAACAAATCGGAAGAGAAACGACATTATTACTGGTATTACTGAAATATTAGAAACTGAATGAAAAAATTAATAAAAATAAATTTCATAAATTGCTTTTTTTAAAACATAAATGGCTATATGGTTAAAATATTTAATTTATTTGTAACACGTGCTATTTGGATATATGTATTTACTTAACCTAAACATATAGCTATAACCAATATACTTATTAAGTCATAATTAATTATTTATATGAACATATAATTTGGAAAATATTACATCAAAGGTTCGTCATCTGATCTTTATGACATTTATAATTTCTTTTAAGATGATATCAACGAATTTCTTGATGAAATTGTATTTATTGTTCTTATATTGACATAAATAAATATAAACTTATGTTTGGTGAATCATATAATGTGCTGGTTTGCGTCACAATAGTTATGATATATTTAATTGAATATTTACGTACCGTGTATTGATCATAAGCTAATAACTCATAATGAAGTTTAAAATATCGATTTGTTTACAGTGAGTAGTGAAATTATTTCAGTGTTAATTTCTGATATATCACATTTTTACAACATATATTTCTTTTTAAAAGTTGTTTGTATATATATTTATTGTAGGTGTGTGTGTGCAAAGCAATTCTTTTAATTTATTAATTTAAAAATTTATTTATATAAAAAAAGTAAAATAATCGGTAAAAAAATTAATTGTTGAATTTGTTGTTATTCATATACTTATGTTTTTAAAATACTCCTGTTAAAAGCTTATTTAATTGGTATTTAAGTGATATTAATAGGGAATAATTAGCTTAATTAATATGATGTACCTTTTGGAAATTAAATTATTAAATACACTAAAAATGAATTGGAAGATTCAAATTTTATAAGATATTCATCACGCATTTTTAAAAAACTTAACAAATGTCAACATTAATTTAATTTTAACAAAATTCAATTTCGGCTTACTATATCATATTAGGCATAGGTTTGTGTAAAATGAAATAGTTATTTTAGTATGTATAGGTAGGAATAAAATATTACATTTTTTTTTTTTTTTTTAATGCTATACAGACCGTTGAAGCCTTTTGTATGCTTCCACCAAGTATCTCCATCCATCCCGGTCAATTGCGTCATCCAATTATTTTGAGTAGTCGATATCTAAAATATCCTTCACTCTGTCTAACCATCTCTGACGAGGTGTTCCTCTTGGTCGTTTTTTTGGGGATTTTTGGTTAAGACGTTTCTTGTAATACTTTTGGCCGCTCACCAAACGTGACCAGTCCACTCTAGACATTTTGCTTTCAAAAATAGTCTAATATCTGGCTTATTGAATAACACTTCCAGATCTTTATTTTTTCTTCTCTCATATTTACCATTTTGAAGTCGAGCAGGTAGTAACATTCAATATATGAACATATATATAATTAATAATTTTGACTATTGGTCTTGACAGTTTTTACATTAAATTTAGAGGGGCCCCATGACAAAAAATATTTAAAAAAATTTGATATATACTATAAAATTCGATGGTTGTTTTTATTTATTAAAAATTTTATTAATATTTTTATTAAAAGTCGTCAATTCTAAAAATTGGCACTCTTGTAATTTAAAGTTGCTCATCCTTACTGCATAGTATTAGTTGACATCAGTTAAGTACGAATTTTAAACAACCTTGGACTGAACTTGTCTCTTCTATATTATGCACTAAGTAATTATATGAATACTTGCATATTTTAAATCTGGAACCAATTAGAATGCACTAAGTTTGATCAATACAATCAGTAAAACAACAAATATATTTATAAATTACATATCGTATATAGCTATACAACAAATAGTTATTGGTTTTTTTTTTTTTGTTCCAGGTGTATCATTTTATAAAAAATGCCATCGCGTGGAAACGTGGCCAGTGTACAGCGTTATCTTGTTATAAATTATTTTATCTCCCCGATGATATTGAAAATGGAACATTCATTGGTTTTCTATCACGACCTGTAAGTAATTATTGTGCAAGGAAATTATTTAATTAATTATTTGCAAAATGTTCACAAAGTAGCCATTTAATTTTCAAACAGCCTAACAATGAAAAAATATGTATACATATATAGATGTATGTAAATAAATATTTTAAATCTGAATGAAAACCGAATGGTTTTTATATTCGATAATAATCCAATATTTAGATTTGATTAGATTCTATTATCGGGGTATCCGATTATTGTTGGCATTGTATTTTTTAAGAATCTTTTTTAATTCTAGGAAATTTTTCTTCACCCATGACGCCGGAAGATTCATTATACGAATTGCACAGTAATATTAATTTCAGGAAAAAGATTATCCGGAAGTTATTGTTACGTACACTTCTCCGGGAAATGAAGAACAATTCCAGAGAGTCTTAATAAACACTCATCTCATAAAGTGGAGAAATAAACCGCTATTTCAAGCTATCCCATCCACAATAAAGAATATTGTGTGCACGACGATCGAAGAAAAGGGTTTGAAGGGTAAATTGTATTCGAATGCTGTGCTTAAGTGGATTCCGGCCGATACAGCAGCCAGATTAGACTACGAGTGAGATATTTTATGCAATTTAATTATATTATTTAAAACTATGTGACAATATGATACTTCTTTTCAGGAGTTATATTCCATTTAATTAATAGTTGTATATAAGTATATATATAGTTGCTGGACACTATTAGTAATTTTAAACGAATTTTGCATATGCTTTGTTGCGTATTTATAATCCATAATTAATGGATCATTATTTGGCTCGAGGTTTTATTTTTTTGGCTCGTATTTTTTTTAATCTATTTTGGATAGGTATTAAATGTATAGATTGTTAAAGTTTGAGAATAGTTTATTTTAAATTGCGTGAATTCAAATGAAACTGCATTATCATCAAAAAAACAAAGTAATACTCATAAGCAGTAATTTGGTGAAATTTGTGGGGGCTGAGCATTATTTACTTATTACACCTATAGATACCACTGTGCGCAATTATTTATTTCAACAAGGCAATTTACGAAGTTTGACAATTTGACATTTTTAATCAACAATTTATTTGTTGATAACATATTTTTTTACTAACATATTTTTTTTATCACAGAATATATTTTTTTAATTCAGTTATTAAAAATGCATTTTACAATTATAATGATTATTGTATTTTTAGTCACTTAACAATTTTTAGGACTAGGGGGCCTAAAACCTGTACTTTATATCTTGGGGGGGCTTAGTCCCCTTAAGCCCCCCTCGATTTCCGCCTGTGGTAATACCTATTACAATTAAATAATAAAAGACAAAAATAACATAAACAAAAGTAATGAATTGTAACTTAAAAACTAAGTAAATTAACTGTTACGTTATTAATGTACTATGTTATTTTTTTATTGTATTGATACTATTCTTATTAGAACGCATAGTTAAATATAAATAAATATATATTTTTGACCTTCGAGAAAAATTAATTAAGTTAATAGATATCACGTCTAAAAGAAATATCAATATTACTTACTACCTATTACTTATTATTTATATAACAATGAAATTATGTAAAAAAAAATAAAAATATTAATAAATTGGAGTGAAAAGTTATGATTTTTGCATACGTATATAATATATCAGTGTGTGATTTATGAGCGATTATCATTTATGAGTCTAATAAGTTGAACATGATATTTTGACTAAATCTTGGATTATAATATATATTTATTTATAAATAAAACTACGTCATACGGATATAAATAAATTATTATCAATTTAAAATTAAGATTTTAAGAAAAAATATAGATAGTTGATAAAAATAGATAAATAAATAAATTCAAACACGGAATATAATAGTTCAAGTTTTTTATATACATCCATGTATTTTACAATTATATTGTTATTTTTAGAGTCCCATCTGATGTATATATTGATCAATTAGCCGTGGAAAACATTGAGCAAATTTATTCGTTGTGGGCTCATAGTGACGTCTATCCGAAGTCAGACATTTGGGATACCGTGAGATTGAACATTGGTTTTGGTGTATTCAGCCGTGATAGTCGTGAGCTATTGGCGTGGGCGATGTGCGGCAGTTACGGAGGCTTAAGCACACTAATTGTTGAACCAAATTACAGAGGACGTGGACTTGGTAAGCTGATTGTTATGGCGGTCACTAAGGAAATGGGACAATCTGGCATCACTCCCCATGCTCTCATCAATATGAAAAACAATCTATCCTTGAGTTTATTCAAGAGTGTAGGTTACATGAAGATTCCTGAAAAATATCCATACATCTTAGTAGGGGACTCGGATACTTCGAATTCTTTTGATTCGTCTGGGCCCTAAATTATGGGCATCTTCCCAGGCAATTACCTGAACGATTGGACTAAAAAAAAAAAAAAAAATTAACATTCATGCAAATGAAACGCAAGAAATCCGCCACAGACGATGACGAGATGAAATGAAAACACTGATGATTTAAATACAAAAACTGTTGATTAAATTTGATTTAATTTAAACTGTTGGATTTATTTATATTCAACTATTTTAGACATCCTGTAAGTATCCTATACGTGGTACACAATAAAATAGCATAAAATAGAATATGTGATTGAATAATGTGGCTATTTTATAATTATTTTGAATAGAATATTATTATATAGAGTTTTATAATAGCTATAATTTATAATTTTCTAAGCGCAATATACTTATCAAAATTCATTAGCCGAATATATTGAATAGTTTTATTTATTGAGTAGCATCTGAATATATTCTTTTTAAACTTGCAATAATGTTAACATAACTATGCGAATACTAAAATTTAGCTTCTATAATATATCAAACAAAATTAATATGAATTATATTGATTATATATTATATTAAATATATTCTGCGAAATAATGTTTCAATAACAAAATGGTCATTCAAGAATGAAAAAGCTGAATTAGTTTAATTTAGAGAGAAATAACTTGTTATTTTTTAATTAAATAGTTTTACAAACTTAATCAATTTATTTATTTATTAAATTATAAATTATAAGTATTAAATATATATATATATATACTAAAAATAAAATATAAAAAAATTAATTAATTTTTATATTTTGTTTTAATGTATGTTCTTAATTTAAATTTTTAAATTAATAATATAATTTAATTTACTGTTAGTCACTTTTTTTGAATACTTGTCCACTTTTTAAACTCTATTCAGCTTTTGATATTTTTCTTAGGTTTTAATTTCTTAATATTTTTTATTAACCTATAAATCTTAAATATACGAGTATATTATCTTATAAATTTCCTTCTTGTGATTCGACTTCAAAAACTGTATCACAGATTAATTTTCTTTACTTTTAAAATGTACATTTTATGATGGACGTGTGGTGTGGTTGATGATAAAAGGATTGGTTCTGCATACAAGCAATTAAAAAGATATTTCAAAAGACTCTAAAAAGTCTCATGAACAATTTAATCGATAATTATGTATCATTCTAGATAGGTTTTTGCTGTAATTAGTATTTTCCAATGAATACGCACTTTCTTTACCTCATCATCTGTAATGATGTTCCTACACTTGCTGAAAAGTGGAATTGCATTAAATGCAAAACACATAGTTTTCATAGCTTGTATTGAATAAGTATCGATATCGCGATTAAATATCCTGGTCCCTAAAATATATATCATAGTAGAGCTAGGAGCAGATCCTACATTAATCGACGAAGTTATTAATCTTACCGTAGAAACCAAAAATAGAAAAATAGATTTAACCTACAAAGTGTTATAAGTATTAAATAAGTTTGCAATTAATATTATGTATTAATAAAAATAATATTTATACCTAACAGTATTAAATTTTATTTTCCCTAATCCAGAACCCAAGTTTTGATATTGTATTTAATTAACTGTTTAAGCCTGATCACTTAGTCAATTTAAAGCCGTGGTTTCCTACAACCACGCATCCGTGATTGCATGGTGCGTGATGCGTGATCACGCAAAAGTTGAAACCATGAAAAATAGTATTGATGTTTAATAATAATTCACGCGCGTCAATATTTACGCGCGTGATTATCGAATCACGCACGTCGATTGCGTAGCAGTCGCTACGAGGGTAACTTTTGTGTAAAACGCAGTGCGGGATTAAATTATTTTATACATTATTAAAATATTTTTCAATATATTATTTATATTTTATTGTATATTTTATTTAATTTTTATTACTAATTAAAGTACTGATACAACCTTCCCTGTTCCGTTGACTAAACATTTCATAATTTCCATTACGGAAATTATTCGGAAGTAGCAATAGTACTTCAAAATTGTATAAAGCATAACCACGTCCATTTTGATGTACTACTAAACATCAACTGACTAAAATTTTCTGCTCCAAACCACTCAGTCGTAAACACGCATCGTAGCAAAACACTTCCATTACGCATCGCGCTCCACGTAATCACGGATGCGTGGTTGTAGGAAACCACGGCTTAAGTCAATGCTAGGATTTACTGTTTTACAGGTTGACTCAACATCTGAAAACCATAATTTTATTTGGGCTTATACGAAAAACGTTGTGTAGATCCTAAGATATACAAATTGAATTAGTAAATAATACTTAAGAAACGACATAAAAAAAATTAAAAATAATACAATGCTCATGTAAAAGATTTAATGACTACATAGCTATTTAAGTGTGTGAAACATTCTAGAAAAATCGTAGTATGTCGAAAAAGGGACTTCTTAAACTGATATTGCTCAATAAAACGAATAGTGGATGTCAAACTTATTTGATTGACAAGCAATGAAATTAGAACAATAGTTTTAAATACATTATAGAGGATCAATATCAGTGACTAAATGTATTACTATACACATTCTGTAAACGGGCACAAGAAATTGTATATCAACTTCTTGATATACTCATCCTATTATGAGTTCTCAATATACTACACTCTGATAATGGAGGGGGGAATTTGTAAATAAATTTGTTACTTATGCCTGTGAAATGTGGCCTCAAGTAGAAATAGTCCATGGCAAAGCTAGTCACAGATAATCTCAAGGGTTGGTCGAACGAGTTAACCGAGACATCAAAAATATGATAACTACTTGGATGCAGACTAATATCAAAGTACAAAACGGTCTGAATCTTTACGATTTGTGTGACAAATGGAATATTCAGTATTTTGTCCAGGTTATTTATAGTCATTATATAAATAAATAGTAAGCATAAATATAATAAATATTTCATTATAAAATGAATCATGGAAAAAAAAATGTACAATCGACTATTTTTTTCAATTTAATTTAAATTTGTCGTATACCAATTTCTTAGATTTTAAATAATATAGTAGTGCTATAAATATTTATTTGAATTATGATTATTATAATTTTATACTAAATCATCGTAATTATTTATACGATTGTTTCTTTTGCTCATAAGCGTGCGCAGACTTTAATCGCAGATTCAGCATACTAAATAAAGCTGCCCATTTTTTAATAATCGGTTCAATTTGTTGAACCGCCAAAATTATTGATTGTATATACAAAGATTATGTGATTGATACTACAGTAGATAAAATAGTATATTTATATATTTACAATTATCAAATGTAAATGAGAGTTTTGAGTTTTGACTACCCTACGTACCTACGTATTATTGTACAATTTTTGTTTGTTCTTTGTAGATTCAAGATTGATCTTCATCGAGCTTCGTGATTTTGATTAGGTTCACCTATTTGTTGTTAACTAGGTACAATTATACAGTAATAATAATAATAGTATACATTTTAGCGTCCCCTACTGTTATTACGCTATAATCATAACGCTCAGCCAGTTTTGGGGACGTCTTTTTTTTTTAAAGTAAATAGAGTCCCCCTTCTTTAATTTTGCCAAGTCGAGCACTGCAAATTATCTAATAACAATAATGGTTCAGATCAATTTTATCTACTTACCTATATTAAATAAAAAATTGGCCCGACTGGATACCTACTGCGACTAAACGGTTATAATTTGCACCACTGCGGCCTGCATGCCAATCAATCGGTCCAAAAAATGGGGAGATGGTATTTTGCGCCAATTTTATTACTTGTAATTTGCGCCAAAATATAAAAATTAAATGTGTATTTTGCGCCACATCTAAAAATAATTTTGGTAATTTATGCCACAGCAGAAAACAAAATGGAACATGTAATCTGCGTCATACTTTCGACTTTAATTATTGGAATTTACCAGCAGATAAATTTACCGATAACACATTGGAAATGTGATAATACCAACGCCAACGCGTGCTGGGTATATCATTGTTGTGTTCTACTAAGGCTAGGTTCACATGGACGCGCGAATTATTTCTTTAACACATTCATTAAATGTATTTGAAAATTTTTCAAATGTTAGAAATTTCTCATCAGCTTATCCTCATTATTGTGTAGGTATAACTATTCAGGTTATGTTTTTAATTTCCCTTCAGACGACGAAAATTATTGATGCTATTGTAAAAATATCGACAATGGTGCGTTTTCTGGAGTTGTCATTTTTTTTAAGTATTCACAACTGAAAAGTAAAAAAAAAAAAAACCATAGTCACAGTAATTGAAAATATATTTACTAGAGTATAATGCATTTTAAAATTATAGTTTAATATTGAACAAGATTATAATACATATATATATATTATAATATTCAAATATATTCATTATTAGTACTTTCTCAAACTTAATAAATGTTGATATTGTCATTTTCTACTAATAAATATAAATCAAACCAAATTTACTTGCTAATACAATACAATTTATAATTTATTAGATTCCTTGGAAAGCTAATTATTTGCAATGACTTAAATCAGTGATCCTAAAACCATTCCATGGATTAAATTCATATAGATATTATTATTATGACTATTTTAATTGTGACATTTTTACGGATTTTATACTATCCAATATTATTTGGATGTATACTAACTGGAAATAACCATATAAATTGATAATTTTTGTTTTTGGGGGCTTCTTGAATTTATTTTAGTAATATAGGTATGGCTCTATGAATGAAAAAGTTAAGAGAACCTACATTGTAGAGGATAAATAAATATTAAACGTTTAGTTATTATTGTCAAATTATTTTAATAGATGTCAATTATTTCATTGATTATTTATAATATGTATATATACAACAATTATATTTTAATAAATTCTTACTTTTTTTATTATAAGCAATAATAATTTTTCTTTTTTTTATAAACGTTTATCGGAGTATAAAATATACAACCACTATAAAGTGTGTATAGGACTACAAGTAAGTATTTGATAATAATATGATAATACTATAAGACGTTTATGTATTTTTATGTAAATCCGAAGAGTGTTTAACACGGTTTAGACCATGTTAACGCGTCTGGAATCTATTCATTTAGGTAATTCTAATTGTGGTAAATGGTTTATGAGTGCATCCATTTGACTCGTCTATTTTTTGCTTTTTTTGCGTCATTAATTTGTGATTGAGTAAATGTAGGCAAATTATTTATGAAATGCCTTTTAAAATTTCCCGGGGGATCGTAGTTTGCTACAACAATGTAACCACTGTCATCTTTTGCCACACCAACACCCAATTTCTGTGATGATTTCCAAAGTAGTTGTGTCATGTGCTCTGTAATTTTATAAAAACAATAGAACTATTAGTATACACATACATAATCATATCATAATTATTATGTGTAAAGAAAATTAATTTATCCCGAAAACGTTTACTTTTACTTTTGATATAATTCTTAATTTTTAATTTTATTAGTTACAATTTTACCTTTATATTAATTTATTCTTCATTCAAAATCGGTTTTTTCAAAATCAGTGGTATATAGGTTTTAAGTTAAAAAAACGAATACAACAATATCATTGACCCATTCCTGAACCTCACCCGACCGTTAAGGCTCATCCGACCTACGAGTATTGTTTATTTTTCTAATAAAATGTTTCAAATTTTAATTATGGCGCAACGGCTTAAATACGATGTTGTAATTTAAATACACACAATTATACTGTACCAAATTTGGTTCAGAATAATTTATTGAACGCAGAGTCTATAAATCATTACTTTAAAATTGAAACATTGTTACTACAAACTTACGCTAACGATTTATAAAAGATCGTTTAAACGCCGAAAATCAAACACATGCGTCTTAAAGCATCGACCGCTACCAAACGCGTTCGTTTTGCGATAGTGTGGAATTCGTATGCAGTCCGTACAGTTTTATTTTTCGGTGTTTTTAAAACGTGTACGTTAATCGTCTAAAACACGTAGTGTGTAACCAGCTTTACCGTCTATTTTTTATTCCTCATTATTGTGGTTCGTCTTAACACAACAATAATACCTTCCTATTATAAATAATTTTAAAAATATTACAAAAATTATTATTTATTCATTATTATTCTTTAACTATAAAATTTTTTATTTTATTGATTTTATGAATAAGTCATCAATAAATATTAAATTTTGTTTGCTCATTATTCTTTTGTCAATCGTTGGCCGTTAATGATTTAACATTTTATTAATTTAGTCTTAATTCTGCCATCTGGGTTGGGTATGCGTGTGTATTCGTAATTTATGTCAACGCTTCGTTTTTATGTTCTGTTTTATCATTAAAAAATAAAGATAAATCATTTTTTAACTTAAATTTGGTGTCGATGTGTTTTTGACTGACGGTTAAGTTCTATACTGTAAGTATCGTGACGTTAAATTAGAATGTGAAATCCGATTTAATGTCCCCCAAAATTTAAATTATTTATTTATTTTTTTAAACATTTTTCAAATAAATCGCTTTAAAAAAAAATATAAGAGCATGTGTTTAGTGCATATCATAGGGTTTAAAATGCATGTGCTTGCATATTTAGTGCTTTTTTGGAGTTACAAGTCCTTTGCCCTAGTGATCAGTATAAAATTTTGTTCAACAGACTTTCCTATGTGATATCTAGTAGAGGTCGTGGTTGTGAACGGGTATTAGAATACACGGGTACACGGAGCTCGGGCACACGAGCAAAAAAACATATTCAAGTCCTTTTAATAAATGGGAAATCGACCAAAAAATTATGTCAGTAGTTACTGTTAATACAAAAAATCTTTTGAATGCAGTTAATTTACTGGATAATATCACAGAAAAAAACGATCTAATATGTGCTGCACATTACAACTAGCTGTCAACAATGCCCTAAAATATGATAAAATAGAAAATTTAATTGAAGTATGTAGTAAAATAGTTTGTCATTTTAAGCATTCAAATTTAGCAAGTCAATATTTAAAGATAAGCAAGAAAAACTAGGTTTGCCAACAGAAAGCTTGATACAAAGCTGTAAAACAAGATGGAATTCTATATTTATGATGCTTGAGCGCCTTTATAAAAATAGGTGCCCAATTTCAAATGTTATTGCTGATCGTTCGATGACTACAGCAGCGATGGCACACAAATTTGAAGTGACGGAGCACCAATGGACAGATGTTGAAACGTTAATACAATTGCTTAAACCTCTACAAATGATGACTACTATTTTTTGTGGGGAAAAATATTGTTCTAGTTTAATGGTTAGGCCTCTTCTAAACGCAGTTATACAAAAGCATTTAAAGCATAATATAATCGTAAGTGATGATGAAATAGCTGAACTTTTTAAAACCACTGTAATAAGGGAACTTTCAGATCGTTTTAAATTACTGTGGTGTCCTTCTAGTGTCGTGTCTGCTAGGCAAATAGCATCTTTTCTAGACCCAAGGTTCAAAGACTTAGAGCATGAAACGGTTGAAGCAAGAGAGAAAATTCGGACACGGGTTAAAAATTTGATAAACGAAATATCTGAAATTAATCGCGATATGCAAATTGAAACATCTGTAGCTAAACATAACAATGCTCTTGAATTTTTGTTTGGCGATGAAGTAAACTGTGATACATCTGATTCTGATATTCAGTATCAACATTACTTGGCAGAACCACAGTTAAAATTTGATTTTGATGCACTAGAATGATGGAAGATACGTCCATCAAAATATCCATTAATTGTTGCTTTGGCAAAGAAATATTTAGGGATACCAGCAACGTCAGTAAATTCGGAAATATGTTTCTAAACCGCTGGAAACATAGTGACAGCCAAGAGAAGTTGTTTGTCGCCCAAGACGGTAAACATGTAAATTTTTCTTTACTAAAACAAACAATTATTATAACTTCCTAGATCGTGAGTGATTGCTTTTGTATTTTTTGCACTATATTATGCGTTATTACATAGCAGTGGCGTATTTAGGAGGGGGATGAAATATATAATAATACATCCTAACACCCATAAATTCGTACATAATATACATTTTTAAAATCCCCTAACTTGTTACCTATTGAGGTTAGTGTGGATCAAGGCAAAATAAGAATTAATCTTTATAATTACCTCATCATTTTCCAAACAAATTTTTTTACTTGTACTAAAATAAGAAAATAAAGTTTATTTTTGTTTTTGAGTATTACTCATATTGTCTTAAAACTTCACAGTTACAACTTACAAGACGCAAAAAAAATAAAGTCGAACAATAGTCAATTCGGCAGTAAGTCAGTACTCGGAATGGCGCGGCGTCGCTATCCGTCAACGTCCAACGACCGTACATATCTACTTTTAACGAATCACAATATCATACGATAAAATATATATATATATATATATATAGCTATACATTAGCCATAAATCTACTAGTAACAAATTTTCTAAAAATAAACCCGCCCGGCCGCCCTATGGTTAATCCACGGTCCTCATGGTCATTTTGTTTTGTTTACCGATTGCTTATCGGGTTTATTATAAACACTCTTGCATGAAAAATAATTCGCAGAAACGTACAAAATACAGTACACCATAATATAGGTATAGTTTTTGTTGCCTGATAGTCGTACATGCCGCCAACGATAAACGATTAGTGGCGATTAGTATATCAGACTATCAGAGCGGTACAATTACCACGACTAGAACATTTAGAAAACAGAAAACATACATGCTTGAAAGTAATATCATATTAAGAATATTAGAGAAAATGAGACAACTTATAGCTACCTAGGAAAAAAAAAGGTCAAGGGGGGGATCTATCCCCCATATCCCCCCCCCCCCGTAAATACGCCACTGTTACATAGTACATACTGCTTGTTCATTAATTTAATATTATTATTATTATTTTGTATTTATTTTATACTATATTATTATTGTTATTACCATTAATGTTTGGATTATGTATATATATACATATGTTTATTGTTATTTAATAATTAGGCAATACAACTTTTTTTTGGAAAAAAATGAAATTATAATGAATGAATATAATAATATAATAATATAATATAATAATATAATCTATAATGAATGAAAATACAAAAAAATAAATAAATTCTGTATTATTTGTTAAACCTACTTTTCATTTTAGCTATCGGGTATTTAGATACATGGGTATTAATAAAACGGGTATTTTTACTACACGGGCCTTAACCCCGTCTTGTTTAAAAACACAGGTACCCGTGTAGTTCATTATATAGGTAATCGAGACCTTTAATATCTACTGAAACTCCCAAACGCAAATCTATCCTTATATAAATATAGAATGCGGTAATGAAAGAAAAGATCGGTGAATACAATAATTTCTCGTTATCCGTGGTTTCGATTACCCGCGGTTGCTGTGCGATTAAATGTTATAAACGCGATAACATTAAACTGATATTATACGAGCACTGTAGATAATTTAAGTATTTAATTATTTTTTGTAGATAATTTTTATTATAATGCTAGGTATACTACTAATCAACTATGTACTTATTACAGATAGGTCACATAAAGTACCATAGGCGTCCGCTAGGGGGGGGGGGGGGGGTCAGAAAACGAAATTTTAATTTTTTAAGAACCGAAAAGAAACTGAAAGCTAAATTTTTATTATTTATAAGCTGAAAATAATTTTTTTTTTTTTTTTGAAACCGAAAAGAAACCGAAATCGAAATTTTAGTTTTTTAAGAACCGGCATCGAAATCGATTTTTTTTCACTTAAGGAACCGGAATCGAAAAAAATCATCAAGGTTTCGGTTATAACCTATGTCATTAACATTCTGCAGAGTCCATATTAAAAGGTCAAAGGTAACACAAGATTAGTCCCGTATTTGAAGTGCTCAAGTAGACAGAAGGAGAAAGAAGAACAAATCTTCGAACAATTCCGAATTCCATACGAAACACAAGTAGATCAGTAAATGTAAATCAACTACGCATATGAAATCTTTATAAATTCCAATTAATGGATTATTAATTTCTGAAATTTCAAATGTATGGAATCATATTTTTATTTAACTGTGTTAAATATTTGAAATAATTTACTTACGAACTGCACTGCGATTGTATAATTCATCTTCATCATCGTTTAAATTGTAAAGGGCCAATTCATTGTACCAAGAATTGACAGCTTGTTCACCAATGTTATCACTGTCCGAAGTCTTGTAGAGATTTTCTCCATAGAGATTATCGGTTCTATGCTTAAGTCCTCGGCTTTTTAACGTATTAGCCCATTCTTGAGCATAATTATTCAACTGCACAATTACATCATTATTTAGAGTAACAATAATAATAATAAGATAAAGAAAACATTTAGTGAATTATTAAAGTTCAAATAGATTGTTAACACAACAATAACACCTATTGCGATGTAAGTAAATAATAGTATCTATATACTTTACACATATTTATCTAATATAAAAATGATTAATCATAATATATGATAGTTAATATTATTTAGTTAAGCACATTGAACAGCAGCTTTATGTTTATCTTTATATTATTATTACTTTTTAACTTTATGGATATCTCAAACTTTCTTTTCAGTCATAATCATAGTATTTGTAACACTCAAAGTTATAACAGTTTTAATATATTTGTGAGTTTTTGTATGTACTCATTAAGTAATTCACCACGATAATTATTAATAGAGTAAATAAATGAGTAAAATATTATTGTTTACTTACATTCACGTCCATCTTTAATGGTGTGACGCCATGCTTTCTTCTGTAAGCATTGGTTTTGTCCAGGACTTGTTTTCGGATCCGTTGAAGCTCATCTTTAGTAAAGTCCTTAGATTCTACGTATGGATGTTTTCTAGATTTATTTTTTTTATTCACGTTTGGATTAATTCCATTATCCTTAGATTGATAGTTTTCTGAATCTACTATTGGATTTGATTGCATCATGTCATTGTAAGAATACATTCCGTTTGCCGGGACATTGGATTGACCACTTTTGAATTGATTTTTAGAACCGGATGGTGATTTATTTTGTTTTCCTGACTGAGGGATCTCGACACTGTTGTCATCCGAATAATTAATAATTCCGAAAGGAATTTTTCCATATTGGTTTAAATTTCCATTCATCATATTATTAAAATTAGACATTCCATTGTCTTCGTATTGATTATGTGTTTTTGGTTTATTTTTTAGTTTTTCCTGAAATGTTATAATTTAAGTATTTGCTTATTTCGGTGGCTTATATATAATAATAAATCATAACAGTGTTTATCTTCTTTGTCTCTTTGGTCCTTAACGTAAAATGTATTTAAATTGATAAAATGCGATTCAAACCAGTATACCTAATAGGTAAATTAATAATTGTAAATTGTATCATCTGCTATCCTATATTAAAATCGTCATCGGTTGTATTGAACCATATAATATTACGATAATATAACTAATACTAAATAATATTATTGTAATTATTATTGATATTGACAAGCAAAAAAATTTAAAAATAATATGTTGAGTAATTCGTGTATTCTACGTAGGTAACACTTACCATAAACTTTGCGTCACCGCACTCTTCATCTGGTAATATATCAAGACATTGACCATTTACACAACACTTTCTAAATGATATAACTCTGGTATTTTGTGGTCCATAATTACCCATTTGTTTTTTGAGAAAATCTAAAGGAAAAGCACTCAATGGCATACTTTGTGTTTTGGAGTTTCTGTTTTCCGGACCACTATATTTTCTGTCGTGTTTGCGATTTAAACTTTCTGGGGAGATATTTTCATCACGTTTATGATCTGAATTTTCCGGTGAGTCATAGGGACTGAGAAATTCTGGAATGGAAATATAAATGTAATACATAAATTTTGTGTCAAGCGTCAGGTTGTAAAATGTGAATTACTAGATGATGGTGGTACCGGTGAAGACGGCAGTGATGATGGTGGTGACGAGAATATTTCGGGACCACAAACTTCGTTTTCTTTTAGCATACGGCAATTATTAAAATTGTCACAACATTTTCTGAATACTAAGACTCTGTCACCAACCATACCTCCAAAACCACCATTTCCGAATGGGTTTGTTATCGAACCTCTCATGGCAAATGGACTGCCGTGATGTGTACTACTGAAGGGACTACTAAAAATACCACCAAAAGGATTGGTTTCATAATTTGGCATTATGGGAAAGCCACTATCTTGAAAATTCGGATATTGAGGCAGATAACTTGCACTTGGTTGAATCGGATTTGTAACACTGTTATCATTTGAATTTCTAGAATTTCTAGTCTTTGACAATCCCCTTAAGTTAGAATTTTTCAAAGAAATTTTATTTTGACTAAGCTCTGCAGGAACTATACGTTCTGGATTTTTCGGAGAACTATTCGAGAGTACTAAAAATAACATAATATTTAAAGTACTTATTATATAATATGCGCTTATTATTAAACATCATTACTAGTTGAAGATAATCTCGATGGAAATGACGACGAAGATGATGACGAATATTTAATTTCTGGCGACTCGGATTCTTCATCATAATCTTCAGTTATCGGCAACTGACCAAGTACCTTATTAGTTCTATTTAGATCGTGAAGGTTTTCGGCTTTAATCCTAAATATCATATTTTAATGTTAAACTTATTACCTATAAATGTATCATAAAAAATTAATTTTCAAGCACTTACGATTTAATCACTACACACAAAGTTATTAAAAGTTGGCAAGAAAAATATTGTCTAGCCATTTTATAATTTTAAACAATAGTATCACTTAAAACATATAGCCACTGCATTCAATTATTTTCGAATAACACTATTTTGTAATGTTTTGATGGTGTTCGATGGTGACGTCTTAAATTTATAACAGTCGAAAGTTATAATTTTTTTCATCCATATGTTATATACAGTAATTAGCATTGAAACAATACCTACTGGTAATTATTATTACATCGCAATGTTTTAAATACATTTTGTTTAGTGACAGCAGTTCAAAACAACAATTGTGTCAATATAAAGCGGAAGATAATATATCAATTATCACCACTATTCATCATGTTACTAATTTTTATTATCTCAAAAATATTTTTTTTTTAAAGTATATCAAAATTGTTGTAAAAATAATGACTCATAGAACTACTAAAACTCAACCATATTTCGACATATGGCTATAATAACCGTACATTCGTTTGATAATTACTGCTATTATATTTCATTTATCAACTAATATCTCTATATATTTTTAAGAATTAATACAAATTGTTGGTATCTCAAGTTGGTATTAGGTAGCTATTATACTAGTTTTTCAAAATAAAAATGTTGGCAAATATTATACGGATATATTTTTCGATTGACTGATGACGAATGAGAGTAATTCTAGTATTACACTGAGTAGACATCGATCATTGACATGTTTTGTTGATCGACAAAAATTCGATATACGCCGAACTAAAATATCTGTTAATCGGTTGATGTCGAACTAACAATAACCAATAATAACTAATTAGTTAGTATTGACAAATGAAAAATGACAAATTCTCTGTAAAGTTGAATGAGCTATTAAAAAGTAAATTCAGTATTACACGAAATCGGTATATTTACGTTAAACATTTATATAATTGAACATATATTTTGTCCTAATCCATTGAGTCAATTGAATTTGATCCATATTGTGGTATAGATCAGATTATTTTTTAGTGCATAATTTACTTTATTTCAAAAATCAATAAAATAAATGTTTATCAATGGAGATATTATTTAGCTGCTATAATTTTAACCATAGAAAAAAACACTTAGAAGAATATGTATCATACAAAAAATGTAGAAAATCGTTGGGGAAAAAAATAATATGACATTTTGGGTGATGGGTGTATAACAAATCGATTTTTTGCATTTAGCGAGGATGCATCCCTCCATGGAGATGGCATAAAATTCTATGAATGATAAAAAAAATGAATACAAATAGTATATCATATATGATAATTCTTCATAAACATTTTTTATTGATTTTTCAAGGTTTTATACTAAGAAGAGCTGAGGATACTTTTCTTTGACACCTACAGTTTTTTTTTTTTTATTTTATGCTTTATAATGTCGAACAATTTCTGAAACCTGTTAAAAAAAATGCATGAAAATTACAATAAAAGTGTTTGTAAAATAATATCTCAAGAGGAAGGGATTGGTTACATGAACATCTTTTATCCTTTCAGATTAAATAAATTTATAACACAACAAAATTAATTCTCTTATTACCAATTATAACATAACATTATAGGTACATTATTAAATAGTACCTATACCATATTATAGGGAAATTATAGGGAATTATATGGAAAAATTTAGTAATTTAATTCATAACTTTTTAAAATTGTTGTCTTGTTGGTATATTTAGAAAAAATTTTTTTAAATATATTGACAGCTTTCCTAATATTTAATTAAGAAAAAGTTGCAAAAGATTTCAACAAAAATCGAAATTTTTTTTTATTAAAAGAAATTGTTTATTTTCATTTATTCAATAGTAAAATGTACTTATTAAAAAATTAATGAAATTTATACTTATCTACTGAAGTAAAAATTGTATATTATACTTCCATATGTTTTGTGTTATATACAGTTTAAAAATTATAAATGTATAATATAAAATTTATATTAAATTATTATTTATATTTTTATTTTTTTATTTTATTTTTTTTTTTTATTATTTTTTATTTTATTATTTATATTTATTTTTAATATATGTATAATATTTATTTTTATGTACAATATACTTCGCTGTAAAAGTATTAAAGTAAAATCGGATTTTTTTGTATTGGTTTGAGTAATTAAGTTAAATTTATATTTTATTTCCAGTGGTATTAAAATTAAACAACTCAGGTAGGACATGTATTCAAAAAATGATGAGATCCAACCATTGAGCCACGACAGGATTTAGAGTCAAATAATATTTATATTACATTAACAATATTATTATACAAATAAGACACGTGGATTAATCTACCAGGCAGTGTGTACTAACTCTGTTTGTTTATTGTTTACAATAACTAATGACTAGCCGATCCAATCACTCGAGACTTAATCAACTCACCCACTACTGAAATATTATCAGATAGGGCATATACCCTACCCAAAGGCGTACGCACAGAAACGGCAGGGTATGCTCTTGCTGCCTCATACCGGTTTAAATATATTTATAAGTACCGAAAAGTCTAAGCTGGACCACGGTATAATGATCAATAAAAAAAAATTAGTTGTTTATCCAAAAAGTGTATTGAACTACCATACTAATTTTTTTTGTGTTTAAATAGGTTATAGGTTAAAAAAAAACACAGTGACTACAGAGTTATAAAGTATACTATATCAATTATTAACATTGATATAATCAAAGGTCAAAGGTTAAATTTTGTCTTTTGACTTAAAATTTACAAATATAAGTTAAATAGTCATGTATAGGCCGTTTGTATGAAAAAAATGGACCAATAAAAATATTCACTGCCCCCAACATAAAATTCTGCGCACGCCTATGGCCCTAACTGAATATAGGGTTCGGCGTCACGGTTTAGTACTTATTATTAGATTTATCGGTACACAATTATTTATTAATTAAAAGGTTTTAAGGAGTAAAATATTGGCAATAAATATTCACATTAGTACATTTTTTTTTTATCATACTCATTGGATAGTATGTGACTGACGGTCACTACTTAAATTATGTTTGATACATTAACAAAATCTTTCTAGAACTTTTTCAAAAAATGTCTTCATGAGATGGATTCTAGCAGTGCCGACTCTAGGGGTGGAATGGGGGAGGGGGAGCCAGCGGTACGACCGCACCGGGTCCCGCACTTGTTTGGTACCCCACCATAGTTAACGAGTTGTGTCCCAATTTCCATAGAGTTCTATACTATATTTATACAGTTTTTATATCATAAAAATATACGAAACTATGATTTTAAATGTTAAGTGTTTACTTTATGCAACTAGTATGGATTATGTGCACATTATCCGGACAGTATAGACTTTAGCCCTAACATATACATATATATGTGTAATATTGTAATTGAAAAATGTATAAATTTGTGTATACGACTTATGTAGGTGTATTTTATTTTTTGGGACGTAATTCGTGTAACCTAAAAAAAATCCACCGGACACAACTCGTGTAATCCGAAAAAATACATCATTCGAAAGAATGTTTTGACGATCCGGTTCGTGCCGGTCTGTGTCAGTACGTTTAGTGTCGGTACGGTGTGAACGTAGAAACCGACAAACATCGGTGAAAAACTATTCAAATTTACATAATTTTATTTAGAACTGAAAATATTTAGATTTTCTATATTCCTTTTCAAGTACAATTTGTAATCCTCACGTTAATTTACCAAAAATACAACATTTTAATTCACTCATTGAATTTATTAAAGGAATAAGGATCTTAATATCAACTTATTACTATGCTTATATTATTTTTTTTTATCATTCTTATTACCAGATATCAACACCTACTAAAAAATTCAAAACAAATTACAAAATTCTAACACATGAATGATAATATGCCGTTACATTTCAGTCCAGTATTCTGCCGTGCCGGACAAGTGTGAATTAACCGTGCTGTTACGGTTCAGTCTGGTACTGTGCCGTGCCGGACAGGTGTGAATCAGGCTTTAAGCCTAATAATATAGTCTTAGTAGCACCATTGGTTATATATTACTTTCCTCTATATTAGTAATATATAATCAATGATATAAATAATTAATAAATTGATATATATTTGGGGTGCCGCAAAATTCTGCACCGGGCATCGAAAACCACAAATTTTAATTAAAATGTCAAGTGCCTAAGAACAACACAAATTTCATAAAACTATTTATTACATAAATGTACATGATTTTTATCGTTTAATCAATATTTAATAACTGATTTTTTTTTTTTTTTTAATTAAGCTCAATATTTTTTATTAATTAGTAATAGATACGTACGAGGAACTTTGTAATCGAGACTTTTGTCAGACCAAAATGATTTTATCAACATTTTCGAAAAGAAATTAGTAAAACATGGTATTCTCATTTTATATCATAAAAATCTTTTGAAAATCATAGAACCTGAAACGAACAATATTTTCTATTATATAAGCAACATTTTAACAATATTTAAGGCATCAATGAAAATTTTAAGTCTCTACTGTTATTATTTTTTGAATTTCGACGAAAACAAAAATTTGATTAATCGACAACTGGTGTGCTGTAAATTTTACTCAACATTTCGTCAGTTATTCGTAATTACATTCCTTTAAATACCAACTAGTTAACATTGCCTCTCAGAAATTTCTTATGATTGTGATGATCATAGCAATCCTTCTGGTCGAAATCAAGACACAAAAAAAAAAAAAATATACGAAAATATACATTTGAATAGAACCAATACATTCCGCGTTTCACTCAGAATCCAAAATGAAACGCAAAATAATACATGATGATTGTAAAATAAATATTATATTCATTCCACTTACGATCTATAATGCGAATATTTGCATTGCATTACATAAAATTATACAACAAATAAAAAAAAATTATTTTCTTTCCATCAGCAATGGTAAACGTGATGACATGCATGTCTCATATATTGCCATTTCCAAAACCACATCCACTGTGTGTTATCACAGAACCACTACGGTGGGATTGACTATAAAATCAGTGTGTCGGAAGTGAGTGAAAGTAAAATCTCTTGCACAGCTCTCAGGAACAAGTGGACTCCAAATAGCAGGTAATTTTATTTTTATACTATTGGTAGATTAAAATTGTATTTTATCATTAAGTATATTTTTGGTGTACATTGTGAATGGTTTTTCATTTTTTTTCCATTAGGTTAAGGATTGTTATAACTCAGTACCTTTTATAAATAATAATAGAAGTATATTCTTTTAATGTACTATCAAAAATACATGTTTTTTAATTTAAATATCAACTTAAAATGTTTTTATACACTCTCAGCCCGACGTAAATGTCTAATATTCTTAAGAATATTGTCAATAAATCAAGAATTTTCAATACTTTACAGTTTAACGATTTTAATAAAATTATTAGACGCATATGTATTATAAACTATACTTTAAATTGCAATAAAATGACTATTTAAGATATTATGATTGATTATCTATACATAAGCCATCAAGTAATATTAATTTTGTATACAAACATTCGAAAAAAAATTAAACTTTTTATAGAAAATAATTTACTGTAACGTAATAAAACACTAAATTACAAACTATCGGTTTGAATCAAAATATAATTAAAAAAATTAAAAAGTTGATTTTTAATATTCGTAAAGATTCCTATTAAAAATAATAATTGTAGTAAAAATTATGTTAAACAATAAAAATAATATTCATACATATTCAACACTTCTGTTTATTGATATATTTTGTTAGTTATAATTCCCTAATGTTCAGAAATATAATAAAAAAGCATATTTGCAAATAAATAAAATAAAATGCTATGTCTTAAATTATATGTATTTTAACTTGATTACATCTCAGAAGTATTAATCTTAGACAAATTTATTAAAAACACATTTTAAGAAATAAGCTAAAAAACATCGTGTTTAAAAATATAGAAAATTAACTATATGATAATGAATTATAAATTATTTTATAAGGACCGGTTTATAGAAAAATATGTGGATACCTATAATAGTTTAATAATTAAACATCATATTAACGCACTAAGAATGTTTTTTTAATATTTAATCGAGTATTTAATGAAAATAAAAAAAACTTAAGTTAGGTACATCTGTAACTACATTTTTTATGGTTATGTTTTTGAAAGTTCAGTGATTTACATTATAGAATATACTATAATATTATTTATGTAACTTAAACACACGATTTTTGTCCGTAATCAAAATTAAACTGGGAAGTCAAAATGGATTATTCAAAAAGGATATGTGATGTAATATGTATTACACAATATTTGTTCGGACCAGACCAGTTTTATACCTCGTCGGACCGTAGGAGAGAATCGGAAAAGGAAAGTGAATGACCGGTTCCCCCGTTTGTTTCCGATGGGCGAAAGTAGCAGGCAATGAAAATTCCATTACTCGTAGTTCACTTATGTAATTGACATACGTAACATAGTTATTCACTGATGTTTATATTATTATGTACTGGTGCATAAAGTGCATAATATGATATTAAGGTCGTAAAGTATTTTACCGGTTTTTTCTTACATATATGCTTTTTTCATGGTCAAACTTTATATGCGTGAACTCGTCGATAGTTGAATAGTTTAATAATACGTATTTAACACCATTATTAGACTTGAAAATAATGTACTTTCATAACATATTCAAAAAATTATTAATAAGAAAATTATAATAACTATTCTTTAACAAGTTCTTAATACACGTCTGACATTTAATTTTCTTCATATTATCCTTATAGTAATATTAGTGTATACAGTTCATGATTTTAAGCTTGTAAAATATTTGAAAACACAAAAAAATAAAATAAGTGAAAATTATATGGGATGATGTAAACTATTTTGGATAGTAATAAGAAAAACTTTAATGTGTTACGGATCAGATATATATAATTGGTCAATTTACTTTAACATTTTAACTTATTTAAAATCATAAAAATTAATAAAATAATAATAAATTTAAAACGATAGATAATATTCAAAAAACGAAAGAAAAATATTTTCAAAAGTATTCAGAATATGGTTTAGAAAAATATTATGAATTATTGATTTAATAATTTATAAGTTTTACCACTACACATACATTTTTTGCAGGATGTGGATACTCGCAATAGTATTGTTCAGCGTTGTAGTAGCGCTCTTGTCGTACATGGACATGAGAAAACCAAAAAACTATCCACCAGGTATTTTTTTTATGATTTTACATGATAAATATACACGATAATTTTTGATTGTTTTTCTAGAAAATTACCTCCTATGTTTAATTTAGGTCCAAAGTGGTTACCGATTTTGGGAAGTGCTTTAACCGTTAGTTCGCTTCGGAAACAAACCGGATACTTGTACCGTGCTACTATTTGTCTGGCGGAATCGTACGGTCCAATTGTTGGTTTGAAAGTAGGAAAAGACAGACAAGTAGTGTGTTGTGGTTACAACGCGATCAAAGAAATGTTGACCAAAGAAGAGTTTGATGGTCGACCACAAGGACCGTTCTATGAGACGAGAACATGGGGCACACGGAGGGGTATAAACTGCATTTATTTGGTGTTAATTCAAAACGATTTGATTGGAACGTCTTATTCGTTATTTCACAGGTCTTTTGCTGACAGATGAAGAATTCTGGGTGGAACAAAGACGGTTCGTGTTGCGCCATTTAAGAGAATTCGGTTTTGGTAAAAGAACAATGGCCGAACTTGTACAAGAAGAAGCAGTCCAGTTGGTGGAAGATTTCAAGGAAAAAATCAAGAAGTCTAAAGACGGCAAAGGAGAAATAATGGAGATGAGAGACGCTTTCAGCGTAGGTGTGTTGAACACGCTGTGGTCAATGATGGCAAGCAAGAGATACAACTCGGAAGATAAAGAATTAAAGGATTTACAAGCATTGTTAACCGAACTGTTCGCCAACATCGACATGGTAGGTGCTCTGTTTAGTCAATTTCCGTTTTTACGGTACATCGCTCCCGAAGCGTCTGGGTACAAAACGTTCGTAAACATACATCAACAAGTGTGGAAGTTCCTCAGAGCCGAACTTGACAGTCATAAAGATACGTTTATTTTAAACCAACCCAGAGATCTGATGGACGTGTATTTACAAATGCTGCATTCTGATGATAAAAAAGAAAGTTATTCGGGTAAATATTGCACGTTTACTCTGTAAAATATTAATTACTGTATCATAATATATCACTGAACCGTCGCGTTGTGTTGATGATTCTCGTAGAGTCCCAGCTTTTAGCGATCTGTATGGACATGTTTATGGCTGGATCCGAGACTACGAGTAAATCGTTGGGATTCGGTTTTCTGTACCTTCTTCTGAATCCAGAAGTCCAGAAGAAGGCTCAAGAAGAAATCGATAGAGTTGTAGGTCGAGATAGACTGCCCACGTTAAATGACAGGCCCAAGTACGCGTACCGTCATCTCCGTATACTAGTGATGGGAAAAATCCGGATTCGCTGAAGTTTGAAAATCCGGATTTTTGAAGTTCGAAATCCGAAATCTGGATTTTACTGTATACCCGAATTTCGAATTCTAAAATCCGGATTTTGCATTGAATCCGGATTTCGAATTTGAAAACATTGAATTAGTATTTTTTCAAGAACTATTTATAGTAAATACAAAATAATAAAACATCCTCAAAATTAAATGATATTTTGACTTAAACTAATTAAGAATCTCATATACAAGTTTTTGTGTAGTATTAAATATATAAGTCGGATATCATAAAATAAATTGTAGTTATTAGTTGTATCTCCAAAAATAATGGTACGTAAGATTTGAAATGTTTACCAATTATGAAGATATCTTATTTAAATCATCATCATCTTGTCTGAGAATTGAAATAACGACTAATAAGTGGTGTAATGAAAGTTATATGATTGGAATACAGAAATTTTCAATAATAAACCCAAATCTTCTATTTTGAATTCGATAATCCTAGTTTTGGATTTCATAATCCGAAATCCGAAATTTGGCAGATTTTCGAAGAATCTGGATTTCATTCCCATCACTACCGTATACTTATGCATATCCATGCATAATTACAATGGACACGCTTGACTACTCTGTTTCCAATTTTGTTACAGCATGCCCTATTTAGAAGCCCTCGTATTGGAGTCGGTCAGAGTTTTCATGGGAAGAACTTTTAGCATACCGCACAGGGCACTCAAAGATACAACATTGCAGGGTTATCATATTCCTAAAGTATGGTAGACGTGTTTTTAAAAACGTGCGGAATAATGTATGTAAAATTATATTATTTGTTAGGACACAATGGTGATCGCAAATTTCGCCGCTTTGCTCAACGACGACGATGTTTGGGATCACCCAGACAGATTTTGTCCAGATAGATTCATCGGCTGTGACGGCAAACTAATTGTTCCGGACGAATACTTGCCATTCGGATACGGTAATTAGTATAAAATAATCAGTCATGCGTTTCGAACGCAAAGAAAAATTACCTTTTCGATTATTAAAATGTAACCGCAAAATAATTATTTACATAATGTACAAATATTTATGTGTTCATATTATAGGAAAACATCGTTGCATGGGACAAACTCTCGCTAGGTCAAACATATTTTTGTTTTCCGCCTGCCTGTTACAAAACTTTGATTTCTCAGTACCCGCTGGACAAGCACCGCCCAGCACTCTAGGCGTTGACGGAGTGACGCCTTCGCCCGGAGAGTTCAGCGCTTACGTCAGTCTGCGTTCGTGATAGTGCTTTTAAGTATTTAAGATATTCAAATTCTCATCTACTTATTTTGATATTTGATTCCAAGTATGATTTAAATACTTTACTTACCTTTTTCATAGTTTTACTGTGAAGTACTTTTATAGTAATATATTTATAATGTTCACACCGTCTTGTGTAGTTAAATGTTAACGTTTGCTATTATGTACGCGTTTGAACGACTGAATGATTGTACAAAATTTTTATGTGCATTTTATAGACAAATTCGATCAAATATATTTTGTGCAAATGATATCCTTGTAATTCATGTTTATTTTTTCTACAAATAAAATGTATATTGCATTGTATAATATTGAGTTCATGTCATTTATACATAGATTAATATGATTTTTTTTAAAAATCATGTGCTTGGACGACATAATCCAAGATGGGAGAATGTTTATTCACCTATTCCTCGACTTAGCTCAATAAATTAACATATACTTACCGAGAGGGACAGAGGCTAAGAAACATGGTTTATATTTTAGGGCGTATGTATGAGATATAAAGTAATTGTAATTTATAATTAATAATAAAATATATAAATTAATAATACAACACAAACTGTGTGAATATAATTCCAATGTCTCCCGTTTAACTCATACAATTGGGGTTTGAAATACAACGAAATATTAATCTCAACTAAAACGTTAAATGTGTTTGATAGTTATTAGTAATCAATTATTAAATTAAATATTAGTTTAACTAAGCACTAAATATGCAAGCACTTATGCACTAAAAATTGGCTTCTATATTTTTAAAAGCGATTTATTTATAAAATATATAAATCATTTAAATATTGTGTAGCATTTAATCGTTTTTTTATATCATACTTTAACATCACACTACTTTACGTTATGTCGTAAACACATCAGTACCAAATTCCGATAAATAACTTTTTAACTCACTGTTAAAAGACTGTTCATCTTTTCAAATTTTTGAAATAAGAACGTTGACAGAAAAGTATTGATGAGATGATAAATTATTTGAAATATAAATCTATAAGTATAAAATTGAAGAAATATGCCCTTAAAACAAAAAATCTCGAAATATGCGTTTATATTATAAAATAAAATTTCAAGACTAGCTTTGTGAAAGCATGAAACATATTTGTTTCGTGTTTTGCTATATTTTTGATTGTGCAAAACAAATATGCAAATGCTACAAGTCCTCTCCCCTAGCAATAATTAACAGTACTACACGGTGATAATTTATCACTGATATAAATAAAATACTAATATTTATAATCAATGCTATTATTAATAATACAAATTATTCACAAAACATGATTTCTTAATTTAATTGAGGTTATTAATGGACCAAGTTTGTTTTTCCATATTAAGCAGGGCCGTTCAAAGGTTTTTCGGGGCCTGGGACAAATTCATTTGGGGGCCCTCCAGCGACCTTAATAATAAGATATGATTAACAAAATACTCAATGAGAATTAAAAAATTCTTGCAAACATATTTTTTCAAACCTTAACCAATCAAGCTTATTTAAATGCATGTGCTACATTACACACTTAATTTTCAATAAATTCTAAACAACGCATCACCATATATTATACTAAAAAGTACAATTTATTCCTAAATAATTATGTTTATTCAAGGAAAATATGAACTTGGATGTTTATTGGATTAAATAAATAGATAAGGTAAATTAAGAAAATTAAAAAAAAAAATTATTTTCTTGTTTTTTTTTTCAGCAAAGCTGTCTATAACATCATCATAATCTAAAGTCTTTGTTAACTTGTGTTCAATGGAGAGAAGTATTAAATGATTTAAGTGGTTCTCTTCTGTAGTTGAATGTAAATAACTTTTTATTAATTTCAGTTTACTGAAAGATCTTTCTCCTGTTGACACAAACGTGGGAATGGTAGAAAGTATTCAAAGACAAATACATATTTGAGATAGTGTATTTTGAAGTCCTTTCTTATATATTTGATTAAGAATAGAAATTGATGCAATTTCGCTATCAGTAAAAATAATTGTTGATACTTTGTGTATTTTACAATAAATGCGTAGTTCCTCTTTTAATACACTAGCACACACATCATTAGATTATAAACTTGAAATTATTTCAGCATGAGCTTACAAAAATTCATCACATGGTTCTTCTGGTGGGCTGATAATTGAAGAAAATGTGTTTGATATTTTCTTCATACTTGCATGAATACCATAAATATCAGATAAAAGCCTATTTAATGCTGTTACAAACACTTCAACTTTAAATTGTCTTGGCTGGGCAATGTATACTGTATAGTAAACACATGAAAAAATGTGTCAATTATTTTGTAATGGTATTACAATATAATGTCACTAATAGAATTGTATATTATTATGTGGATGACACAAAGAAAATAATTTTTGTCTCAATAACAGTGGTAGCCGGTCGATGACAGCTCGTCATTATTAATTATTATACATCAAAACTTTAAGGGGGCCCCATAAAAAAAAATATTCCGGGGGCATGGGGCACAATGTACCCGTTGCCCCCCTCCTGAACGGCCCTGATATTAAGCATAATAGGTATAGGTTAGGAACTTATAGGTATAAGTTTATTTAGTTATTAAATAATTTAACTTATAAAATGTTCAAGTAGAAAAAAAAACACACAAACTAATAATAATATTAGAAGTATTCCTTACTCGAAATACTTTAAGCACATAGGAATTAATAAGAAAAACATATTATGAAATATAACTTTTGATGATACACACCTAACTCGCTTGAATTATTTGCAAAGCCACCACGGTAATCAATGTAAACCTAATCTTATTTCTAAAAAAGTTAGGTCTGATTCTAATCATATATAGGAAGAATTGGATAAAAATAACTTTGATTAGTTAAAACAAATATTTAAAATTAATTATATATTGATTTGGTAAACCTTAAAACTGGAATTCAACTAAATACTAAAATTTCAATTTTAAGATAAAATAAATATTTAAATATAACCATAAAATTTACTGAAATTCTTTGATTGATATCTAGTATCTTACCAATTACCAACATCAATAACATTTTATGATGGACCTTCAAGGCCCGGAATAAGCCAAAAAAAAAAAACATTTTATTAAAAAAATATTTAGTACTTAGTAAAAACAATACATACTTTACATACTTTTAGTTGAATCAAATACCAAATTGTGATCAAATTTAATTATTTTAATATTATTAACTAACTACATTTCCTACATATGCACAACAAAAATTAGGAGATAATCGAGTGAAACTTTTATCTTGGAACTGAGTAAGGTTGTTCTTCTCCTGATTCATGATACTTGATGTAGCTATCTTTATGACTAAAATCTTTGTTGTCTTCTTGCCAACCCCTTTCAGGAGCACTTTTATAATCAAAACGTTCTTTGGTTGGACCATAAAGTTGATCAATTTCATCCAAATCATCCCTAGATCAATAAAATAAGTTTGATTTTATGTAATTAAATCATATATAATAATATTGTTAACTAAAAACAGTTTTGAAATGTGTCAAAATATTTATACAATTAAAAACATTTGCAACTTATTTTGATAAGTTAGGTATAGTTTACTTATATAAAATTATAATATGTTAAACCTATTATTAATATATAATTACATTATAAGTAGGGCTAGGATTTCGATGCACTTTGCATTTTTTTCTGAAGCTTTCTGTACAATTCTTTTTTTGTTACAAATATGTTATAGGTATTTTTAAATTAAAATAAGAAATTTAATTTGCGTTTTTTGCATTATATGATAATTTTTAATATTAAGGTAATTTTTCTCATTTTTTAGAGCATTTTAGAGGTTTTTAAGTCATTATTGGTGTTTTAGAATTTAAAATTATAGATTATAGATTTTTTTCTACCGAAGGTTTAATTTTAATATGTAAGGTATGCAATGTAAAAGTTGCTGTAAAAAATTGTTTTACCATACAACAACATATATCAAGAGACAAACATATTAATGGAGTACAATGAATAGAACAAATTGAAGAACGAGAAAAAAATATGTATATCTACAAAAACTTATCGAGGAACAACAGGAGGCTTGCTCTCGTGATTTATTGTAACAACAAAGAATAATTTTTTATTTATTAATATATAAAGTAAAATAAAATATTTATGTACATTTAATGTAATTTTTTTAAATTTTAAAGCCATTTTTCAATGCATTTTTTGAATTTTTTTAAAACCATTTTTGCATTATTTATGGTCATTTTTCGCTATTTTTAAGCACATTAAAATTTCAGCACTAATTATAAGTAATACATGCATTTTGTATTATAACTGTAAATGATTATGTCTGTAGCAATTTGACTAAATCATTTTTAAAGACATTATTAGAGTTTGATAACTCCATTTACATTTTATGCGAATTACATTTATGGAATCAAAATTAAATAACTTTTTAGATACTAATTAATAATCAGTGATAAGACAAACCTATAACGAACTGATCCGCAACGGAGACCAGCTACTTTCTTATTAGTAATAGGATCTGTTACATCGCCTAAAGGATAAACTACTTTGAGCACTTTATGAGTAATATACGTGGTAAGTTTTTCAGGTAGTTCTTGTATCAGGACCACATCACCTGTTTTACACTGCTGCTCTGGATCATGAGCATAATATACTTCATCTTTATTGAAATACTAAAAAGTCGAACAAAGATGTTTAAATCGATAGAAGTAATGGTAATTATAATATATTTTGAATAATAACCCACCATTAAAAGATTCTGGTCTAGTTCCAATTTTTTTACAATAATTTTTGATGCGTTCTGCTTCACCGATGGAACACATCGGCCCATAAGTATTAAAGATCTAGTGGCTGCAATTAAACTCATTGCTGTGAATTTTACGATCAATAATGAAATTTAAAGCTAATTTATAATTAAATACTATCCAATGGTATAATCGTGCATGTAAACCGTATAAAAATGTGTAAAATTATAATAAAATAATCCAAACTGAAAAGTGATAACACAAGTTAAAATAGATAAGAACGCCTTAAAACTATTTCCAATTTTTCTATTGAAATTTTATTATTAAAATTTTTACCTATACTGCTATACACTGTAATATGAACTAATATTGAACTGTAATATGTTTTTATATTCTTTAGTAAGAAATAATAATATTTATTTATTTTTTAAAGTAGAATGAAAAATCTTTCAACACCAATATTTAAATTACCAAAAAAAAAATAAAGTAAAAACTATTCCGATTCCAAATAAAGTATAAATAGTATGATTTTGGGTTCTAATAGATTGATTATTGTTCATAACTTGAGAAAGTTTTAATATTTTTTTAATATTGAAATTATTTTGATAATAATTTCCTTCAAATTGGTTGTATTTTCAACTGCAAGATGGCGGTAAAAATACATTATCTGTGAAGCTCTAATAAATACAAATGTATACAATATTCAGAAATGTACCAAAAAATGACTATTAAATAGGTATGTAGTAAAAAAATTGTTACTTTAAATTACTTTATATTATTTGATAAATACCTCAGTTATGGTTGTAAATGACTATAACCGTAGCAATATCCGTGGAAGATAATACCACTATTCGTTCCACAACCAAAAATGTTACCTATGAACAGGGCCGGATCTAGGGGGGGGGGGGGGCGAACCGAGGCACTTGTCCTGGAAGTTTTGATCGGGGGGCGCTAAATTACAAAATAAGTTGTGTATATATATATTAATAGTTTTTATTCATTTTATAGTAAAAGTATTATACAAATTACAATTTCTATTTCCATTTGACTTTATGGTTATAACAACAATGGGAAAAACTCAAAAACCTAATGGATATTATTTGTCTACCAAATATATTTTCTGTGATTCATTGTAGTATATTTTATTGCTAATAGGATATCTACAAACTATAAATTACGATAATCAGACAACACATGATGTTAAAACCCGATTAAAAAAACTGATAAATTAATTTTTCTTCGACATGTAACAATTATCAAATTCAATTATTTCAATCGAAAATCAAATTGCCAAAAATTTAGATTATGACGATATAATTAACGATTTTGCCTCCAGAAAAGCAAGAAAAATCAAAATTTAATGATAATTTGTTTGATTATTGTATAATTATTATTTTCATGTATTTTATAATAATTTGTATTTAAAGTTTTTTATTTAATACATATTTTTTCTAATCTAGCAAATAGATATATTTTTTCTTTTATTCTCTTCGATTTTTTTCTTTAGAGTTTAACTGGTACATAAGTATAACTGTGGGCATAACAAAGGGAGAGGGCACTAATTTTATACTTCGCCCCGGGTAAAAAATATACTAGATCCGGCACTGTCTATGATATAAGAATATAAACAAAATTTGATACCTGCGATCAAATTGATATATTATTAAATTTATTATCATATTATAATGATAGACTAGTAATTTATATTCCTAATTATTTATTCATTACATTTTTTAAATAAATCAATGTATTATATTCAAAAAGAATACGAGTCATAGGAGGGGCGAATGCCCCCCTTACCTCCTCAAATACGCCCTTGAATTTACTTAAATATAGAGCAGTGGAGGTCCTTGAAAGATTCCAGGAGGGAGGTGATCAAATATAATTCTTAAAAATAATATTCACAAAAAAAAAAAGTAGTTTGTTAAATTTAAAATTTTATTTCATGTAATATTATAAAATAAAATTAATTTTTCGGACTTATAATAAAATACTTAAAATAATGTAAAATCAAATATATTAATAGGTATATAATTGTTGTTGTAATATAATACAGGCCAAGGGTGGGCGATTCACCAATACTCCCAAAGGATTGAACTGGTATAGTTAACTTGTTATGGGCGGCTTGAACTTTTTTTTTCTTGACTCAAATTTAATATTTTTACACTGTCCACCCTAAAAAAATGTTCACCGCCCTTCAAAAAATGATTTCATAAGTTTTTAGTAGATAAGTAATGGGTATTAAATTGGTAAAAACATTAAATATATAATCCTGTATTTACCCCTTAACCAATTATACTTATATTATATGATCCACTCATTTACATTTCTGTGAATCACGTGATTCAAATATACCTTCTTCAAGCCACCTCTATTATTATTATAGTATGGTATTCAACAAGCATTCAATTCAATAACAAATTATTAACAAATAAATAAACTTTATTAGAATAGAACATAAAAATAAAATAAAATAATGAAGATATAATATAATTAGTGAAATTTTTTGGTCAAACTTTCGGTAACTATTGTATGATGGAATGATCATTTATAGGAGAATATCAAGTGATCCCAATTATACCAGAGTCGCATTCGAAACGCTGTGGATATCATTAATTGTTTCATTGAAATCTCGGATCGGGTAGTGCCCGCTGATATGTTCTATTTGCTTTGGTTTTCAAAAAGGTCCTTTGCTGTTAGGCAGACAGGCTTCTTTTACTTAAGTATCAAAGTGCAGTTCATAGATGTGTCTTAATGTATTGGGAGTTTATTATTATGTGTATATTTAGACTATTCTCATGCAGTTGCTGTCAAACGTCAATGTTTAAATATATAAATATACTTCCTTCGAGCCACCACTAGTATCTATTATTAAAAATAAATTGATTTATTACATTTTCAATACAAAATCTTTTAAAAAAAAAATAATAAATACTCAAGATCTATATTTATACTCTTAAGGCTTTAGACTTATAAATTTTAATTTTCACCGAAAAAATTAAAATGCAATTTTTTTTACTTTTCAACTCGTACAATTTGTGTTCAGCTTGTGATGTAAGATATCTATAGAATTTGTAGCTAATACTTATTATGAATGTTCAAGTAAAATCACCAATCTTCATCAGATACTCGAGTACTTACATTTTTTTTTAATTTAAATAGTAATAATATATTATTATGTTTAATTAATTAGTTACAGATATACTGATATCTAATAATAATAATTATAATAATAACAAATGTCTGAAGATTTTTTTTTTAATTTAAATTTAAAAAATAAACAATTATATTAATATCTATTTAATGAAAATGAACAACCGTACAGAAATTTTATTTTGAATAACACTGTGATTAAAAATTATATTTGTATAAATTGTAAAAATGTTTGAAAAAAAAAAGAATTGATTTAGTAGGTACCTATACAAAAACCTAATGTAAAAATTAGATTTAAAAAATAAGTTTAACAGAAATACACGCATGGCAAGATTCATCCTGACTACACTATCCAAATTTTTTTTTTTTAACTTGCAATGATATATTGTTGATTTCAAAAGTGTTCGAATAACACTACCAAGTTGGCGATCTAAACGTTATTATCTGTAACTATATTTACATACGTATAGTGTAATAGCTTACACAATGTTTGAATTATACTCCATAGCTCGAACTTCGGTCACTAGAGTGAATGGTGTTAAATATGTTTTATATACCACGTTACATATTATACATGATATATTATATCATATTAAATGTATGATAGTAAAACATATATTATGCAGATGGATAATCTTAATATACAATTAAAATCCTTGTCAATGATATATTGTCGGTTCACGGTTGTCTGCAGAAATATCAATATTAAATGCATTTTTATTAAAATTATACGTTCAATGACTAAAAAATGGAAAAATATAATAATTTCGATAACCTACTAGCAATTATTGGCATAAGCCATAACAATTATAATAATCGACAACGATTAGAGATTATAGTGATTATGAATTACTTTAAAAAGTCGCGATTTTGATGTGGACATTTTTCAAATTTTTTTATTGGTTTACTGAAAAGTGATATCAACGATTGACAATAATTTATTTATTACATTAATTACATTTATTATATAATTGATTGATATTGAAATCGATACACAGTAGTACAATAGCTGCATCGGTTCACGTTGAGGTGAGCTAGGCGAGACGAGTGGACGTCATCAGCGTGTGTGTGTGTGTGTGTGTGTGTCCGTTCCACGAAGTCCGACATATATATTAGTAATTCTTTTATTTTTTTCCATTTTTAAGGCTCAAGGGTCATACGCGTCAGGGGATCGACGTCGGACGGATGGCGGGTGGAGACGTTCACTATCCGTCTTCTTTTTTCCAGTTACATTCCGTAAGCGCCTCCTCCGATCAGGGACACGCCCCGTGAGCGCCGAAGTCACGCGCAAAAATCCCTCTGCACCCCGCGTGTACATCGGCCGCGTCAAGTCGTGCTCCGCTATATACCGCGGTACATTTTACACAACGCCGTACTCTTCCCGCTAGAGTAATACCCATTATTTGATATCGGCTTTCCGTTTGTATTTACAACAGTGTGCCGACTCCGCTGACGAGCGTATAGCATAGTGGACACGTCGCTGAGCAAAAAAAAAGGTACGTAAACATTAGAAATCGTTAGGGACTAAAAACATTTAAAAAACAACATTAACGAACGTCAAAAATCATTTACGTACGTGCAGCAGCAGGTATACCTGTTCGACGATGCGTGTTTTGCATGTATAATGTTGTGCACTGTTGTGTACTACAGCATAACGCGAGTACGCGCGTATTGCGCAGAATAGGATGTACACATTTTTAAGTTTTTCGTTCCACACGTTTGATTTTAAACGATTATCTGTATCCCTAGGCGTGCTATGCGGTTATACATGAGCTTATAGCTCTGTGATTTTATTTGAACGTATTTTGGAAATGACATACAGTTTTCTGTATCCAACGATTTTATAACGTTTGTTCATGTACAAGTAACGGATTTTGTGGTCTCGTTGGATAAGATTGTATCACACTCTTTCAAATGTTGTAACACATATTTTATTTTTTACACTACCCACAATTTTAGGGCTGGGCACGCAGTTCGAACCACAAGTCGGTCGTTCTGAAACTACATGTCCAAGTACGTCTGCACACCGACAACCGTTCTGTTCGATCGTTCGTCCGTATTATTGTGATACAACAAAAACTATCACTTGCATGGTACTCACTCTAAGTGTGCTGCAGTTTTCTTAAGCGGACTATGAGTAAAATAATAATTGACCGTATAAAAATAAGAATAATTGTACATATGTACCCGCGATTCGATCACACTATTCCACAATTTTAATATACCAGTACAGTTTAGTTTTAGGAAAAAGTTTAAATATTTATTTGTTTTTGTAAATTATTATATTTTTGTTCAACCCACAAATATAATAATTATATTAATAAAAATTAATGCAGCAAATATATAATAATAACAATAGTAATAAATAACTATGAAAAACGAAATTATACACCGAGATCAAGTAGGTAATGTATGTAGCAAGTAACTATGTAGATATATGTACATAATCTAATGGATATTCCGTATTAAATAATGATATTTATCGCGTTCGTTTGTAATGATGAGAAATATACTAAAATACACATATGTAAAATTGTAAAATTATAGTTATTATGACTTATTAATATTTTATATAGAAGAAATAAAGGAAGTGTAACATGCAATATGCATGTATATAAAACATAGTTTTGCTCCTCTCAATGACAATGTTTTTTTTTTTTTTTTTGTCTATCGTGACAACTTAGAAAAACTCACAAGTCTTAAAAAGTCGGCCCCTTCTGAATGTATACAATATGCTGCTTACACTTGAAATATAATTGCCTTTTGGTTTTACAAATACAGTCGAGTCATGATAACTCGAAAAACTTGACAACTCAAATTGTGTTTTATTCCCCTAGAAAATTGTTCCTCTATAAATTAGTTAGATATCTCGAATAATACATACCTCGAAGTGAATTTTTATCCTCCTTAAACTTCGAGTTATTGCAACTCGACTGTACTAATATATAACACCGCACGAATTGAATACATTTATCTTCGATAAACACTATACTATATTAGATTCTGAGCGAAGGGAGGAAGTTTTAATTTGCTTATCAATCATTTACTACGATTTGTGTTTTTATTTTCTGAGTATGTCTACGTTTTATTTACCAGAACAATTGTTCTGATCTCCGATTTATTTTTTTTGAATTATTGTAAGATTTAGGTACTTAGAATACACATGTAACATATAAATATATATTTCTATAGATAAATAGAAGACATTTTTTTTCAATTAGATATTACGGTTACAGTACAAGCGTTTGACTTTCGAATAGATTTAAAAACTGAATTTAGAAAAAGTCTAGGAAATATATTGATGTGATTTAATATCAACGATATATTTAATATAGTGATTAAATAAATTAAATTAGGGTTATTAAGAATAAAGGCATATAAAGTATTCAAAATATAGTTTCCATATAAAAAACTATAATTTATAAACAACTGGTTCATTTTTATTTTATACCATACTGAATTATAATTAAGTTTTATAACACAAATTGAATATACTACTCACTTATAAGTTGTTGAAATAATTACACTTACTCAAATAAATCATCATGTAATTTATTTAAAAAACTAGACTACACTGATTTTTTATATAAAGTCTATTAATTGTAACATATTTCGTTTTAAAGGTTTTGTTAAAATATCTTATAAATACCTTTTTCAACATTTTTCAATTTTTGATTTTAAATTAAAACTTTGTATAAATCGATTAATGAAAAACAGATTACTAAAACTTTTATATTATAAATTATTATAGTAATTTTATTAATGATTTTGGTTAAATTAAATTTCAAAAATATTATTTTTTGTGAAGTAAAATATATTTATTTTAAATTAGCTTTAGACATATATTGTATTAAATGTTAAACATAAGTATCCATTATTCAGTTAAAAGTTCATTTGATAACTTAAGAGAAAAAAGTGATTACATTGAAATATTTTTTAACACGAAAATAAACGATTAATATAAAATATTTATTATGCATATAAATATACATTAAAAAAAAAAATAAATAAATAAAAAAAATATAAATAATACGTTTAGGTTCGATTAAGTAAAGAAAGTGCTTATGGTTTAAGAATTAAAATCGATAGATTTATCATTAAATTAATGTTTGGATTTAACTTTGAATAATAATATTTTTATTTTTTGGGCAATTTTTATAATTAGAACATATTTTATTTTGGATTAGGTATATGGATAGAATACAGAATGATATATAATTCGTTGAAAATATTATATATTTCAATAAGATAAAATAAAAATATGTATAGACATTATGTGATTAATTTTTCTATCAATGAACATTTTTAACGTGAAAAAAACCATTTTACTTAAGTAGGTTAGTATTTATTTATACATTTTTTCGGATGAAATTACTTTTGAACTTGATTTTCTAATACTTAATAAATGTCAATCACCATTTGAGGGGAAATTCGGCCATAGCTTTAGGCAGGCATGAAATTAATAAAGTCACATATGTATACAAGGGGTAGACGTCTGTATTAAAGGATTACAAGGGGGGACCGCACGTGCACTGTTTGCCACGTGTGTTCAAAACATAGTTGAATATATTTTCTATTACAATAACGATCATCGTGAGTATAATAAAATAAGAATTTTATTGCCATCATCAGCATGAACCAAAAATACCATGAAAGAATTTCAAGCAATAATGTGGCAAATGCACTCGAACATACCTATAAATTAATTAGTTGTACGAAATTTAATAAAACTGTTAGTTGGGTCATGATTATTTAAAATAAGATATGAAATATATATAATTTTATCGTTGTACTAATCTAGAGTAAAGATTCTAAATATAAACAAAAGTATTTTTATAATAAAAAAAGTTCATATTTTATGTACAACCATAATTTATTTAAATACAATTATGGTTTCAACTTTTGAAATGCAAGAAAATACGAAATCAATACTTAATATAATTTAAAAATAAAACTGTAAAGATATTTTTATTATTTGTTGACATGCATTTTTTTTTTTTATATAAATATTATTAATAATAATACATAATGTTTATAAAAAAATCTTGCAAATAAAAAAATAATGTAAGGATTTTTAAAATTTTATTTTCAAATTGATTTAAGTATTAATTATAATATAATGCATGGTTTTTGAATGCTTAGTGGCTGCTAAGTTTAGTTTTTATAATTTATTTAATTTCCATTCATATAATGGACAATTATACAATTGTATTATTGCATAACAATTTAAATAATTTTTATCTTCAAATAATCTTACACATATTTACTGTTAGTATGTATGATGACTTTTAATTTATATTAAATTTAGTTGATTACTGACTTTGGACTGATGAATCAATCGAGTTATCATAAGGTAATTTATATATTATGTATTATATAAGTACTAGTGATGGGAAAAATCCGGATTCACTAAAGTTTTAAAATCCGGATTTTACTGTAAACCCGGATTTCGGATTCTAAAATCCGGATTTTGGATTTGCAAACATTGAATTAGTATTTTTTCAAGAACTCTTTATAGTAAATATAAAATAATTAAACATTCTCAAAATTAAATGATATTTTGACTTAAACTAATTAAGAATCTCATATACAAGTTTTTGTGTAATGTTAAATATATAAGTCGGATATCATAAAATTAATTTTAGTTATTACCTATTAGTTGTATCTCCAAAAATAATGGTACGTAAGACTTGAAGTGTTTACCAATTATTAAGAAATCTTATTTAGATCATCATCATCTTGTCCGATAATTGAAATAACGACTAATAAGAGGTGTAATGAAAGTTATATAATTAGAATACAGAAATTCGGAATAATAAACCCAAATCTCCGATTTTTAAATTCTAAAATTCAAAATCCGGATTTCATTTCCATCACTAATAGGTACTTGTGTAATTGATTAATTTACTTATTTTTTATTTAATATTATGCCAAATTATTTTTGTTTTAAATGATCGTGTATCTCATATTTTAAGATGTGTGAAAATAATTAACAAAAGAAAAAAAAAAAGAAAAATTAAAGTTAAAGGTTTGAAAATTTTTTATGAAATTCGATAAAAGTTTTAGCCATTTAATCAGAGAAATTAATGAAATTGAAGAATCATAAGCAAGGCTTGGGACTTATAGCACTTAAAATCATAAATAAAAGCACTTAAAAAAGCGCTTTATATTATTATTTATTATAAGCACTAAAATAAGCATTTAAAAAATTTTAAATTAAGCAAAAATATTTATAAAAAAAAAAAAAACTATAAAATTCTAACTAAAAAATCAAACGCAATCAAAATAAATCTACACTTTCAAGACTTTAAGGATTTTATGAATTTTCTAAGGCATTTTCTGAAAAATAAAATATAAACTGTTCTCTCTGTTCTTGATGTTCTATTTTCAACGTTGGAATATCTTTGTTAACCATACACCGATGCCTTGAACGGCGATGAACTACGTGACAACATAGATAAGATGAGAATTATTTTTAATTTTTAATTTTATCAAGGAGAAAACTATAAAAACGTAAAAAAAACTGTTCAAATAAGCAAAAATAATCAGAAAAGCTGGAAATAAGCATTTTTTTTGAAAAATCGCTGAAAAAAGCTAAAAAAGGCACTTTCAAATTTCATAATTGTATGTGTTATAACTAGACATACACTTCTATAGCACTCTGCTACATTTTAAGTTAATCCATAGAAATAAGCAAATGCTTTAATTCCCGAGCCCTGATCATAAGAATTATTTAAATTTGACACTGTCAATAATCAGTACTAAATATTTGAGATTTTAACTAAGACAGTTGATATATTATTATAAAAATTTTAATAATCCAACATTATTTATGTAAATTTGGTGTGATACATTTAATATAAATATATATTATAATATATAATATTATATACAGTAAGGTCACCCTAATCCAAATGAGATAAAGAGTCATCATTTACCTGTGATAAAAAAAAAAAAAAATTTTGTGCAATCGAATTCTAAAATTTATTTTTATTTATCTATAAATAGTTGAAAAAGACAATGAATACAATTATAACTATTATTAATTTATAAGTGTATACAATTACATACCAAGTTATTTAAAATATTGAGTTATTTTTTTAACACTGATTCCTTACGTCTTATCCGTATCGCCTTGTCCTTCAAACGTCTAAACAACATTAGGAACTCCATCAACAGGAATTAGTTCTTTGTATATTTCCACGTTATCTTCAGTCCATTAGAACAAATACATTTTGTATTCATAATCATAATTTGTTTATTATTAATAAGTAATTATTATTTCTTGGTATGACATTTTATTTGTATTTTCATGTCTGGAAAATATTTTTAGTATTTTTAAACTTAATTTAATATTTTTCCATGGAAGTTTCAAATATAGCAGGTATTTGAATTTAGTATACACATGTAACTTATACGCTGAATAGTTATTACTTCACTCTTGAAACCCGTAATGTCGTAACTACTTATAAAATAATGAAAATCATTAAATTAATACTATATGGAAAACAATATTGTTAACTTAAAATAATTTTTTATGTATATTTATCCAGAGCAATTTTCATTTTTTTTTTGTGGTAAAATTTTAGTGATTAACTGTCATTAAATATTGTACATTATATAGATATAAATATTGCTTAATGGTACACTACATTACTACAATAAACATTAAACACCTAGGTACCTATTAATAATAATAACTATAATCAGAGACGTATTTAAGGGGTGGGCCCATGGGACCCATGCCCTCCCCTCATTCACCGTATTTTATGCTTTATTTATTATTGTAGGCCCTCTTATTTTTTACGCACGGACACATGGTGAAATACTGGAATATCAATATATCATGTTAATATGATACTACCGATTAAACGGATTAGCATTGCTTAATATACGCCCTGAAATAATTATAAAACCTGAAGAAGTAGTTGATACATATGCTAATAAACACCCCAGACGTCTTCAGTTATTGTAATTACAAAAATTATATTTAAAAATATGTTTTATTATGAATTTGTGTAATAAAATGTTATGTTTCTATTAAACACTTGTATTTTGATTATTTGTATATGAATAACAATAGTTTTTTGAGATGGAAAAGTTATAACTATGTATACTTTGAACTTTTTGTTTGTGCCCCCTCTCCTATAAGACATTTCTAAATACGCCCCTGATTATAATTTAATCTTCATAGATATTATTAGAATATGAAATATTGACCAAAAAATAAAATTTTTTGAAAGTATCTTTTTTTTTATTTAGATAAAAATGAAATTATCTTTTATCTTTATCTAGATGAATTTGGACATATTATATTTCATCCTTATCTTGATAACATTAGCATTATTTATTTCCAACACTGACGGTAGCACACAGGAAGTGCAACCGATTTAAATGCATGAGGTTTATGAGTTCTTCCCACAACAATTAAACAAAGCTTACGGTTGTCAGTTGCATTAGTGCAAAGCTAAATAAGTGATCCGTTCTTTCATAATTTTTTTAATGGGAGCAATCTTTTCTATAAATGACACTAAAATGTGGTCAGACAACAATCACCAAAACAATTCAGATTTATCAGCATTATAAATTTGTTCTGATTTAAAATTTTTTTTGAATGATAAATTGTTCAAGCTTTTCCTGAAATGGTTTAATGGAGTCCTCTTCACTCAAAAGTTATTTTGCCAGAATTGTTTAGACGCTTAATCCAATTATGCTTTTTGACATTGTCTAACTAATCTTTGCACGCATTATAAGCATGGTGATTTTGAGAACTGGTGGTGAAAACATCGGGATTTTTCACAAAGCATTTCATCATTCAGTGAAACGTGTAAACGTCTTTATTGAATAAACCACATGAAAACCGCACTCTCGGCATTCGGATATATTGGTTGTTTCAATTTTTTACGCTTACCTGACTATTTTCGGTTTCACTGATAAATTTCTCTATTTTGTTCTTGTTCTTTTTTATGTCACTGATGGTAGATACACCTATTCCAAATCGTCTTGAGGTGGCACTGTAGCTGGTCTTTTTATTATCAGCTTTATCACTTCTGACTTATCTTGTAATTTTAACGTTACATGTTTACGAGGGGCCATTTTAACAAATTAATTTGAAACACAAGGTGTGAACTACTCACTATGTAATATGACACACAATTATCGAACATATTCGTCGTATTTAATCGTATATAAACGTGTGATGTACAATTTATATGTATTATTATTATGATATAGGTACATGTACATATAATATATCGATAATTCTCAAGCCCATTCGGATTATCGCGTGTTTCGGATCAGCCTGTGTTCGGATTAAGGTGATCCAACTGTATATATATGTATTTATAAATTAATTACAATAACTAACATTGAAACTTGAATGTTATTTTGATAATCTTTGAAATTATTTTTAATTCATGTAGAATTTAGAGAATTTAGACTAAGCCTATTGGTACGCGTATGTTTTTTTTAATAGTGCTTTGTGGGTGTGTAAAACATAAAATAATATTTTATTCGACAACGTTTAAATTAATATTTTTGTTCTTTTTTCGAAGGGATCGAGATGAAGACGGCTTTGGGCGTAGTTAAAATGAAAATGGAACCAATTTACGGAGACGACGCATCAGAATCGGCGACAGTGTCTGCCGTCTGCGCTAAATGCGAATGTAAAATCGTAGATAGATACATAATGAGAGTGTCCGGTCGGTCTTACCACGAACGATGCCTCAAGTGCTCGACGTGTGCGTTGAAGCTTGATCGGTCGTGTTTTGTTTGGAACGCAAAACTCTATTGCCGTCAGGATTATGACAAGTGAGTGGAAAAATAAAAATTATTAGCTAGCATAATGTCATTCTATAAAGTACTTGTAATATTTAGAAAAAAACCTGAATTTGGGATTTAATTATACTAACGCATGCATAACAAATTTTCTACACATCAGTTAAGGTACAGAACATGTGTTTAATGTTTGGATTCTAAACAAACACATGACGCACAAAACTTACTAATTTTCCAAAAATAATATGACATGGATAGGCAAGTTAAGATTATCAAATAATAAATTGTAAATTAATATGAATTAATTAAAAAATAAATACATTTAATTTATAATAAAATTGGCGAAAAATATTAAATGTGTAAGGATTGTATTGTTTAAAAACATAATGAAAATAATTTTCAGTATTTCTTCAGAATAGGATTTCTGAACACAGTGATGTATCGACTGTATAAGATAGAAGAAACTCGACTAAGGATTTTTCTATTAGTAGGCTATTGGACACCTAAGTGTTAAAGTAAACTTTTGTACTGTGACCACATTGCATCGCATTAAACGTTCGAGAACCAAAAGATCTTGATTTCATAAAGGTAAATTATGTTCGCCAGTTTTTGTTAAAGTTAAACGTTTTATAAAAAAAAAAAATAAAAAAAAATATAAAACAGTGAAAATAAAATATTCCGTATAACAATCAGTATTTCGACGTTAAATTTTCCAACAATTAAACTTAAATTTTACACTATTAAAAAAAAAAACTAATAATGAAATAAAAAACGTAAAAATATGTCAATTAATTAATTATTTGCGACCCGCAATGGAAATATAGGCGACCCCGAGTTCGGGAACCGTCGGTATACGAGTAAATGCATCGCAAGCATAAACGTGACGGCGGCGGGTCTACCCGGTGCTAATCGTACGGCCGTCGCTGCAACGCCGCCCGGGCAATTAAACGTTGTACCGGTTCCGAGGAACAAAACCGCGTGCGAACGGACACGGTTGTGTACTAGCACATCGCACGCGGTTTTCGAACGACCGCGACAATAATGATCGTACACGCGCGCGTCACCGCGGCCGCCTTAGCGTTCGCGCGTGGCGGTTAATCGCACGCACGCCGTACGCGATTGATTCGCACGCGCGCGGCACATTTAGACATCGGGCCGTTTATGGGGCGCGCGCGTGGCCGCGGGGCTTTTCGACTTCAGTGCGAGTGACCCTCGAGGTGCTACTAATGCCCACCTCGTTCGCACCGTCCCGTTGTCGCCACCGTCATGCGCTCGCCGTTTATTGAATTCGCGGCCGCGTCGACTTCATCACGCACTCCACCCCCACTGTCATCGGCCGAACGACCACCCCGACGAGGCACCTGTAAACACGTCTGATATCTTGGGGGCGCCGCGATTACAGAACACCAAATATTTTTCGTCAATATCAATGTCTTGAACCATGGATACACCACATCTTACTTCTTTAAGCACCCGTGGAGGGTAATGCTACTTTTGAAATTGTCCAACTGCTGGTAAAATTCGCTTAGAATCAACTAACTTACCTAACCGAGAATAAAAAAATCTGATATTTCTGATTTTTGTGCTATGCAATTTAGCTCTGAGAGCTACTGACGAGCCGCAGAAGTTCACGAATATCCCCCGACAGACCGGGGTCACTCTTGCACCGCTTTATTTAAGGCCAACATCAACCTGCCGTTTGGCTAATATCACAATGACATCGTAATGTCCGGATTTTCCGCACCTCTGAACGAGTCCCGACGAGTTCAACCTATTTGACTGAGTCAAACAATATCGGCCGACGTGCAGATGAATCTCTTGACACGCCTCTATGACCGATCTACCGGTGTACCATTCATAAACCATCACTGGTTAGACAAAGATCGAGATGGTTGCAAGTAATGACACCGCTCTACCGTGTGAACGGTTCTCTATCGCACCTTAGAGACTACAGGGAAAATAGGGCTCGCCCAATCTAGAGATCGATTCAAAAGGTACAGTCAAGATTAAATCGAAACGTCTTCGACGACCTTGGTGACGAATCCAGTCATATTTTCATCCATCGGCCGGTATCAACCGACCACCAGATTTTCGCTGCGACTGCAGCGATCGATGGTTCAAAGTTCGGTAAACTAAGAGGATCCACCAGATATGGTTCGAAACAGCATATTCGATGTATTCATAGCTTTCTCCCATCACAGAAGATGTTCAGATACGTCTGCCCATCGCTTAATGACGTACAAAGTTGACTAGGTAGTAGCGTTATATAGTCCTCCTATTCCCGCTCCAAGGACCATTTTGTTCGTGTCCCAGCGCGTAGTGGTTTCATCTGTGATGGACAGGAGTGCAAGTTCAAATCCCGTGATTTCTTTTAATACCTTTCTTTTAATAAGAAAATTGAAATGTTGTCTTTCCAACCGATGCATAATATAGACTAAATTATGCGGTTATTATTTTTGTCCAGGAAAGTCGCAGGTTTATGACATCACCTTTGATTATAACGCGATTCCATTATTCGGTTTAGATAGACAGTGTTATAATAAAGTTGCTGTACACTGCATGAGTTTCCGTCACCGAAACAGTGACGTGATAATACCAGGTTATTGACGCTATTATTGTTATTGTACAATAACGGGCTGTGCGATATCACAATAGAGACAAAATAATGAATTATTGCTTGTCGGTACTCGGCAGCTCATATTGTTTATGTGATAATCACTACGATAGTTAAATGTGGTACTTGACTATATTTTTTTTTCCTTTTTTGTCTTTATATTATTTACTTACAGCCGTGACATTGTATTGGGTATTTGGATTACTTAAAGCAATTAACAAACCCAAATCATTTGAGTTGAGCCTGTAGTTCTAAAATAATTACGTCCGATATAATATTATAAAATAGGCCTGTACTCCTAACCTATTGCGTGTAAATACTAAATAATATTATTTGATTTTTTTTTTCGCCAAAGATAATCCATACAAAGGTACAAATGTGCACCATAATAGTCATTAAGAAAACAAAAAAAACAAATAAATTATTAAAAACAAAATATGTCTCAAGTGATACAGAAAGAGTTAATAGGTATATTTCTGTTAACTAAACTTGTTCGCCTATAGTAACATCTTATATAAATATGTTTTTAAATTTTTTTTTAATGGATCAAAATTAAGTCACGATTTCAATTTGTTTTTGATCAACAAGGAGGTAAAACAACGCGTGGCACAATTTATTTCAGTTAAAACATTAATGTAATACAGAGAAAAAGTTTTAATCTTCTTTTACTAAAATTAATATCATATTTTCATATGATATTATGATATAAAATTAAAAGCAGTCAATGATTAATTGGAGCTTAAGTCATTTTTGACTGAAAATATTTATGTTGTTATTAAAAATAAATAAGTATTTTAAATATTCGTAAAATATTGAAGAAATTTCAGGGGGGGGGGTCCAGATACCCTAGACCTCCCAGATTAGCCTTGTTTGCAGACATTAAATTTCAAATAAAAATTAAAAACAAGTATAAAAGAAACTTCTACAGCTTTTCTCCTTTTCTCTCTAAAAAAGGGAGGTAAGATATTATAAACAAATTATACACGATTAAAGGTGGCATAAAATACTTTTATTATATTTATTTTCATACATTTTAAAAATGGATTGGTATACTTATTATTGATAGTTCCATACAATAATTTTTTAACCTTTTACTATACAATTATTATTTAACAATACAATAGGATTGCGATACACATTTTGTAATCTTTTAATGTTTATTTAGTAATAAATTCAATATGAAGAGTACTTATAGAAAAAATAGCATTAAGGGCGTTTGAGCAGCCTATTATTTTCACGTTTTTAGACCAATATCAAGGAATACAATTAACCTAATTCTAGTCCTTCGATTTTAGTTTTAAAAAAAATTTTAAATTTCTAGGCTTCTGTACCATAAGTTTTATAAAAATCACAATTTTATTATTTTTCTTAATTATTCATTAATTCGTATATTAATATTTTTAAAATACAAACAATTTATATCTTAATTTTATTAAATAGCTTAACTAAAATTGGAAGTCCATTCCTATAGAACATAGAAAATAAGTTAAGATTATATCATAAAAATTTAAATCGGACGTTGTTGTTTTCAAATGTTTAAACGTTACGATATTGAGGGGAACTTGAATATGTTTGTTCTATTCGTTTGCTCATTTCGGTAATATTCAGCAGGTTTTCATAAACTGTCATGACATTTCATGTCGTTCACTTTAAGGTGCTTGTATATTGTCAGTCATTAATCATTTAAAATAACCTCCATAATACTTATATACTTAAAATTCAATTTGTAATTGAAAAATATTATAATGCAAATATATTGAAAATATAACTACTAATTATTATTAAGTATTCATTAGGGTGTTCCTTAAATTTTTTTTTTTTTGCATTTTTGTTGGTCTCACCCACTTAATTTGTGTATATGCCTACAAAAACGAACTACAAAAAGTTTTAAGTCAATCTATTAAGGTTAACCCGTGCCGACTTGAATTTGAAATTTGAGTATATTAATTCATTAATAATTTAATGATATATTTTACATTTTCATATATAACTCATTTACAATTAGGAAAATTAAAACTTGTTACAGAATATATTTTAAATATAATAAAATTGTCTATAAATTATGTTCTTACATACTTCTTCTTATTTATTATAATTTACAAGATATATTGAATTTTGTGTATGAAAGTACTATTTTCTCAAAATTATATTATGAATTTTTATTAATTAAAATTGTTTTTTCAATGTTTCCTTTTTACAATCAGGATATAGTCTTCTGTGTTCTTGTATACATTGTAATAGCAACTCAGACTTCTTATCATCTTTGGTTAAAGTTCCGTGAAAATCTTCCATAAGTTTAACTGCTCTTTCCGCTGTGTCATTTACTACATTTAGCGAGCATGCAATTTCTTTCCCATAAATATCACGAATAGCGTTTTTTTCAGAGGTTGATAAAGAGTATTGATTTCGGAAAATATAT